TATAAGCCACATTTTCTTTTTTTTTTAAAGTGCTAGTGTGGTAGTGGTTGGAGTGTTGCACTAGGATTTGGGAGACTTGAGGATAATTCGCACTTGACCCTGAAGTTCATTGGGTGACCCTGGGCTAGTAAACTATCTCTCAGTTTAGCCTACCTTACAAGATTGTTGTAAGGATAGGTAAGAGGGGGCAGGAGTATTTAAAGCTCCTTCGAGGAAAGGCAGCATGTAAATAAATTATATAGATACATATAGCAAGGTTGCCATCTAATTTTATTTAAGGTTCAAGGAAAAAGCAAGGAGATTCAACTAAAATAAGCAAAAAGCTTCCCACCACTCTGTTTTCTAGTCAAGATTGCTGTCACTGGCAGTGAAGATCCTGGGGTTCCCTCCAAGCTGCTGCTTTGCTTTTTTGTGGGTGTCTTCTGTTCTGTGATGTTTCCCCAATAATGTTACCTCATTATTGCTGCCTGGGGAACAGTATCAGCTGCAGTACAGATCACATGTTTAGAGCCCATTTTTATATACAAGGCTTACCTGCTTCATGTCATCTACACACATTCTCTTGGTCTAAACCACTGAGCCTCTTGCTGGGCTTGCTGATGGGAAGGTTCAAATCCATGTGACAGGGTGAGCTCTCGTTGCTCTATCCCAGTTCCTGCCAACCTAGCAGTTCGAAAGCACGCCTGTGCAAGTAGATAAATAGGTACAGCTGTGACAGGAAGGTAAACGGCATTTCCATGCGCTCTGGTTTCTGTCACGGTGTTCTGTTGCACCAGAAGCGGTTTAGTCATGCTGGCCACATGACCCGGAAAGCTGTCTGCGGATGAATGCCGGCCCCCTCGGCCTGAAAGCGAGATGAGTGCCGCAACCCCATAGTTACCTTTGCCTGGACTTACCCAACCAGGGGTCCTTTACTTTTACCTTTTTAACACATTCTATTGGTTGGGGTCACATCAGATGTGGGGAATCCTGTGCAAAAGTCCACACTTGGGAAGATAACATATTGCCAAACGAAGCCCCACACTACAGTGGTGCCCCGCAAGACGAATGCCTCGCAAGACGGAAAAACCGCTAGACGAAAGGGTTTTCCGTTTTGAAGTTGCTTCGCAGGACGAATTCCCCTATGGGCTTGCTTCGCAAGACGAAAATACCTTGCGAGTCTTGAGTTTTTTTCGCTTCCCCCTTTATCTAATCTGCTAAGCCTTTAATAGCCTTTAATAGCCTTTTAGCAGCTAATCCCCTAAGCCTTTAAGCCTTTAATAGCCGCTAAACAGCTGATAGCGCTAATAGCGCTAATCCGTCAATGGGCTTGCTTCGCAAGACGAAAAAACCGCTAGACGAAGACTCTCGTGGAACGGATTAATTTCGTCTTGCGAGGCACCACTGTACTTTGATCTTGCATTTCGCTGATATTGCAGCTGCGCAAAAAAAGAAGAAGTTTTAAACACAAGATCAGGGCACTTCCTGTATTGAGATGTGTTGATAATGTTACAGACATTGGCCAATAAGTGCTTGCCCTGGTTTGATTTTCTCCTATTCATAGTGAACCATGTTAAAGAATGCAGAGCCGGCATATTCTATCGTACGGCAGAAACAGTATGTGTTTTTTTGTAGTACAATGCCACCAGCATCACTATCAAACTACCTTGCTCTGTAAAAAAAATTACATTTGTTTTCATCCTAACTGAGCTTATTTCGAAATCAAGCAGTGGAGAGAAGGTCAGGGCCAAAGCAGAAATTTCTCAACAGAAGCTATAATTTGATTTATCTCTCCATAGCCTATTGTGTCTGCAACAATATGGTTCAGCTAGTTTTCACCCAGCTGCTGCATTTTACAAAGCTGGCGAAGGAGAACAATTCTAAGGTGATTGTTTTGGGTGAAGTTACCTGATCAGCAAATCACCAAAGGCAGTTCTAGTGCGCTCCTGATACAGAGTTCATGAGTTGGACTCCTAGCATTGGGGGGTGGGGGTGGGGGTGGGGGTGGGGAGGGTGTTTTGAACATTTGCAAATCAAACATGAGACTTCATTTTCTTTAATATATTTTTGAGTTCAAAAGTATGTCCTTTTAGAACTCTGACTTCAATTAATTCACTTTGGCAAACTCAAGACTGTTTAACTAAATGTCAGTGACTCTGACTGCACTTAATTTGATTCTCCCACTTTAATAAAATCAAAGCGAACCTTTTGTCTTTAATGGACACGTACACACAAAATTGAATTATTTGAAGGTATTGAGTGCAGCCTGGGCAAGCCACAGGTTATTTAAACAAAGGTTCATAACCCGAACTTCATGAATACCAAATAACATATCACAAATTCATGAATGCATCACATGAATTATAAACATGTATGCTAGAAAAGCTGTGTTTAAAATTTAACCAGTAGTCCATTATAATACATTTAGAAGTAACGAACTGATCAAATATTTGCAGATTATGAGTCCCTTTCAAAATATCAAAACATTTTTTTCCTGTCTCCTATTCATTTTAAACAACAAGCCTAGCTACAGGTTCTAAGGGTATTGCTATTGTTTAGTTTTGTTAACGGTCAATTTCTCCAGTGACAATTGTGCCTCTAACATATTTCTTCACCAGATGGAAGACAAAAAAAATCCAGTTCATTGTCTCAAACTAGTTAGCATCTAAATCTGGCATGGAACCCCTCAAATTTTCAGCCAGGGACAAACACTGTCAAAACTCCAAAAGCAAACTCCCTAGTCATTAGGAAAACTTTGCCCCAGATGCTAAAGTTGCATTATCTGAGCCAATTTTGAGAGTCAGTGCAGGCGTGCTGCAGGCCCCACGGTGAGTGCCGATTGGCATTTTGTCATCCCCCTCAGCGGTGACACCCGGGGCGGCCTGCGGCCACCGCACCCCCCTTCCTCCGCCCCTGTTGGAGTGTGAGAGAAGGGAACCAGAGATGGAAGCAAACAGGTAGGAGGACTAGTGGGTAGGTGGGCAGGTGGCCCAAGTAAGCGGACAGACCAAGAGAGTGAGAGGCCAGCTACGTGAGCCAGGCAAGCAGGCAGGTGAGTGGTGATGCTTTAGTGAGGTCTAAGAGGAGTGGGAGGGTTTTTTGGGTGGGCTCTGGGGGAGGGGGATTTCTGCAAGGTGTAAAGGGCAAGGGGTGGTTGTTGGGAGGTAGATGGAGTTGGTGAGTAAAGCAAGCACAACCACAGACCCTCCAAGTGTCCCTATTCTCCAGGGACGTCCCTGATTTAGAGAAGCCGTCCTGATTTCTAATAAGATCCCGGAATGTCCCACTTTTCCTTAGGACGTCCTTATTTTCATTGGAGAAATGTTGGAGGGTATGGAGCTAACCTTTGCATTCACACATTGCTTTTCTCCGGAAATTTCTTAGCAAGTTTGGCAGACCAGACAAAACGAACCTCCACCCACCTACAGGTGCATTCCAGAAGTGTTTTTTGCTGTGACCAACTCTGACTACTGGTTGCTTCCCAGTGATCTCCAGGCCACCCAAAGCCTTAAGGGAAACTAAAAGAGGGAAACTTCTTGCATAATAAACCAGCCCAGCTCACAGCAAGCCCTGAGGCGATCTGTCCATAACAACATTGTGTTCTGAGAAGCAACTGCCTCAGCTGGTTTCATCCATGTTTCTGAACTGTTTCATGTTCAAAGCAGGTAGGCCCAGTTCATGGTGACTCTCTGAAATTTATCATAATTCATTTTTTTCTGGGAAGATTTCTGAAATTTTCTTCCCCTCCCCACTGCTCATAGAAGAAGGTGGCTTTGCAGAATTTCCTCAGTGTATTATTCATCTTTTTTTTTTGGGTAGTGTAGTTGTTGTTCTTCCCCCCACCTTGCCACAATGCCCCATAAGAAGGTTTGCTCCAGAGAAGTGGTCCCTAGAGTTTTCCCTTCATGGTGCGCTTTAAAGTTGTTGAGGGTCCTGACAGACCACTTGTAAATGTTCTGTGCTGGGTGGTGGATGATTTTAGTTGTATTTAATTGCTTCTTTTGTTTATTTAGCAAATGTTATTTCATTGTATTGCAGTTTGCATTCTGCAGAATTCAAACGGTAGTGCAATATGATAAAAGACAGCAGTGTAAGAACTAAAAGAAGAAGAAGAAATACAACCAAAGAGCATATTTAATGCAATTGATATGCAGCCTTCTGTTTTCAACAACAAATCCACAGACACACCATGGACCACCTGAAAGGAGCTGTGCTACGCCCTCTGCTGCTGGTGGACCCAACCCAATGGAAATGGATGGAGAATTTCTCCTCTCTTTGAAGAAATCTTGTGAAATACGTAGATCCCCCAATTTCTCTGTCCACAAATAAAGTGGGGAAGTTTGAAAGGATATTTGTCTACAGCTGTAGCACAGGGTTTGTTTCACAGCATCTTCTGTGGCTAATTTCCCAGGCTCCTTGCGCAATCCCTACAGTGCTTGTTACCACTAGATGTCAACCTCTGCCCCAGTTTCCCAGCCTTCCTCAAAGAGCATCTTAGGAGGCATCTTCCTGCTTCTGTAGTTGCCCTTTCAGTGAAAGGGGTGATTCCATTATATTCTCCCAGCAGAAAGTGTTTGACATGGTCAAGTGGCTTTAGTTATGGCTGCCAGTGCCATTTCTGTGCAGGCTACAAAAAAATAATAATAATTTAATGATGCCCCTGCTCACCCCAGCCAGCCATTCCTCAATTACTGTCTGCAGTCAGTTCTGTTGATGCCTCCAGTTAAATTCCCTTCCTTACTCCAGCAAAATAAGAGGCAGGGGACATTGTAGAGTCTGCAGCCCAGAGTTGTTGGACAGAACGAGCACACAGAACGTCAGCTGCTCCCACAAGCACTGGAAACACGCGGATCCTGGGAGCATATTAAAAAGATTTGCACCTCATAATTAAGTTTTGAGAGAATTTCCAAGCTGAGTGGAGTTTGGAGAGAGAGACTTTAAAAAAATAGACAATGACAGGGAACAGATTTGTGGCATCTATTATTGTCATTATATTATAATTATATATTATACTATTGAATGCCTAGATAGCTCAGTTGGATAGACTGTGGTGCTGATAACGCCAAGGTTGCAGGTTTGATCCCCATTTGAGACAGCTGCATATTTCTGCATCGCAAGGGGTTTGACTAGATGATCCTCAGGATCCCTTCCAACTCTACAGTTCTTTGAGTCTTTACTAACTAAGTGTCTGAACACAAGTACTTATCAAGGATTCAGTGGCGGTGAGTCCATAGGGGTTCCTTTGCAGACTGAGCACTAGGGAAATAATTTAAAAACAATATCAATTAATTGCACCAGGCAATTAATTTAATAAAAAGCTGGCATCAGGCTGTGTGACTTAAGTACACCTTCTCCCCATTCACATGTTGCTGGCATTCACGTGTTGTAGGGCAGTTTGAGAGTGAAGATGGAACAGGGAGAACTTGGAGAACCCCAGAACAGGGAGAACAGGGAGAACCCCAAAAACAGGAAGACTGGCAGTGATCTACCCCCTTTTTGGGGGGTGCAGGGCAAAAAAGGCGAACCAAACTTGTTGAGCTTCTTTGGGGGGAGAGAGTGATCTACCACAGACGTCCAGTGATCTACCAGTAGATCATGATCTACCTGTTGGATGTGCCTGCACTAGACTATGTGGAATAACAATTGCTTGATGTCATATAACCGCATGCAAACTTAGTGAAAAGAAACCCAGATGCGTGCTCATTAATAATAATAATAATAATAATAATCAACAAACAGGTCATCCGGAAGAGCCCTATATGTGCACATGCTTTAGGTGTGCCAAATTGTGTATGCGCAGGTGGTAAAAGAAGACACTGATGACTCTCATAACCCAATGGTTGCAGTTTTGTAACAAGTTAATGTCACCTCCATACATTTGAAGCACTCTATATGGAAAACACTGGGAACTGTAGTTTGTGAAGGGTGCTGGGAACTCTGTGAGGCTAGCACACTTAACAAACTACAGTTCCCCATATTCTTCATGCCTGCTCCAGTGTTAGGGTTGGTGCTTTAAATGTATGGCTGGCGTGAATGTGACCTCAGTGAGGTCTGAAAGAAGCACTTGGGAGACGTAGTCCAACTGTGACCTTCCTTGCTCATATTCTAGCAGTAGCTACTTCTTTTCATACCCTGTCCCCTGCTTGACCTTTGTCCTGTCTGTCCTACTTCAATTACAACAATCTCCTCAGGTTAGGGTCCTGCCACTTTTGTATTATGTACAAAATCCTTCACACTGTCAGCACTAAATGGCGAGAGTGGCAGTAAGCAGCAAGACTGCATTCTCGCCAAGTGTCATACTGTGCTATCGTGTGGACAAAATGTGGTGTGGATGAGCCCAGCACAGGCTCATCACAGTGCATAAAATACAGGATGAAATGGATACCTGAAAAGAGACTGGATGGGCTATGGAAGTTGCTGCTTACAACTGATGCAAGTGGCCTTTGCATCTGCAAAGGGCACCTTTTTGTGAAGAAAAAAAAAAGCACACCAGCACAGCTTTTGCTTGGTTATTGGGGGATCCAGATGCCTGTTCACAAAGCTGCAAGAAAATATGACTTACTCAATGGTTGCTTAGGAAACATCTGCTTCTCTTACATTCCACTACACACATTGTCCCTCATCTCTCTTTTCATCCTGTCTCATCTATTAAACTGTAGGCACTGTTGAGAATAATACTAATACTAATAATAATTAGGATACCTGAAAGAGCATCTCCACTCCCTCATTCAGCCTGGACAGTGAGATCCAGCGATAAGGGTCTTCTGGCAGTTCCCTCACTGCAAGAAGTAAAGTTACAGGGAACCAGGCAGAGGGCCTTCTTGGTAGTGGCACCCGCCCTGTGGAACGCCCTCCCATCAGATTTCAAGGAGACAAGAAGGAGAGAAGAATCCCTTGCACTTGTCACAAACTCATTCCTAACTCCAATTTTATTTTATTTTTAAAACTGAATGAAGAGTAGGATATAATAAACAAAGGGAAAACAGAATGGAATTTTAAGAAAATCAATGTTAAGAGGCTTGCTGTCCTGCGTTAGTAGGTTAGCTTTGACTTTTACAGCCCCAAATGGCCCAGGACTTGGGTATCCAGAGGGCCAGGAGAAAACTGTCCCGGTCTTTTATATTTCAAACTGTATTTAAATAAATATTTATTTAACATTTATTTGTTTTTAACATCTGGCTTTATCATTTACAACCTTAGGTTTTTTTTTGTATTGTGTTTTAAGGTCTCTCTCTTTCTTTTTGCTTTTTGTATTGGTTTTAACTTTTTACTAGGCTTTAAATGAATTAGTTTCAAAACTGCCTTGAGGGCTTTGGAAGTCAAAAGATGTGATATATTTAAATTGATAAATATAATAGTAGACATGGGGAGGGTGTGTGTGCCTCTGAATTACTTCAACAGCGATCCATTTAGAATTGGTAACTGCCGTCATCTGCGGATATTCAACTGCTCAAAAATGTGCCAGTGCAAACTTTCTCAGAGAGAGAATTTCTAAATGCTGAGAGGATTTATAGAAACCAGCTAATAGTGTTACACACAAGGGTACATTCATCGAGAAAAAAACAACCAGTTAAATCTAACTGGAGGCCAGCTTAAACAGGAAATGGCCAGCATTCAGCAGTCCCACGCACGCACACACACACACATACAGAAAAAAAATGCTCCTGTGAGTAATTTCAAATAAAAAGCACAAGGAAAATCATATACAAACACATTCCAAATAATCAGTAGCAGAAGGATGCCAATATTGGTGAATCAACACATTAATTCAACTTTTTTCTGGACTTTTCAGAAGCAGAAAGAGAGCGATAAAGTATGGAACTAATACTGCGATCTTGCTTGCCGTTTTATTTGTTATTAATTACTCAATCAAATTTCCATCTTGCTCTCCTTCCCAAAGAAGCACAGGGTGGCTGACAACAGCATGATACAATAATATTTTTTTTTTTTTTAAGATTTAAAAATATTAAAGATGTCTAAAAACATTTTAAGACAGTCACATATCCTCATAGCCAATAATGTCAAAGTATATTTCAGCAATCCAATACCTTGGTGAACAGGACTGTTTTTAAATTCCTCCTGAATATTCATAATGAGAAAGTCAGATGCACCTCAGCAGGGAGGGCATTTCATAAATAAAGAGCCACTACTGAGAAGGCCCTGTCATGTTCAGTGTACACTAGTGCAATTATTGCAGAAATCTCACACATCAGGGAAGGGAGAGGCAGGAGGATGCCAGCATGGTTAATTGGCAGAGGCAAGAAAAGTAAGTTTCTGATGTGTTGCCCAAATAAGCAGAAGGTAGACAAACTTGGGCAAAAGAAATGCAAACAAAACAATATAAGATGCAAAGGTAAAGGTAAAGGGACCCCTGACCGTTAGGTTCAGTCGTGAATGACTCTGGGGTTGTGGCGCTCATCTCACTTTATTGGCCGAGGGAGACAGCGTACAGCTTCTGGGTCATGTGGCCAGCAGGACTAAGCCGCTTCTGGTGAACCAGAGCAGCACACGCAAACACCGTTTACCTTCCTGCCGGAGCGGTACCTATTTATCTACTTGCACTTTGACGTGCTTTCGAACTGCTAGATTGGCAGGAGCTGGGACCGAACAACGGGAGCTCACCCCGTCGCGGGGATTCGAACCGCCGACCTTCTGATTGGCAAGCCCTAGGCTCTGTGGTTTAGATCACAATGCCACCCACAGGACTTCCCAACTCTGAATAATTCTTATTATATGTATATTTTACGCATATCCCATTCCAGGTTTTCTAAAGTAGCCAGCACATAAATAGATACATAGAATAATGCATATAACTGTATAAAAATACCTGTGCATGAATACTTATTTACTTATGAAGCTGAAATAAAGCAGTGCCTGGGGCGTGACTTTTAATATGTATTATACATTTAATATACATATTACACCATATATATATTTATATAATTAGCTGGTTTTTATAAAATTAGTTGGCTTCGCAATACGCAAGTGACTCAGACATAAGCGGGCACTCAGTGGAAGAGGTCTGATATGGACAAAACTCAGCCGGGTCAGATCCATCACATTCTGTATATAAAGTTAACCATGTTAGTTAATAGAAACCCTACAGATATCAGTATGAAATAAGCCCTTCCCTCCGCAGCAGGAGAAAACAAGCTTGCTCCATCTTCCATGTGACAGCCCTTGAGGTATTTGAAGATGGCTATCAAATCTCCTCTTGGTCTCAGAGTCCTGGTCAGTTCATATATGACATGATATGAGGCAGCTTCCTGTCTCTATCACGTTTTCTTTACTTTGCTCTAAAATAATATCCACAAAAGCAACAAGAAAACTCAGAACTGAAGCTAGGGAAAAATAAGAAACCTATTTTGTCCCGTCCCCCCATCCCCCCCTCAGCCTTATGATGTCAGGAGCCAATCATGACTTATTTTTATCACCTGATTTCTCATGTGTATGAGTGTTTTGCTAAGATGTTTGCTTTTTTCCCAGGGTTTTTTTTTGGGGGGGGGGATTGAGGGGTGTTTTGTGTTTGTGTAAGTCGTCAGTATTGTACTCTATACATTTTCTCTGGAGACTCAAGGACAGTTTGAAAAGTTCAGACACTGGCTGCAGCAAGAGTATTATTAGCACAGAAATGGAAGCAGGAAGAACTACCGACGAAAGAGGAATGGCAGATGAAATTGATGGACTACGCAGATTTGGATAAGATGACAGGGAGAATTCGAAACCAGCGGGACCAGAAATTCTTGAAAGATTGGAGTAAATATATGAGTTATCTGAAAGACAATTGTTACCAACTGACTACGCTTGTAGGACTACAAGAAGTTTTGTAAGGAGAACTATATGAAATATTGCAGAAAATATTTATGAGAATGTATTTTAAGTTATGGATTATTAAAAGTAATAGGATAACAAATGTAAGATTAAGAGATGAGGTTTGAAAATCACTAGACGCGGTTGATGGAAGTCTCACGCTAAAATAGCCAGAATGTTGTGTAAGATGAGATGAGATGATATGTTCTGTTTGGCAAATATACAGTGGTACCTTGGGTTACATACGCTTCCGGTTACATATGCTTCAGGTTACAGACTCCACTAACCCAGAAATAGTACCTTGGGTTAAGAACTTTGCTTCAGGATGAGAACAGAAATCGTGCTCCAGCAGTGCGGCAGCAGCAGGAGGCCCCATTAGCTAAAGTGGTGCTTCAGGTTAAGAACAGTTTCAGGTTAAGAACGGACCTCCGGAACGAATTAAGTACATAACAGGAGGTACCACTGTATGTAAAAACTAATAAAAATGTATATTAAAACAAGAAAAGTTCAGACATTGGAAGCATTGAATCAGGAAAAGGTGAGGAGACACTCTGGCACAGAAAAAACTGTGCAGTGTCTTCACAGTACTTAGCTAGGCATTGAAAAGCAGCTATTCATAACAGCGCTGAACTTGAGGTCTGCCACAGACATAGACATGATTCAAGGCTTGGGTGTACTGAAGAAGAGAGTCAGACTTTCAGACTTCTTCCGTGCTCCTAAATGTGGTATTCTAGACCAGATTAAAAGAAGGGGAAGACTCTCAATTATTATTATTATTTTGTGTGTGTGGAGGGAATTCCTATCCACTGCCCCCTGTTTCTGTACCGATTCTTCTTCCTTTCTTCAGCAGTATTTCCGAGATGAGAGTTTAAAATGGCCCAAGTGAGCATCTTCCACAGAAAAACACGTGTGCTTGAGGGGACATGAAGCGCTGTGTAAGTTCTGTCAGTGGTCTTGCCCCCATGAAGTCCCAAGACGGGTTACAACAGCACAGTGTACAGTTATAAAAACAGACAAAGCCATTACAGTCCAAAAACTGTTCCAAGTGGAACAGAAGAGCATACTTAACATTTCAATCCTATTTCATACTACCTTGGGGGTTGCAGAAAGCTGTCTGAGGTTTGGCAGCTGACAGCTCCGCCATCGAGGTTGGCTGTTTTCCAAGCAATTCTTTCAGGTCTCATTGTTTGGTAGGAAACAAACAAGGGGAACAGCATTGGGTGGGCACATACGAGGGACTAAAAATAGAGAGGCAGCTTCAGGGAGCCAAGCTTCTCGGCTGCAGCTTCCTCCACAGATAAAACCCCACTGCTTTTTTCTAAAAGGAAGCTCAAGCAGAGTCCAAAACAGCTGCAAACCCAGCCCAGCTATCTTGCAGAGGTTGACCGTGAAGCAACACAAGGGGAACACATGATGTAGAGGGTAGATCCACACCACACATTTAAAGTACCGTCCAGTACACATTGAAAGCACATGCCTTACCCCCGAAGAATCCTGGGAACTGTTGTTCCCCACTCACAGATCTTCAACCTCCAGTATTCTTAACAAACTACAGTTCCCATGATTCTTTGGGGGCATGCCATGTGATTTATATGTGCATTGGGTATTCTTTAAAGGTGTGGTGTGGATCTGCCCAACTATTTTTTTTTTTGCACTCTATTGTGGCAATGCCATCGAGACACTTGTGTAAGTCCTCCATTCAGTCCCCCAAAAGGGGGCATGGCGAGAGTGGGACTTACTCATTCCAAACTCTGCTCAGCTCAGTCGCATGATCTAGCAACTCAGCAGAAGTTGCACTGGCAGAAAGGGGGTTGCAAATCAAGCTCTGTTTTAAAGGCTCAGGCTTAGGCCAGTTTAGTTGGAATAGGGGTGTGTTACACTGGGATTGAACCTTGGGGTTTCTTGGTATGCAAAGTATGTTCTCTACCACTGAACTACAGCCCTGTTGTGATGTAGGGGGAAGGGCTAATATTTTGTATGATGACCAAGGCAGGAAGAAGAGTGAAATGATCCACCCAGGGGTGGCAAACCTGTTCTAGGTCTCTCAAAAACTTATTGGGCGGCCAAGCCAAGGCACAATTAGCCCTGCTTGTGGATTTATTTTGTTTTGTCACGATCCAAGCAGTTTATTGTGGTGACATTCCCCACAGAATAAAATGGGAGTGCTTCAGCTCTGCTTGTGTGCAAGAAATCAGCTGGAGGGTTTCACCCCAAACTTGATATCATTCCGGGAAATAGGAAAATGGTTTCAGCTGGAGAAGACAGGAATTCACTTTGAACATAGAGAGAGGTATCCCTGCCTGTTACTGAGCACTTGGGCTTTGATAGGAAAGGGAGGGGCCTCAGCCAGGAAGGAGAAACAGATAGTCATCTTATGTGGAGCCTTAAGGTAGCCATCATGGTGCCCTCCAGATGTTTCTAAAGTACAACTCCCATCAGCCCTAGCCAGCATGGCCAATTGCAAAGGATGTTGGGAGTTGTAGTCCAGCCCCAATCAGAGGGCACCATGATGGCTACCTCTGTGTAGTTTACTCTTCACTGTTCCAAACCCTCCAAGTGCCCCTATTTTCCAGGGACGTCCCTGATTTAGAGAAGCTATCCCAGTTTCTGATTTGATTCTGGAATGTCCCACTTTTCCTTAGGATGTCCCTATTTTCATTGGAGAAATGTTGGAGGTTATAGAGCTGTCTGAAGGCAATTCTGTATAGAGAAGTTTATTTTAATGTTCTGTTATGTTTTTTATATATGTTGGAAGCTGCCCAGAGTGGCTGGGACAACCCAGTAAGATGTGTGGGTTAGAAATAGCAAAATTATCATTATGGAATGAGACATCCTTATTTTCATCAGAGAAATGTTGGAGTCTTTGGATCAGTAACTTGCTAAGGTAGAAGCCGAGACTATGGGCTGCAATGCTGCAGTTTGGAGTGAAATGGGATTTATCATAGGAGCACAACCTGGCATCAAGCTACCCTAATAATTGCAGCAGTCTGACCCAATAAGCCAATCTGCCAACCTAGGTATCTACAGGGAAGCGGGCCTGATGATCTGTTTCGAACAAAACTGAGCAAAATTTGGCATCTGCCTTTCCCCTCTGAAGCCGAGGGAAGGCACTCTCCTAAACCTATTTTGAGGAAGTGTCATCCTCCTTTCCCCTGGTGTTTTTCCTTTACAGCATGATGCGTTTGATGTTTACTCATATCCATCTATGACTTGTTAAGTCTTCACCTACCTCCCAGGCTGAGGAAAAGAAGTGGGAGGGACCAGGCTACAGGAAAAAGAAGAGAGAACTCCCCTAAATATAGCTCTGCTGTGAGGATTGTTTTCCTGTCACACACACGGTTCATTGTTAGACCCTTCCATACGACCTCCCCCTTTCAACTTCGCCCCCAACTTTCTTTTCCGCCTATACACACTCACACACCCCTACACACCTTATTCAGTTTCCTGTCAACTCCCGAAACACATTACAGCTTCTACCACAGGATGACACATGTGAGTAAATTAAAATCGGCATTGTCTGTGGGTTCTGAAATGCCTCCTACATCTAGGCAACTTTACTTCCTACAAACTAAAGGAATATTTGGGATTGGGGGAATATTTGTTGCACACAACAGACAAAGAATGACTTATCTTCAGTAACTCCACAACTTACAAATGGACCTCACCTAAAGCCAAAATTGCAGAGCCAAAACACATTGGGTTCAATGGTGGGTGGGCTTGTCAACGTCTTTTTTACGGGATGCTTGCCCCCATATTAGTTATTATTTCCCCCCGTTATTTTGCCAAGCACTTTAAGCTGAATGCGCACAAGTTAAATGCACATAAGTTGTGGGCTTACTGTATAAAATCCAAGTGAAAGTCAACAACAGGTGAAATATTGCCATTCCCAGTAGCAACAAAGCAGTTTAGAACAAAGCAGTTTTCTGCTATAAGGGTTACGCTATGGAGTCTTCTTGAACTGGCCACATCGCAGTTCAAGGTTAGGCTCATAGTGGAGGATATGACATCTTCTAGTCCAACCCCACACCAGTGAAGGGACCATACTGTGTACACACCATACATTTAAAGCACATTCTAAACACATTCCCCCGTTCCAAAGAATTCTGGTTACTGTAGCTTGTCAAGGGTTGCTGGGCCTTGTAACTCTGTGAGGGGTGAACCTACCCATCAGAAACCCTCTCAGTGGTTTACAAATAACATTCTAAAGATCCTCTTAATGCTTAGTCTAAGCAACTGTCTGCCGTGTGCATTCCTTTGGCTGGGGAGCATCCTTGACAGATACTGGGTGGGGACTGAAGCCTGTGTTTTCCACAGTCAAGCCCAAGTCTCTAGCTGAGGGGCAGCCAGATATTGCTGGGCACAAACTCCCATTGGCTTCAGCGAGCATCACCAGTATTGTAGTTCAGCAGCAGCTGAAGGGCTACCTCTGCTTGAGCTAATATGCCACACTGTCTCTCACTTAAGGAATTGCTTGTATTTTCTCTGTATTGTTGATTGATTCCACCTATGCCTCTAGCTTTACGCAAATGCTTAGGGTTTCAATTAAATGGGCGGTGTGTGCTTTGCACAGTCCAAGTATCTATACCGGGCTGGGATGGATTTTTAAAAACCAGATGCAATTTATAACAAGTGTAGTGATTTTAATCCAAATGTGCATCCTCAGACCCTTTTCATGTTCCAAAGCAGCACAACAATAAAGATTTGAGAGACACACAACTGCTTCTAAACACCCCTCTTACGGCTTTATAAAGGCTGTTCTTCCCACTACAGTTAATTCCTTTTCACCCCAATTGCTCCCTCTTTGCTTCAGTAAGGCAGCTGCATTAGTCCTTTGGGGAAAATCACCAGACTGATTGTAGCTTTTTTCTTTTTAACTTTCCAGTTTTATTCTCAATGCAGCTTGTCATTTTTGAAAGATCTGAAACGCACCCATCTTTTATATGCAGCTTTTCATAGCCATTTCAGCCAATGCTCGTGTCTAACGGGCAATTCAGTGTCCAATTCAGATTCACCTGTGATCTCTTCTCCATGATTCCAAGCATTGATTGCTCATGCTCAGCCATCGTTCGGCTTAGTGTTGTGTGCGAACCCGGCCTGTGTGTATCATCAGGGCCTCAAACTACAGGGAACAAACAGGGATAAACAATATTAAGCAAATGCAAAACTCTTCATTGTACAAGCACCTAAGAATCCATTAAAAAGAAGTTCTTTTAACAACAAAAATTAAAAAGCAAACGAGCTACCTATAAGCCGCACTGCAATAAATATACACAAATTGCTGCATGGAAAGCAAACACAGCCATGGACAGCTCTCTAAGGCAAATCAATATGAGTAACTTCCTTCATAACACACTCTCATGTCTAATGTTTCGGCTGCCTTAGTCTTCCTCAGTGGCCCACTGCAGTTTTAATAATCCTCATGAAAAAACGTTACTGTGTCTTAAAAGCATGGAAGTGGAGGCAGTTGAAGTTGTTTTTAAGTGATGCATGTAAGCAGGCTCACTTCTCCTTGCAGGAACAAGCATTTCAATCCATTCACAGTATGCAACATTTCTCCAATGAAAATAGGGGCGTCCCATTCCATAATGATATTTTTACTATTTATACACCGTGACTGGTACTGTGTTCTCTTTATTGTAATTATTCGTATGTTGTTAATATATTTTTAATGTACATACACTTTTAATTCTGTCAATGTTTAATTGTTTATCCCTATGTTTTTAGCTGTTCTTATTTTTATCTGTAAGCTTCCTTGACTCTCTGTCAGGAGAAAAGGCGGGGCATAAATAAATACATAATAACAATAACAATAACAATAATAAATTCTGGTTCATGGATAGTTTCATGGTCCATACAGAAAGACCCTTAGTATTTGATATTCATGAATTAATTTAGCCTTTTGATAAAAATAGGCATTCTCTCAGCTGTTTATGAATGTGAAGGGCATCTGAGATATGCTTATTTAACTGGCTTGAGGGTTTTTTGTGCCATCTGAAAGCAAAACAAAACTCTTTCTTATCCACAAATTGGACCTTAGGCTGGTTTGAAAACAGAGGCAATACTGGTGATTATTCGCTTTATTCAGAGGCAGACATCATTTGCCAAGTTAATTGTACTTTAGGTCATTGTTTTTAGTGTGACATAAATTAGTTGTGAGTAATTTTACACTGATTTCAGTGGTACGAAGTGGGACTAACTTGATTTGGATCAAACCCTTTGACCTTTCAGATCAGGTATTTGACCACTATGCTGATAGATTGACAAACCAGCTTTCGGAGCTCTTGATGATCTGGTTTGGCAGGTGGGTGGGGCCAAGCCCCTGATGTCACTATGATATCAGGTGATCTGTTTTCCTTTGTCTATGTGGCATGAAATGAAACTGTTGTGGACAAAGGCACAAAGTGCCGATGATCAGCTGATTGCCAACAATTGCAAAACCTTGCAAGTAGCATCACGACAGTAAGTTCCACTGTATTTGAGAGGGATGGCTCCCTAGGGTGTTTTATGAGTGTAGTTTTACAGAGCAATCTTCTACTCCAGTTCTATACACTGGGGGTAGAGGTGGCAAAACATCACCACTTTGCCTGTAGAATAGCTACTGCATTGTGTGTGTGCTCTGTTCACCTCAGGAAGGGAGGAGAAAAACACACAACCAGAAAATGGTCTCCATCTTCTCCAGCGTATCTTGCACTCGGTGTTCGAAACTCCCATTGTTCTAGGCGCATTTTGTGACAGGGAATTTCATTAGTGCAAGCAGTCTCTGAGTTCTGGGTGCAGCACTGCACCTAAGATTTCAGATTAAAACTGCAGAGTGGAAGGAAAGGAGGACATTTTTCTGCTTCCCCACTTCCAGCTACTGCAGAAAAGACCCTCTTAAGAATATTAGGGGGGTGGGCAGGGGAAGGACTAGACCATGTGAAAAATGAGAAGAAGAAGAAGAAGAAGAAGAAGAAGAGGAGGAGGAGGAGGAGGAGGAGGAGTAGGAGGAGGAGTTTGGATTTGATATCCCGCTTTATCACTACCCAAAGGAGTCTCAAAGCGGCTCACATTCTCCTTTCCCTTCCTCCCCCACAACAAACACTCTGTGAGGTGAGTGGGACCGAGTGGGACTGAAAGACTTCAAAGAAGTGTGACTGGCCCAAGGTCACCCAGCAGCTGCATGTGGAGGAGCGGAGACGCGAACCCGGTTCACCAGATTACGAGTCTACCGCTCTTAACCACTAAACCACACATTTTAGCTGCAGTTCATTCATTTTCAGCTTTGTATTCTTGTTATAAAAAAGCACACCTAGACATTGTGTTGCTGCGCCCATAACTTAGGCTTAAGGTGCCATTTAGCTCCTAGTTTTTATACCTCAGTTCCTAACATTTCTCGCCCTCTGTTGGATTCTATGGCCTCTCAGTCATAGTATAGGATTGCACCAGATACTACCCAGTTTGTAAAAGCACTGGTTGGGCTGCAAAGCAGCTTTTTATATATATGCCATTTCCAAACGCTTAAGATGGCTCCAGCCTTGTGGAATAGCTTTCTATTCCAATGTTATGGTGATGCGATTCAACAAGAGTTTGTTTGTTCTTTATTGTGTTTACCGCTGTGGGTGCACATTCCTTTTCAGGCCCCCACCAACCCCGCAAGCCCTTAGTGATTTTACATGCACACACCCATATCAAATTAGCAATTTGGAGGCATGAGGAATCCGTTTCCATAGAGCCTTATTAACTGTCGCACTTTACTTTGGAAAACTTAACGCTTTCAAAGAACTACTCTTTTCTGCATCACTTCCCCCCGGTTTGAAACCTAATTCCTGTCTCCTGTAATTTTATGATGGCTATCAGTCTTTTTTAACATGGTAGCAAAGCAAGAACCCCAATATAGGTACAAACAAATGGGGTGAAATGTTACATTCCCAAATACTGCAGAATGCCATCCATCCTTCTCTGCCCTTTTCACAAATACTCCATTCCAAGGCCATCCACACAAGTAATCAGCTTTACGTGTGGCTGCTGAGCATGTACAAAGTCTCCATTGGGCTACTTCCAGTGTCTGTGTATCCCTCTTTAGATTTCCCCTTCCATCTTGTCCTTTGGTGATGCTGTTTTAACTAAGTAAGGACGAGCATTTGGACAATTGGGAACACGATTAGTATATACAAATGATGCCCTGCAGCAAAACATTGCATGGGTATGGTTGGTGGTTTCTTAGTTTACCAAGAAGCAGCAATTCTCTCTCTCTCTCTCTCTCTCTCTCTCTCTCTCCATGGTGGGAAGTAAGATTTATTTGCTGTCTTACAAAAGCAAGTCTCTGTCTAGCTGCTATCATTTATTTCTTTTTTTAAAAAAGAAAAAGCTCAGAGCAATATCTGCTTCTTAGGGCTCTTTTGTCTGAATCCGACGTCTGGCCCTTTTGAAGTTTGTTCCTCATCAGTTACAGTACACTAGAGACTTTCCATTAGAATGCTGTTTCACCATCTTTGGTGAAACAACCATCAGTGATGACATTGTATGTCATAAGGTCGGCGAGGACTCATGTGATTGCCCAACATGGTTGACTTAAGAAGCTCAAAATACCCAGACTCTGACATGTTTTGCGCAAAAAATAAAAAATATTTTTAAAAAAATCCCAGGGAAGATAGTAGCAATGGCGGAAACCCCAAAATTCTATGTTGCCAAATGTTTAGTTTGCAGAGTGCCTTACTGCCATCCTATCTCTGACTTCTGAGGAATGATTAATAGGAAAAGAAAATGTGTCTGTAGAGTTATACCTGTCTGTGAGCACGGAGATTGCAAAGATGAATAGGTAGATGGTTCATGTATCTTCTATACTTTTTTATTTTTTAAAAAAAGGTTTGGATGTTTTAATGATAACATTTCAAGCATTTGGTATCTTGGTAGCTTGAACACTGTAAGCAGCCTTGGTTTTAATCTATAAACAAAGATGGGATAGAAAAATAATTAGACTAGTAGTAAACCAATGCAGCTTGTAAGATAGGACTCTTTGCCTCCATGCCCGCAGCTATGAAATGAAGGCTCTGATGCTTGCCCCCACCTATTGAAATGCTTTTCTGCATTCTTCAGTTAAAAATATATATACAGAAATGCATTGTTATGAGTTTGGGGTGTGAGTGTTAAACTGTATGACAGATGTCTCCGATCCCTGGATCCAGCAAGTGTTAAAAGATAATGAAGCCTTCTAATTCCTAGATATAGTCAAGCTAGCTTCCCTGTGAGGTGATGGGCGATTAAGGGGCTCAGCTTGAGATGGCAAAGACAGTGGTACCTTGGTTCTCAAATGCCTTGGTACTTAAACGCCTTGGTTCTTAAACACCGAAAACCTGGAAGTAAGCGTTCCGGTTTTCGAATGTTTTTCAGAAGCCAGACGTCTGATGCACTGTCAGCTATTGTTTCCAGGGCGCCTGCACCAATCAGAAGCTGCGCCTTGGTTTTTGAACATTTCAGAAGTCAAACGAACTTCCGGAATGGATTAAGTTTGGCACTTTGTTTTTGCTACTTATTTTGCGTTTTTGTTTTTGAGGCTTTTTCGGTTAATTTGTTTTTGTGACTGTGTGGAACCCAGTTCAGCTACTGACTGATTGATTGTGTGACTGCGGAAATGGATAAAAGCCCCCCATCTAAACAATGGCTATCATCAGTGCAGGTAAGATTTTTTTTTTTTTTTATCATCTACAATACTGTTTTATTTATTTTATACCACAGAACATTGATTATTGCTTTCATTTTATGGACCAATGGTCTCATTAGATAGCCAAATTCATGTTAAATTGCTGTTTTAGGGGTTATTTTTAAAAGTCTGGAACAAATTAATCCGTTTTGCATTACTTTCTATGGGAAAGTGTGTCTTGGTTTTGGAACGTTTTGGTTTTGGAACAGACTTCTGGAACAGATTAAGTTTGAGAACCAAGGTACCACTGTAGGTGGGGCCTCCTCCCTCAACAGAAAAAGCCAGAGTTGAAAGCAGAGAGTAAGTAGTGATGTGAGCTGGCTGAAAAGCAGCAAGCTGGAGAGAGAGTCAGAGCAATGTTTGGTTTCTGTTTGAATCCAAGGCTGCAGCTATGGAATAAATAAGACCATTTGGGGGTGTTGATGCTGTGAACCCCTCCACCGTAGGCTCATGTGCAAATAAACCATATATCATAAAGACATCACAGTTTCTGCCTTGCCTCATTCCCAGAGGAAACACAAACCCTGGTTAAGCACCAGGAACCCCTGGAATCTTGCTCAGAGGTTGTGCTGGCGTGCAACAATATAATATTATTGTTTGGGTGCCAAACATACTTTAGAAAAGTGAGGGTGAAAGCTGTGCAGTAATATCCATACTTTTTAGAGGGTAGCAGATTCCTTCTTGCTAACTGATATTTTTTTTACACTGCATCCATACTGTGGATGGACAGGCTGTGAGGTAATTGATGGCTGGTTTCGGATCTGAAGGAGTGTTGCGGGGGGCGGCGGCCGGGGGAGGCGCTGGACAGAGAGAATCTTTTTGCTACATTTACCTTTCTCTTTACTTGTGCCACAACTCTTTTTGCTTGCCCGATCCCCTTTTGCACACAACACAGTAGAGAGAAAAGCACTCTGTCCCAAGTATGAGGTAAGATGCATTTGGGTTGAGAGTGGTGCTGTGGCAAAACAACAACAACAACAACCCAATAAGTAGAGCTGGGCATTTATTGAAACCAGTTATGCTCTGTGTCCCCCCCCCCTCCGGTCCTCTAGCCCCTCCCTAGGCCTATTTCAGAGCTGACCATTTGTGGAACAGGAAACGTCAGCGCTCCGAGCTGCTGCAGCCTGACTGAGTGGAATTATTTCCTTTCAGGCTGTCCCGTTACCTTTTAGTTGGCAGGACGTCCCCGCCTCTGCCTGCTCTGAACAGCCCCCTTCACTCTCTGCCTCTCCCCCCACTCCTACACTTCTCTCTCTCTCTCTTCACTGCCAAAAAAGTCCATCCTCCGCCCCCTCCTCAGCTAACTTCCTTCCAGCATTTCCTGAGCTGGATAATCCCAGGATTTGTAAAAACAGGGGAAAGGGGAGAGCGAGAGTGAGGGCACTAACTTAGGGAACCCAGCCCTTGTTTCTCCTAACATTGTCCAGTGGCTGCAGGGGGGGAAAACCCCCAGGGGTGTAAAAAGTAGTGGGCTTGCCTTTTTCTCTGTCATTTTGCTCTTTTCCCTCCCTCTCTGTCTTTTTACAAGTTCGTGGAAGAATCATTTTGCAATCTCTACTGCCTGAAGGACCCATCTTGACATACTTTTGATTGCCGGCTTGGATTGGTTCTGGAGGTTCCTGGGACCTGACAGCGAAGGAAGAGGGAACTTCAGCTAACATCTGCCCCGTTGCTACCAGTCTCCCTGGAGGCATTGCTTCATCACCACCATCCGCCTCCCTCTTTGCAGAAGCCTCCTGAACTTGGGCTATGATCTCTCTGCTGCTGCCTGCTGGAGATCTCCGCATTGTCCTGACCTCTCCCTTCTGCAACAGAAGCAGCCGCAGCAGCAGCAGCAGCTCCACATCTGGTGGGGATTAATGTGGAGACGTCCTGTTGGAAGTTCTTCTGGACTTTCGATGTGGCTGACCGGAAGCGGGACACGGGCGACGGCGAGGGTCTGAGGGAGTGGGGGAGCTTTGCACTTGTCTGGTGCAAAGCGAGGGGGGTGGGGGGGAAAAGAAGGAGGGGGGCTCTTTTCGGAACCAACTCATGAAGAACAAGGGAGGAAAGCCGAAAGTCAAGAGGAAAGGAGCCACAAACGTCTTCGGCTGTGATCTGACAGACTATCTGGAGAGCACGGGACAAGATGGTAATATTTATTTTTAAAACAACAACAACAACCAAGGCCTTATTCTTGCTTTCTCTAGAGATGGGTCTGTTGCAGTGCCTTTTGAATGGGAGGATTAATTGTCTACAGAAATAAAGCAGGGAATGATTATCTGGTGTGGATAGGACTTTAGTGCCTTGTTCTGTCAGTGACCAACTAGCAATGTGCTTAGTTCAGGGAAATGTTTTGCTGTGTGAGAGAGAGGAAGATTAACTATTTGCCATCAAGTCTCTTAACTTGAGGCACACAGAGAAGGGATACTTTTCAGTTACTCAGAGGTGGGGTGCGTGAGCACGAGGCTTCAAGATTGCTCCTTAGGATGTGGCCCTTCCATGTTTCGCAAGACTTTCCCTGCCCCCAACCACAGGATGCCACAGAATCAATGGAGATGGGAGACAGACAGCAGTTCTCAGAATAAAGGTTGTAATGAAGATGTAACGGTGGCTCTTAGGCCCAAGCAAGGCTCCCCAAACGTTCTTACTTGTGAGACAAGGATGTGGGAGAAGGATCGCCAAAGTGGGAGCACAGCAGCTGGTGTTTCTTACTAGAAACCCCCACCCCTTGCCTACAATCCTTTTTCTCAGACGAGCATATGATGTGTCAGACCGTGGGAGGTGGCAGTGCCAATCTGCTTTTCAAGCGGACGAGATAGGAGAGAGAAGCAGAGAACATTTCTTAAAAGTGGGCTGGGTGATGCGAAACATATTGCCGGGTCTTTGGAAGGTAGAAGGATTCCTCCCACCTTCTTCTTGGAAACTAATATTTGATGAGAAATCTCTCAGGATTTTTCCCCTCCTCTGCCATCTGCATCCACATGACGTTCCCAGTTTAGATTTATTTGGTTTCCTAAAACTCAGACTTTCCGGGCGAGGCGGCTCCTTGAGCAACATTATTAGGGTGTTTATTCAATAAATGTGGGTGACAGTCATTACAGATGCCTCAGAAAGGAAGTGTATTCATAATAAACTAAGGGACTTTGCTGTTACTCAGTGTTGTGGGCTGCCAGAGTACATGACGTTGTTCTCGTGTTTCCTCTCTTACACAGGCACATTATACAGAGCATGTGTTTTCCCCCCAGATCAGTCCATCAAGCTAAGCTTAATTCATTTGACAAATGTTCATGGCATTTGTGTCGCTGTGTACATTGCAACTGCTGCCTAAATGCAGCCACTTTTAGGTTGCTGTTTTTCTCGTTTGGCTGTCCATAGCAATGCTTCAGGCCCGTTCATCGAGGAACCTGAAGGATGAACTGCAGGGGGAGGTCTAAGTTTTCGCAAATCAGGCCTCAACAACTTGGGATCCACAAAATCAAGCATTGTCCACCAGCCATTTTAAATGTGGATTTACGTGATTTGCCTGCCTATTGCGCTCTTCCTCTGAGGCCTTGCTGCAACTCGGGATTAGAGTCAGGGTCTTTTCGGTTGTGGTCCCTGGACAGCAACAACAGCAACACCCACGCAGCAACACCCCAGCCCCATCAGCCAGCAAGGGATGATGGGAGGTATAGTCCAGCTACATCTGGAGAGCTCAACATTGGCCACCCTTTGTGTGTGGATAGCAGTAGGCTAGATAGGCCAAAGGTCTGTTTTGATGTGGCAGCTTCCTATGTGAGTATTTTCTAGCTGGCTATGGTTTTTAGTTCTCCGTTGTTGTTTTGTTTGCTTGCTTATTGTTATAATGCATTTCTTTAATGATTGTAAGCTGCCCTAGGGGCTAAATGCGGGGAGAAAAGTGTCTTAATATGTAAATGTATTGTTTTCTGCGTGATGCCCACCTCCTCCTGCCCTGGGTTTTTGCAGTCTCAGAAGGGCAGCAAATACAGAAGATTTACTGGTCCCTTGTGGGCCACCATACACGGCTTTGTGGGTCTCCAGTTGCGCTGCCTTGTTCTCAATTCAATGTAGCCAGGAAAACAGGAACAAGAAGGCAGCTTTTATTTATTTTGAAGAAAGGCGTGATGGGATCCTGTATATTCTCCAGTGACTGCAGACTTTGTCACCAGCTTCTTTTGCAAGATGGCTCGGTCTACCAGCGTGGTCTGTTGCGAGGAGCAAAAATGGGCAAAAGTGAATTCCTTTTCATGTTTGCTGAATGGCATGTCCCATTGGCCAGCAGTGTGTGATCTAGTAATGAAAGACTCCATTGTTACAGGAGCCATTAGAAGGATGTGAGTTAGATCATAGGGTGTAGGTTAAATCTTAACGATAACAAGAAGCAGAAGAGATGTGGGAGTTTTTATTCCTTTGTTCTGCGGCAAGGCAAGGAGGTGGAATAATATTAAGGACAAATCTGCTCTCTAGGTAGCTGTGAGGGCAGGCGGGGGTCAGGTGTCACTAGCATGAGACTTAGAAGCCTCCAAATTACCCTAATTGGAGCCCTTGAGTTGAAATGGCGTCATTTGTGATGGGCAACCATCTATTGTTGGTTCAGACCCTCCCCACCATTGGGAGCCAAGCAATAACCTTGAAAGCAGGAGCATTCTACCTGTTACAGTTATTCACTTTGCCTCCTATGTGGAAAGGGTGGACAATGCAGATGGATATGGCCACTATTTTTTATTTTATTTATTGCTCTTTTTTGTAAAAGAAGGTTTTAGGATTCCTTTGAGATTTTGTTTCTTCAAGGAGCTTGAACATATGATATGGGGCTAGAGAAGAGGTTTCCGTTTAGCTAAGTACTGCGAACCCCCTACTTCTCAAAAGCCAAGCCATGGACCCTCTACTTTATCTCTGCGGTAGTTTTTGTTAATGTGAATGGTGCCAATTGGACCACCATTTGGGAACCCCTGGGCTAGAGCGTTTCCTCTTCTTATTCAGAGTAAAGCATTCAGATGTGGGGCTTTGTGAGGAAGAGGTGGGGATCCTGTGACCTTCCAGTTGTTGAACTGGCACCACCCCTGACTATTAACTCTGCTGGCTGAGCCTGGTGGAAGCTGGAGTCTAACAACAACAACAACAACAACAACAACAACAACAACAACAACAACAACATAATAATATATTTATACCCCGCCCATCTGGCTGGGTTTCCCCAGCCACTCTGGGCGGCTTCCAACAAAACACTAAAATACAATAACCTCTTAAACATTAAAAGCTTCCCTAAACAGGGCTGTCTTCTAAAAGTTTGGTAGTTATTTTTTCTATGGAAAGTCACCCCCTTAATTCTCGTGAAAGTGAGTTTCATACTGAAGAGGTACTTTCCTTTGCCTGTCCTGAGTCTTCCACTCAAACCAGTTTCTCCCCTGGATTGAGTTGTACACTGATACTTCCAGTTCTCATTACGACTTAGGGAAGGGCACTTAGTAGTTTGGTGGCTGGGAGAGAGATCCTGACTAAAACAAATGTCTAGATGTAGTCACAGGAAGTGGTTTGGCAGTTCTATACAGCTTTCTTCCTTCTAGGTCATCTCTTAGCAATCACCCTTGGCTTATGTAAAGCGGCAAGGAGTGGGGAGACTGGGTTGCTAGAACTGCTTACTTTTGGCTGAGATGTCAATCTAACCTCATGCCTGCTCTGCCACTAAGAGCACGAATGTTGCTTTTGCCCCTACTGCAGAGGCTGATGGGCTTTTCCATGGTGAAACTGTTTGAGGCAAAAGTGGGGCTAAACACAGACTTGTTTCTCCTGCTCTGATGATTGGCAGGTGAAGGAGAAGCACGACGAGCAGGCTTGTGGAGGCTTTCAGAACAAATGAATGCCACACAGTCATCTGAGCTGTGGTTCCCATGAAGCTACCTGCCTGCATGGCCACTATCATGACTTGCTCACCTGGAATTTGATGCTCCCATAGCAAAATAGTTTGCTTCTCCTGGATTGCATCCAGACAATCACCACGTTTCACTTTTCTTTGTTTTCTACCTTTCTTTTTTCTCTTTCGTGTGCATCTGTGGGGTGCACAGAGATTTCTCATGTGATTTGTGCGGATCAGCAGAGGAGCAGGGAAAGGGGCAATTTCCTCCTCATTGCTGCCAAGCCCAGCATTGAGATGGGAAGCAAAATTGCACCCACCCTGCTCTTCAGGGAGCCAGTATGGTGTAGTGGTTTAGAGCAGTAGTCTCATAATCTGGGGAACCAGGTTTGCTTCCCCACTCCTCCACATGCAGCTGCTGGGTGACCTTGGGCTAGTCACACTGCTTTGAAGTCTCTCAGCCTCACTCACCTTAGGGTAGTGATAAAGCAGGATATCAAATCCAAACTCTTCTTCTTCAGATAATGGTCCTGAAGAGTAGAGAGGGCATTATTTTCCTTGCCATCCCAGTGCTGGGCTGGGTGCAGAGTATTAAACGTCTCTTCACCCAGCCCTGCACCATGATGTTACCCACCCTTAAGAATAGCCAAGGAAAGTCTATTCTCCTCCTTCTCCTTCTCCTTCTCCTTCTCCTTCTCCAAGCAACCGTCTAGTCATTCCCAGGATGTAGGAAACATTGGAATGCTCAGGAAACAGGAAAGAGTGTTCCAATCTGCAATGTTCAAGTGGCCAGGAAACAATGGCGCTATGCTCCCTGCTGCAGCTGGCACATTGGTTCAGGAGCCAGAATACTTTATGTTTAAGGTGCTGCCACTGCTGATGCCTCTACACCCTGACCTGGTGAAATGGGTGAGGATCTGGTGGATCAGCAGAAAAGTCTAGGTGGGCCAGAATGGGCCCACAGGCTGATGGTTCAACACCTCTGCTGTAAAACATGTTCTTACTACATGAAGCTCTGCCCTGCCACATATTGGCTGCTAGCAGTGTGTACCAACAAAGAAAGCAGCCACTCACTTGGCTGTTCATACATTACAAAATGTATGAGTTACAAAAGGAAGAAGAGAAAGCAATGAATGTGAAAGAGGGTTTCAAAAGTGGAAGAGCCAGAGGCTGGGAAATCTAGAGCGCCTTGAGAAGAGGTCATGATGAGCTTTCTTTCCCCTACTTTTTCCTTCCTTGTAGGAAGTGGCTTTTAAGCTGGTGGTTCGAATCCCCGCAACGGGGTGAGCTCCTGTTGTTCGGTCCCTGCTCCTGCCAACTTAGCAGTTTGAAAGCACGTCAAAGTGCAAGTAGATAAATAGGTACCTCTCCGGTGGGAAGGTAAATGGCGTATCCGTGTGCTGCTCTGATTCGCCAGAAGTGGCTTAGTCATGCTGGCCACATGACCCGGAAGCTGTACGCCGGCTCCCTCGGCCAATAAAGCGAGATGAGTGCCGCAACCCCAGAGTCGGTCACGACTGGACCCGATGGTCAGGGGTCCCTTTACCTTTTAAGTACTTGCTGCTAGCAAGCTTGGCTTCGAAGTGTAGTTTGGGGTGTTGCGCAGTGTGAAAAGGAGTGTGCACACAACTCATCACAAGCCAGCCTTTTCTTTTTTGCACTTCTGGTGCAAATTACGTACAAGACAGCAGCTGTGCTGGTAGCCATGTGTCTTGCCCATGGAGGAATGTTAAAATACCCCCTCCCCTTACACACAACAGCAGAAGGGTCAAAGGGAGGCATACTGGTTATGCCACAAGTGCATCCACCCTCTCATTTTCTTTGAAACCACGTGAACTCCCAAAGGTGTTTCCCCTCACTATTTTAGGGATTTCTTACAGCGACTTAAAGTTTTATGATGATTAAAACACCTTGGCACCCCTTCTCCATTGCTTTCTCCTTTAAATGAAAAAAGGAATTTTCTCAGCTTCTTTGCATCCCTTGTGGTAGCAGATACTTTCTCAAGCTTTCTTTTGCAACCGGAGATGGAAACTTTGTCAGTTCCTTTTTTTAAAAACCAAACAAAAACAAAATGTTATTAATCCCTGACATCAGCAATGTAAACTGGAATTCCTTGTTCTGCAGCTTACACTGGAAACAGCACATTTTTTTCTTGGGCTGCCTTGTCCGCTCAGAGCCAAGCCCACAATTTCTTCCTCAAGCAAGGGGAACACTTACTTAACTTTCTGGGCATTTATGCTAAGTCAGGCTTTTAGAATTTGGTGGTTGGATGATGACTGAGCAAACAGACACACAGTCCCATCCTATTCATGTTGGCTCAGAAGTAAATCTCATTTTGCATAGCCTGCAGCTGCAGTTCTGTGTGCATTTACTTGAGAGTAAACTTCATTAGACACAGGGGGTCTTCTTTCTGGCTAACGTTAATAGATTCCCATTGTATAGTTTTGAAACCCAACACTGAATGTAAACTGAGCTCAGCCTGAAACAGTTTAATGAAACATCAAGGAAGAGAAGGAAGAGGCATTCACAGCCGCAAATAGAAAATGGGATACCAGCCAGATTTTAGCACTGCCAAAAAGGATCCAGGGTCTTTGATGGATCGCAAACTGAAGGCAAGGCAATGAGGTTACACTGTCTTATAAAACGGCAAATGGCATTTATCACATCAGCTTTTTTGTTAAATAAATGAACTCCTTTTATAAGGTACTGGAATCTGCATTGTAACTTTATTTCACTGGACAGAGAATTGTTTTTGTTATGTTTTGAAAAATCATACAATTAAAGTTTTTATTTTTATTTTTTTAAAAATACTATAAAAAAACTATTTCTCTTGAAAATTTTCCAGTTGACATGAATGTTACTCCTGCCAACAACCTTGGCTTCAACAGGATCATTCCTAAGTAGGCTGGACAAATCTCGACAGTTTTGGATTTCTTATTTTTCTAGTCTTAAGTTCAGTTTGCATTTTTTTTTAAAAAAAAACTTATTAAAATTAGTCAGCGTTTTAGTGCAAAATTATATTAAATACATATTTTTGCGAACAAAATGAGTCTAATGTATGCATTTTCTGTTATTTTCACCATATATACATTTTTAAGGCACACTTTCCTCTTCATATACACATTTTGGCACACATTATTTGGTTGGAAGGATGCATCACAAAATTCACAGAAGTGCAAATTTCAAAGTATCGCTGTGCTTCGGTTCTCATATTGTTTCAGAAAGTGCGAGTTGGGCAGTTTTGCATTAGAATTTGAACCAAACCAAATTTCTGGACGGTCAGAAGCCTTCAGTTCACAGACTTCCAATGTGCTTGAGGATTAACTCATTCAACGCTGTCCCAGTATTGCTGCCGTAGTCAGTACGGTTTCAGAGGAGGTGTCTTGAGCACCATCTAAGCATGCTGTAGGAGAACTGTTTTGGCCATTGTGGCCCCCATACTGACTATGGACAAGACCATGAAGAATAATTCTCTATTCCTGAGAACAAACTCTCACTCACATATAGAAGAAAGAATGCTAAGGTTCTGTTGGCATAAATATAAAGTATAAATTAGGGGCATTGGTCAGCTGCCACCTGTATTGGGGAGGGGGCACACCAAGCTTTTTCTTCCCCAGTGCTACAAATCCCTTAACATTAGGGAATGGGCCATAGCTCAGTGGTAAAGCATCTATTCTGCATATAAAAGGTTCCAGGTACTATTCCTGGCATCTCCAGGCACAGCTGGGAAAGACCTCTGTCTGACATCCTGGAGAGCTGTAGATCACCCTTCCCCAATCTGGTGCTCTCCAAATGCTTGGGACTGCAACTCCCACCAAGATGGCCAATGGTCAGGGATGATGGCGGTGTAGACAGTATTGAGTTGGATGGATAATTGGCCTGACTCAACATAGAACAAATTCCTATGTACCACCACAAATTATTTATATGCCATCCATGTAACTGGGTTGTCCCAGCCACTCTGGGCAGCTTCCAACAAATTATAAAACATCAAACTGAAAAAACATCTCTATACAGGGCTGGCTTCAGACGTCTTCTCAAAATCATGTCATTGTTTATCTCCTTGGCAACTGATGGCAGGGCATTTCACAGGGTGGGTGCCACCACTGCAAAGGCCCCCTCTGCCTGGTTCCTTGTAAGCTCACTTACAAAGGGAATCACCAGAAGGTTCTCGCTGCTGGACCTCAGTGTCCAGGCTGAATAATGGGAGTAGAGATGCTCTTTCAGGTATACTGGGCCGAGGCCGTTTAGGGCTTTAAAGCTCAGCACCAACAGTCCCCTGTGCAACTCATAACATGATGAAAATGTTAAAGCTGCCCTTGGTTTTTGTTTTACATAAGAGGAGCATAACACTTAGTGTCAGAGAAATGTAGAAAAATATCCAGCTCTCCATCTATTCCTCCACAAACGTTCCCTAGGAGAGATCTTGAAATCTGGGCATCAGGCACACGTGAGAAGGAAACTGGGTCTTCATGCTGTTTGCTGCATAGTTTGTACTTTTGTTCTTTGTTCTGCCAAACACTGATACTTTCTGTGGAGTCTGCATTTTGATTTGAGGAGAAGCTCTCTTTGAGCCAAACTCCAAACCTGCTGTCCAGATGTGAATTTGGGTTGTCTCTATCGTGGCTCCCCCCTCCCCTAACTGCATGCGCATGCCTGTATTTTAATAGACTTTTTGACAGTGTGATATGTTCTTCTCTGGATACATATGTGTACGAGGGAGTGAGTGCATTTTGAAATTTTTCCTTGTGTACATACGTCATCGTCGTATTGGCTTGTTACACAAATAAGGACAGATAGACTTAAATTTAGTAGGTAGCCCAAAGTGCACTCAGCACAGTTACAACACACGTAGCGATAATGTTTTAATCAGGTGATCATACCAGGTGACTGAAGAGGAAAGAAACACACCAAAATAAAGCCACATGTCTTCAAACATTTTTTCCACCCCTCTCTTACACACAGAGCTTCCATTATCTTCCTGTCTGGAGCCAGGTATGTAAAACTTTGGGACGCGGGTGGTGCTGTGGTGTAAACCACAGAACCTAGGGCTTGCCGATCGGAAGGTCGACAGTTCAAATCCCCACGACGGGGTGAGCTCCCATTGCTCAGTCCCTGCTCCTGCCAACCTAGCAGTTCGAAAGCACGTCAAAGTGCAAGTAGATAAATAGGTACCACTCTGGCAGGAAGGTAAACGGCGTTTCCGTGTGCTGCTCTGGTTGGCCAGCAGTGGCTTAATCATGCTGGCCACATGACCCGGAAGCTGTCTGCGGACAAATGTCAGCTCCCTCGGCCTATAGAGCGAGATGAGCGCACAACCCCAGAGCTGTTTGCGACTGCACTTTACTGTCAGGGGTCCTTTACCTTTACCTTTTATGTTAAGCTTTGGAGAAGCAGGGTTGGCTGAGCAGCAGACCCCTGCTACTGTTTCTCTCTTAGTCTGTCACTGACTTAAAGCTGAATTTGATCTGTGCATATTGATAACATCCCAAAACCTGGAGACCAAGTCCTGTGAGGAACAGCTGAGGCAGCTGAGTCCTATGAGGAGAAGAGGCAATTCAGAGGTGATGGGATAACCATCTCCAGAGATTTGAAGGGCTGTCACATAAATGGTAGAATGAAATTGGGGGGGGGGTTGCTGCTTCAGAGGAAAACCTGAACCAACGGGTTCAAATGACAAGAAAGAGGATTCTGACAAAACGTCAGAAAGAACTTTGTGATGCTCTTCAACGGCAGAAGAGACAGCCTCAGAAGGTCACTACTTCTCCTTTGTTAGAGTCCTTTAAGCAGAACAATGTCAGATAAGCCCTGGCAGATCAAACCAGTGGCCCGGCTATTCCAGCATCCTGTTCTCATAGTGACCAACCAGATGCCTGTGGGAAGCTTGCAAGCAGGACCCGAGTGCAACAGGACTCTCTCCCTCCTGTAGTTTCCAGCAACTGGTATTCAGAAGCAAACTTCCTATGGCAGTATGAGGCAAGGGCTGAATGGTCACCTGGCAGGGATACAGTAATAGCAGATTTCCTGCATTGGAAGCGGGTTTGTCTGGGTGACCTTTGAGGAACCTGCCAGCTCATTCCCGGATACTTTAAAGTTTAAGGAACATACAGTGAGGGGGGAAAGTATTTGATCCCCTGCTAAATTTGTCCGTTTGTCCTCTGACGAAGAAATGACCAGTCCATAATTTTAATGGTAGGTTTATTGTAGCTGTGAGAGACAGAATAACAACAGGAAAACCCTCAGAAACCCAAAAGACAAAAGTCAGAGATTGATGTGCATTATAATGAGTGAAATAAGTATTTGACCCCTTTGCAAAAGATGACTTAGTGTTGTTGTTGTTGTTGTTTAGTCGTTTAGTCATGTCCGACTCTTCGTGACCCCATGGACCAGAACACGCCAAGCACTCCTGTCTTCGATGACTTAGTACTTGGTGGCAAAACTTCTTGGCAATTATAGAGGTCAGAAGTTTCTTGTAGGTGGCCACCAGGTTTGCACACATCTCAGGAGGTATTTTGTCCCACTCCTCTTTGCAGATCCTCTCCAAGTCAGTAAGATTTTGAGGCTGATGTATACAATAAACCTACCATTAAAATTATGGACTGGCCATTTCTTCATCAGAGGGCAAACGGGCAAATTTAGCAGGGGATCAAATACTTTCCCCCCTCACTGTAGCTCAGTCAGTAGAGCATAGAATCATAGCATCGTAGAGTTAGAGGGGACCTAAAGGTCATGAGACTCTTAATCTTAGAGTCGTGAGTTTGAGCCCCATGTTGGGCAAACAAATCCTGCATTGCTGGAGTTGGGGCTAGATGATGCTCTTAGTCCCTTCCAGCTTTACAATTCTGTGCTTCTAGGAGTGACAGGCCCAAGTCCACCCAGTGAGCATCATGGCTGAGTGGGGATTTGAACTTGGGTCTCCCAGGTCCTAGTCCGAAACTCTAACCCAAACATCAAATGATTGCTCTAGTAGCTTGGCGTTTCTTTGGCTTCTCTTTTATTTAATATTTAAACTAATATTTTCTTGCATATTTGGGTTTCTATCAGATATACAGAACACCCTCCTCCCCCATGCTTGCGAGGCCACTTTTGCCACCTCGCTGGTCACCATGGTGCCACCCGCTTCACTGTTAGAAGGAACGCTATGTGATGAGCAAAATGTCCAGGCAAATGAGTCCTTATTTATAGAACGTAGCAGGCTGCAAATAGTGGCATATACTGAAATAAGCACGGTCTGTAGGCGTAGACTGCGGTAGATGCTGGCATACGTGCAAAATATCTCTGTAAGTTCATATATGTGGCTTTCTTCTTGCTGGGCAAAAAACAAAAAACAAAACCTGGCTTGGCTGTTTGAGCTTTTAATAAACTGAAATTGTCTAGCTTGAGTGTTTGCTAAAGTTGGAGGCTCAGGATAGTTTTAGGCATTCTGGCACGCTAAGCTGGGCTTTCTGTGAGCCAGGGTTCCCTGCAGTTCATTCCTGGTAACTGTATTTGTGCTGCGGAACAATGCTAAACCAATAAAGAGAGTGCATCTGAGCATACAATCATAGAATTGTAGAGTTGAAAAAAACCCCTGAGGGTCATCTGGCCCAACCTCCCTGCAATGCAGGGATCTCAACTAAAGCATCCATGCACAAGATTTTATTATATACACTCTCTCTCTCTCTCTCTCTCTCTCTCTCTCTCTCTCCTAGCCCCATTTGCATATCTTTTGCCTGGAAGGGGACAAAATGTATGCACAATATGCATATTCAAAAGCTACAAATATTTATATGACTATGTAGGTGTGATTGAATGTGAACTAAGTAATGCATTATAATAAGTGACAAGTTTTATTTGCAGTATTTGGTCTTTACTTTCTGCTGCATTAAGAGGCACCCACTTTTAAAAAATGTGCCGCTAAGCAGCCACCTACATTTGCCTTGTACTGAGGGCAGCCCTCAGAAGGCAAATGTGAGGATAAGTTATTTGGAAAGAAAATTATCTGCAAGGCTGAAGTTCATAAAAATTAACCTGTACGCATAAAAAAAATTACATCAGTTAGGCAGCATCTAGGCATACCTTCAAACAGAAGCAATGCAGATTTATGGTGTGGACTGACCTTTGCTTATCCCTGCTCCTGTAACACACAATACCTGCAAACCCACCCAAACTATCCTCCATCTGATCTTCTCATTCTTCATCCTGCCTTTCCACTTTGTCTTACGTTTTTCAGTATCTTTCTTTCTTTCCTACTCAACATTACCACCACCACCACCACCACTACTACTACTGTACTACTACTACTTTACTTAGCTGAGAAGGTGGCAGCAGGGTGGTAGTTGCATATGTAACTGACAAGGGTCGGCCAATTAGCACTGTCCACAGCCTTGCTCTGAAAAAGGGGGAGGTGGCTTTGTGACTCACACTAGGAGCAGCCAATCAGTGCTGTGTGAAGCCAGCTTCTGCCGAAAGCTGGAAGCACGGGTTTCCCTTGTGGGTTGTACGTCTGCTTGAAATACGGTAGTTGTGTTTCCACAGTAGCCTTCTGGCTAAAATTATGTGCATCTGCCTGCCCTCTTAGCGCATCAGAACACCTGTTATCCCCTGATGTACACAGAGCAGTATGCCTGGTCACCTGGATGGACTGGCCCAAGGCAATCAGAGATGTACAGCTATTTACAGGCCCGCTATAATTAGTGCATGAGAAGAACTGCTTGGCGATATTCAGAGATATCAGGCATTGAGTTTTGGGGAGTGGGGACTTCAGCGCTTTTCTCAATCTCCACAGGTGCATGAAATCCATCCTTCAGTCTTTGCAGAGCGGCAGAGAACAAGAATCTATAACAGCCTCTTTCCCTCCCTCCACCCGCCCCCCTTGTCTTTAGCTAACATCTCCTCTGGAGATTCAGCAATTTGGTTACCTCAAAGGGAAAACTGACAAGCCCTGTCAATCAGAGCCATGTATTAACACTGATATCACGGGGAGCGGAAGCCATATGTTTGCTCTTGTTCCTTTGCTGTCCGTTCTCGTCTGAGATTATGTTTTCATTATTTCCTCAATCTGCTGCTTGTTTCCTGGGAGCTGTGGCTTATTGTCGCTGCAGCTGAACATTCGTGGTGCTATCACAGCTCTCGGCTTTGTTTCTGCATTTCCTTTAGCAAACTTAAAACAACAGAAACAACAACACCACAAAACGTTTCACTCTGCTGCATATCCTGTTTTACATTTCCCCTCTGCAGTCCTTGCGTGAGGCACGCATCTCGTTGTAATGCACTGGGCCCCCTTCTCCTCTTCCCAGGCTGCTAAACAAATCACATGTTTTCGGCGGCATATTCTCCAAATCAGATTTTACAAGGATACATTTTTTCAAAGGGAAGGCATTTCCACCCCGATCTTTTCAACGGTTTCTTACAGCAGATACATGCTGAGTTGGGGTGGGTGGGTGGGTGTGTATTCTGGAGCATGTAGTATATTTCAGCTGTAAAAAGTACAGACGTCGTAGATGAGTGAAGGCAGATACATGAGGCAAAGTAGTAATGGAATACTTTGTGGCCTGATTTCATTCTCCAGCCTAGACTTCAAAGCGATTCATGGTTTTACCCTGGAGAGCCTGCAAATGCAACTTATTTTTATTTATCACTATTATTATCAGTGTGGAGTGTCTGGCACTGCCTGTGAATTTCTAGAAACCAACACCCCCCCCCCCAACATTGTGATTTTGAAATGGATAGTGTGTCATTTGTGAGCCAAAAAATTAGGTGAAATCACACCAAAGTCATGTTTGGGTCTGCCATATTGATTCAAAATGGCTCTCGGAACCCACACAGCGATGTGTACCCTCACCCCCAGTTCAGCATCCCTCATTCTGAATACGGTGACAATATCTCAAGAGGCAGCAGAACCTTTGCTAAAAAACTGGTGGAGTCACACCAAAGTCATGTTTTGGTCTGCCACTGTGATTCAAAATGGCTCCTGGCACCCAAATGTCAATAGCTACCTCCTCGCCTTCACTTGAACATGATTTGAAGCCTGGCACAATCAGGAAGGTCCATAGCTCAGTGACAGAGCAGTTGCTTTGCATTCAGAAGATCCAGGCTCTGTCCTTCTCGTCTCCAGGTAAGGCGGGGAGATAACCCTGCCTGAAATACCAGAGAGTTGCTGCAAGTCAGGGTAGACAATACTGAGCTAGATGGGCCAATGGTTTGAATCAGTATAAAGCAGCTTCCTGTGTTTCTATGAACCCTGGTAAAACAGAGGCTTCTACTTGCGCTCAACAGAAACATGAATGGAAACTCCTGTGTAGCTTCCCAGAATGAACACCGGAAGATTGGGGACTGAGCAGACAGGGACATGCCTGGTGGTGTGTGCAGCCCTATGCTTCCTACTTGTACAGTGGTACCTCGGGTTACAGATGCTTCAGGTTACAGGCGCTTCAGGTTACAGACTCCACTAACCCAGAAATAGTACCTCGGGTTAAGAACTTTGCTTCAGGATGAGAACAGAAATCACGAGGCGGCAGCGGGAGGCCCCATTAGCTAAAGTGGTACCTCAGGTTAAGAACAGTTTCAGATTAAGAACGGACCTCCAGAACGAATTAAGTTCTTAACCCGAGGTACCACTGTATTCATATTTCCTGTTCAGGTATAGTACCCATGTTATCGGCCATGAGCTGGCAACCTGCACAGAACTTTGCTTAACGGTTGCCATTAATTTGATTTTAATTATTTTTTATAATGAAATGTTTTAGAATGTTGGATTATTTGATTGTTTGATTATTTGATTGTTGTTAGCCGCCCTGAGCCCGGCTTTGGCTGGGGAGGGCGGGATATAAATAAAATTTATTATTATTATTATTATTATTATTATTATTATTATTAGGAACCCAGTCAGTGATGTGACTATTCCCGTTATTCTGAAACCTGTTTTAAAATAACAAATCTATACAATATTCACTGGTACTTTTAGCACAGTAACTTCCTCTTCTCCAGGGTAGCTGCACTTTACTGTTGCCAAACACTCTATCTCCTTTTTCTTCCACAACCCCTGCCCCCCCTCTCCGTTCTCTGTTATTTTGCATTTTCCTTGGCAATTAATAGCCTATTGATGCAAAAGTTAGAAAGGATTAGCATAAAGAAAATGTAAAACTGTTCTGCACTTCATTAAAAAAAAAAGCAGCCATTTAGTTTTCATATTTAACTGACTAAAACTCCCCATAATGAACTCAGCATAAATGCATCAGATTTTCCAGACTGCTAAGCCTGCCATTGGGGAATTGCTTTGCAGATGTTTTCTTTAAACAGGGTCCAGCATGAAGTGGAATGCAAAGATTCTCATCTGCAGATTTGGTCTGAGAGCCATCTAAGGGCCCAAGTGAAAGGGATGCAAGAGAACCTTCAATGGATCTCCCCATTCCATGAAACAAGCGTTTTATCAGTTCAGAAGATACTGTATTCTGTGGTTCCTGAGCAACTTGTATTATATCATGCCAACATCGCCCCCCCCCCCAACATTAAATGGATGTCTTGGCTCAGTAAATAAATATTTAGTAGTTGGTCTCCACAGTCCAGTTAAGATGGAATTCTCTGCCAAGATGGATGGATTTGCCAATTTAATGAAAACAAATTAGGTATTCCAACTTGACTGGGTTATGGAACAAGCTGCATGGGAATTCAAGTTATGTGGGTGCTATGATCATTTGCTGCCAAGAGCTGCTTTTTTCCATTATTATATGCCCCAAATTACTGCTTGCATGTGCGCTGTATGAGCAGTTTCCACCGTGAGCAGCCTTCCCCAACATGGTGCCCTGCATGCATCAAGCAAGACTGACACAGAACAGTGCATGAGTCTGCTCTGAGGCCACCTCCAGATGGCCTGCTTATTGAGTGGTCCTTCTTTTTTGTTTTCAAGGACATTGGGCAATGTTGACTATGCCAATGAGTGTTCATTCTGATTTGTTTGTGCAGAGGTTAGATGGCATTTTGTCAAAGCAAGTGTCATCACACACTTTCTAGTGACTTTCCCCATCACTTTCCTTATTTTGGGGGGAAACGGATTAGTTGCATCAAAGCTCCTAATTATCTATAATTGCTCAACCTGAATTTGCTAGCGTGTGATTGAATCCCACCCCAAAACACCCTTAGTCACCAAATGTGTTGAAACTTTGCAATGGATTCTTGAATAAGGGGCTCTTGAGTTCCAAATCCAATGGACGAGTAGCCCACCACTCTGTTAATTCTGCAGCAGCACACACAGAGATGATGGTATTTAAGTTACTGACCTTAGCTGTTTTTAATAACAATTGAAATGTTCCTTTTCACTAGCAGCTATATTAAAAGATGTTTTCCTTTCTTGGGCACCCCACTGTATGAAATAACAAGGAATGGCAATTTGTGAAGTGGGGAATGTTGATTTAAAGCAGAGTCTGTCGTGGCCAGCGGAAGGATGAGGAAAATGTGCTGCATACTCAATATTGCTTTATTTACAGTTCAAAGCTGGTATATTACAGAAAGACATCTTGCCTCTGCAAGAGCAGAAAAATGCATCCTCTCTCCTCGACAGCTTGGAGAGAAACACACAGTGAAAAAACAGGAAACCAGTGTACGTCACATCCAGTCTCCCTTTCCCGTGAGAAACTCCAACAGTACAGACTGTGGAATGTAAACACCTGTCTTGTGACTGCAGTTGCTGCTCAGTGAAGGAAATAGAAACCAACATCCTCCCCTTTCTGTGAACATCACTGGGCAGCGTGTTCGTACAATATCAGTACAAACCCAACTTCTGCACATAGGTACAGTGTTGATCCCTTGATACAATCTTGGACAATACATCAGCAGGAATTTCATTACCTGGCATATAGGACACCGTTACGAGTCCCTTCTGAATACATTCCCTAGCATGCTGCAACTTTAATTGCAAGTGCTTTGTGCTTTGCTTACAACCTTCAGACTTCAGCAAAGCCAAACATGCTTTGTTGTCCTGGTAAACCTGGATTGGACATTTGACAGGAATTTTCATATCTTTGCACAATTGTACTAACCATTCACAATCCTTAAGTGAATAAGACAGTGCATTCAGTTCAGCTTCACAAGTACTTAAGCTAACTGTTGTTTGCTTCTTGCATGACCAATCAAACAGACTCTGATTGTACATGTAGCAAACTCCAGACGTACTTTTCCTGTCTGTAGTGTCACTTCCAAAACTTGCATCTGCAAATATCTCAAGACCACCAGACTTCTGATTGTTAAATCTCAGTCTGTAATGCATAGTGCCTTTCAAATACCGCGCTATGCGTTTCAGAGCTTTCCAATCCTTGACACTAGGATTGTTGACTTGTCTGCTTAGCAAATTACAGCTAACAGCAATGTCTGGTCTTGAACATCTGGCAATGAAGTTTAGCTTGCCTAGCACACTCCTGTACAGTGTAGTGTCAGAAAATGCTTCTTCAGTGTCATCTACCTGATAACCTGTTGTCATCGGTGTGTCTACAGGGTTAGCATCCATCAGATTTAGTTTGCTTAACACATCAGCAATTTTCCGTGACTGGTGTACTAGAATGTTACCATCTTGATCTCTCTCTATTTCCAGAGATAGGTAGTTGTTTACCTCACCAAGATCTTTCATGTCAAAGTGCTCTTTCAGTTGAGCTAGGGCGCTATTGTACATTGCAACATCTTTCCAAAAGAATAATAAATCATCAACATAAAACAAACAGTACAGTTTCTTTTGCCCCTCCTCTTTGACAAATACACATGGATCAGCTTTCCCTTGCTGAAAACCTAGAGAAAACAATACTTCAGTGAGTTTTGTGTGCCAACACCGTGCACTTTGTTTGAGACCATAAAGGGATTTCTTCAGAGCACAAACAAATCCCTGTTTTACCTGTACGCCATCAGGTGGAAGCATATAAAGTGATTCATCTAGAGATCCGTACAGAAAAGCTGTATTAATATCATGGTGACTAATGTGTAGATTTTCCTCTGCAGCTAGCTTGAGCATAAGCCTAATGCTTTCATATCTCACTGTGGGTGAATAGGTCTCGTGATAGTCTTCACCTGGTACCTGTGCAAAACCTCTGGCTACCAATCTGGCTTTGTGTCTGACTATCTTGCCATTTTGATCTGTCTTCGCTTTGAAGACCCATTTGCTTCCAAGCAGTTTCATTCCTGGAACTACTGGAACTAGCTCCCATGTTTTGTTCCTTTCTAAGGAATCAAGCTCAGCCTTCATGGCATTTAACCATGGCTCAGCTTCCTTCGAATCCAAACCCTGGATTTCTTGGAAACTTGAAGGTTCAAATACCTTCTTGGAGCTTTTAACAGCTGTTACTGCTATCTTAGCAAACTCATCAGCAAATCTCTTTGGAGGTTTGCTTTTGTGGCTCTCTGTGACCTACGAATTAGCCTTAAGTCTTCAACACTCTCCTCTTCCTTCTTAGGAGAAAAACGACCTATTGTGAACAATGGTTCCTCCAATTCTTGATCAGAGCTTTCAGAGGGTCGCATAGAGGCTTTCGCACTCTTGAAATCCTCTGAATCACCTGATTCAGTTTCAGATTCAGACTCAGAACCTTCATCAGTGGGTGTGGGCTGTTGTGGTTGCTTTTGACTATCCTCAGTCTCATCACCGTCATCAGGATAACATTGGAAAATTCCCACATTCTCCCCCAACTTTGCATTGTACTCAACACTTCTCGTGAGCTTAATTGTCTTAGAGTCAGTCATCATTATTCTGTAAGACCCTTTCTGATAACCTAGAAAGATACCATGCAATCCACGCTTGTCTAACTTGGAGTTTTGTGGTGAGCGAACCCACATGTCAGAACCAAACATCTTCATGTGTTTGATGTATGGCTTCTTGCCAAACATCTTCTCATAGGGGGTACATCCAATCGCTGAAGATAGCCTGCGATTGTAACTGTAAACAAAACACGAGAGAGATTCGGCCCAATAACTCTCTGGAAGATTGGCATCATGCAGCAAGGTTTTTAACCCTTGAAGCAATGTCTGATTTGCCTGCTCCGCAAGTCCATTCTGCCATGGCGAGCGAGGACTAGACAAATCGTGTTGAATTCCTTTCTCAGTCAGAAAAGCTTCAAACTGCTGAGAAGTGAATTCCCCCGCGATCACTGAAAAGAGTCTTTATCTTCTTACCATGCACATTTTCCAACCAAGCACAGAATTCCTTGAACCTAGGAAAAGCCTCCGATTTCTGCTTGAGATTGTACACAAAAATATATCTAGAAAATGCATCAATGAGAACCATGAAGTATCTATTTCCACCCAAAGAGGGCGCATAGTGGTCCAACCAAATCAGCATGAACAACCTGGTATGGTTCTGTAGCTTTCCTACTAGACACCTTACCTTTCGCAGCCATTTTCACCTTGTTTGCTGCGCATGCTTTGCACTTCATGTGGTACCTGCAGGGTTTAATAGTCATACCTTCAACCAAGGCAGGCATTTTAGATACTGCCTCAAAATGCAAATGACCAAATTTGCGATGAAAATCGTGAATACATTCTGCATGCAAACTTTTGTTAGAACCTGCAATGCAACAAGTGTCATCCTGCACCACATCATCATAATACAAAACAAACAAATGATCAACATATTCTGCATGCAATACATAATCATTTTTCTTTGTGATGATGCACTTCTTGTTCTTGAAGGAAACGTCAATGTTCCGCTCATTCAGCTGTCCAACGCTGAGCAGATTATGTTTGGCGTCTGGCACGTAAAGCACATTCTGTATCGATAAGTCCAAACTGTGAAGAACAACAGTTCCGTAGCCTTTACTGGGAATAGTGTGGTCATCCGCCTGGTGAATCGCACCTTCCTGCGGTGTAAAAGACACAAACAGTTTCTTATCGTTGCACATGTGGTGGGTGGCCGCTGAATCAACAACGAAGAAAGATCTAGACGTCTTCTGGACCTCTGCAACCTTTGGAGTGAAGCGTGAAACCATAGCCTTGTGCTGCGTTGTCCTAGACACCGGACCTTTGCCTTTGCCTCGGCCTTTTCCGCGCGATGAGCTTCGCTGCGCTGCTCTGTCTTGGCCCTGGGATGTCTGCATTCCCTCTTCATATGGCCTAGACGTCCACACGAGTAGCATTTCACTGCCTTCAAAGCTTTGGCGCCATCTGGTGGTTCCACTGCACTATGGGATGACGTCTGTGAAGACTCTCCTTGCCCATGCAGCTAGCACCCCGGCGATCTGCTTCATTTAAAATCACGGCAGTAACAAAGTCCACTGTCAGCTGAGCAGTTGGTTGCACAGCAATCTGGGTTGCAACAGACTCCCAACCTGAACCCAAAGATTGTAGTATCATGAAAGAATACACAGCCTCTGGAAAGTTGAGTCCTCTCTGTTGCAGCTCATGTCTCAGATTTTGCATCTGCATCAGATGTAAACGCACATCTCCACCTTCAGCAAGAGCCATATTATGCAGCTTGTTAAAATAAAACATAGTGGATCCAGCTTCTGTCCTTAAGTGAGCCTCTCTCAGAGCGTCCCAAATTTCTCTGGCTGAGGTCTTATCACGCAATAGACAGAGCTCTTCTGGGGATACTATCAATGTAAGAGTTCCCTTGCTTTGGAATCCTTAGCTTCCCATGCATCTGTAACTGGAACTGGGGGTTTCTGTAATCACCTCAAACAAACCCTCTTTCCGCAGAATTGCCTCTGCATACTGAACCCAGTCGCTGTAATTTTTCTTGTTGAGCTTAGGAATCCCACAAGCATCCTGAAGGGCCATCATGACTCTGGCATTAGCCTTCAGCGTCATTATATGCTGCTTTAAATCTTGCTGCGTCACTGCTGCAGCTGCCTTATCACAAAGGCACACTTAAAAGTTACTTTCGATTTCCCAGCATAGTGACTTGTGCCTGGGAGCCTTTTGCCTATTCCCGCAAAACCGGCTTTAAAAGTTCAAAGTCCAGCCATAAAGCCATTAACTTGAAGCTGGCAGGCTGCCCGGAGCAGTAGCACATACCTCATCAATCACTTCTACGCGCAGAGCAGATTCCTTTCCGATCCGTCCCTCTGCATTCCGATCCTTTGCCGGCACTCCGATTCGACCTCTGGAGTCCATAACCACGTGTTGATTTAAAGCAGAGTCTGTCGTGGCCAGCGGAAGGATGAGGAAAATGTGCTGCATACTCAATATTGCTTTATTTACAGTTCAAAGCTGGTATATTACAGAAAGACATCTTGCCTCTGCAAGAGCAGAAAAATGCATCCTCTCTCCTCGACAGCTTGGAGAGAAACACACAGTGAAAAACAGGAAACCAGTGTACGTCACATCCAGTCTCCCTTTCCCGTGAGAAACTCCAACAGTACAGACTGTGGAATGTAAACACCTGTCTTGTGACTGCAGTTGCTGCTCAGTGAAGGAAATAGAAACCAACAGGGAATTCCAGTGTTCCTGATGGGAGAGGCTGGCCATCGTCCTCGTATTTCACTTTTATTCTCAATTTAAGGGAAATAAATGGTACAGCAGCTATTTAAATGTGGCGCGGCTTCAAAGACTTGAGCCGTGGTCAATGTGTCATGCTTCACAAACTTGTTTGGGACTTCCACCAAAACACACACACACACACACGAATTTCAGGCAAACAATGTGAGTTGCCTGCACCACCCTCCCCTCCCAATTAGTCCTGGATTTGTTTTCTTCTCTGCTGTAATGTGATCCTGGGCATGCCTGCATCTAATACAGAGAGTTCAGAGGCTCCTTTGGAGATGCTTTGTTATATACACCATGCTCTGCAGAGGCAAGAGGGGAGGCAGGCAGGAGGAATGTCTGTCCTGCTGTTGGATTCTCAGCTGCCTGCTGAGGCTCAGAATTCTGCCTTTGCATCTGAGCAGAGTTCACTTTCATTCATCCTCAGCTGCCCCCCCCCAAATACCACGCAACTGCCCTCCTCCCCTCTCTCACTCCTTGGCCTCTTCCATGTTCAAGGCTGAGCAGCTCCAGCCGTCTTCGGAGATACCGTTATCCAATATGGTGTTTCAGGCCAGCAGCATCTGTCGGACTTCTCAACGGAATCAGGGAGTTTTATCCGTTGTCTTTAAATAATACATGCACGTTAAAACAACAACAACCAGACAAAAATTACTTTTTAGTCCTTGGGCTAAGTCGCTGCTCTCCCAGTTATGACTCCGTCAGTCGAAGTGTTTTGGGAGCAGGGCTGCCCCTGTGATAGAATCCTCGAAGGGACCCCGAGGAAATCTAGTCCAACCCCTGTTCTGGAGGGGAAATCTAGGCAGGATGCTGACACTCAGCCACAAAAGTACAGTGGTACCTTGGTTCCTGAACGGCTTAGCTGTTGAACAAATCGGCTCCCGAATGCCACAGACCCAGAAGTAAGTGTTCTGGTTTGTGAACGCTTTTCGGAAGCTGAACATCCGACTTGGTTTCCAGTTGAGGTCAGGAAGCTACTGCAGCCAGCTGGAAGCCACGCCTTGGTTTTTGAATGGTTTCGGGAGTCAAATGGACTCCCGGAACTGATTAAGTTCTGTAGTTGTATAGTAGGATTAGGGGTCTTTTCAGGTTATCATTCCTTAGCACAACAAACATGCTGGTCATTTTGTATGTTGGGGGGATCTGAAATGAGCACCCCTTTAGTGAAAATCTGAAGGAAAATTGGAACCTCTCACTTGGGAGAAACACCCAAGGAATCTTGGAAGATACTGTCCCCAGACATTCCCTCTGAAGAGGCATCTGGAAATTGCAGTTTTCTGAGGAAAATAAGGGGTTTCCTAACAACTTTCAGAACCCTTAAAAACCCGCAGCTCCCAGAATTCTTTGGGGGAAGCCATGGCTGTTTAAAGTGAGGGAATCATAATGCTTTAGATGCATTGTATGAATGTGGCCTTAGTTATCATGTTTCACAATGGGCATGTTTCACTTGTACTTTCATGGTTTAAACATTTTTTTTAAAAAAGAAATACTGAAGTTTTGCCTAAGAGTGATATTTACCTGACCAAGTGATAAAGAGGTGTTGCGCAAGACATCTGTTCAAAATAACACTGATAATTAAAAGCTCCAACCTAACTGGGTTGTTAAAATTTGAGTGTGCAACTGTTGGAAATAGAAGAAGAAGAAGAAGAAGAGTTTGGATTTGATATCCCGCCTTTCACTCCCTTTTAAGGAGTCTCAAAGCGGCTAACATTCTCCTTTCCCTTCCTCCCCCACAACAAACACTCTGTGAGGTGAGTGGGGCTGAGAGACTCCAAAGAAATGTGACTGGCCCAAGGTCACCCAGCAGCTGCATGTGGAGGAGCGGAGACGCGAACCCGGTTCCCCAGATTACGAGACTACCACTCTTAACCACTACACCACGCTGGCTCTGGCTGCCAGAAACAAAATGGCTAGGCTGTGCTTAGGTAAGGAGATGATGGAAGTAGATGTCAGAACCTGCCCAGTGAAACATCACCACATGTGACAAACCACCAACCAGAAAAGATGTGCTTATGAGCTTACACACCAACTGAGATTGCAGATGCATAACAGGCTAGTTCTACTTAACCGGGTTTTCTGCAGTATGAGGATAACTGGGTTAAATGTTCAAAAAGTATGGGCTGGCATTTTGATGATGATATCATGAGGATGTAACACACCGTGAGTTGTCCTGATTCCAAACTAAACTCCTGTCTGGAAGCACCAGAAGCCAAAGTTTTCCCAAGAATTGCAGTGGCTCAAGAAACAGAGCTTCAGCTCAGCTCTTGGAGCCCATAATTCTCATGCATCCACCCAGTGATTGGTGACCTTGATGTCTTTGCCATCACAAGAGCACAATATTTTTTCCTCTTCTGCAGGTTGGAAACTGAAGCCAGATAACATTTATTGGAGTGTAAAGTGTCTCAGAGCGAGAGACAAAATGGTTTGATGAGGCATTGAAAGAGGGATAGAAAATCAGCCTGATCATTAGAAGACGAGAGGTCATTTCAAACACGGGGCAGATGTAAAAAGAAGACATGAATTCCAAATGTGCTGATTCTGACAGGAATCTTTTTGAATGCTGTCGAATACACCCACCCACCCCTAATACATAATTTCTCCTTCCTGAGGCTTCTGTTTTCATCTCAGTACAATTACTGACCAGGTCAAATCTTCTGCGAGGTTCTTGTGCCAAGGGCAGATCTAACTGGAGAAATGAGAGGGATGGGTTGACTGTGTCAATGTCTGCTGCTGTCATTTTCTGAGGAATCAGGTGCCTGCCAGAGACTGTTTTATTGTTTATGTATGTGCTGTCTGGAGATGAAAGAGCAAGATATACGAGGTGTGGGATTTGGATGAGGAGACTCAAGACAGCAGAGACAGGTTTCAGTATGGACTCTCGAAGCTAGGACCGAGCAGCGGGCTTTTCCATCCAGGCCGCATTGCTTTGGATAAAGCCTCATCACTTCGCATTGCCAGTGGAAACAGCGACCTCAAATGGCAGCCAGCCCCCTCCTTGACACTATCAATTAGGTAGCTTCAAAGGAGGAGAAGGAGCTATCTAATCTGCAGACAGGAAGGTGGCGAATTCTAATTAGGTCTAAATTTTGTCCCACTTAAATAGCAGGCTGCCACTCACTCTGTCAGAAGAATCAGCATAAGGGAGATTAATGACCCCACTCCAACATGCACACACAAAGATGGCAGTGCCGTAATCTGGAGGCTATGAAGCGAGCAGCACTAGTTATACAAGCCACGGCTGGTTGGTCCTTGGATGGGTGTTCTCTAAGGAAAAGCAGGAAATAGGATGTTGATGACTCAGAATCTTTCTCCTTAGCATAATGAGAGCATTCGGAGGTGAGAATGTCCCTTTGCTGTAGTCTGGAGGGAAAACTCTAATAAGCATTTGCAATCAATTAAACAAACTCTCCGAAAGTATGTCTTTCAATAATGTTTTTTCTGATAAGCTTCTGGTAAGCTTTAAAATCTTTATAATTATTTGTAAGGGCAAACAGAAATAATTAACAAGAAAGAGATTAGTCCTAATATGTTTTCTCTTCCTTACGGCCCACCCACCCCTCTGCTGCACATTTCATCCTCCTTCTAAGACAGCTATCAGTAGTGTGATATCCAGACTGATAGAAAGGGAAAGAGATAAAACGAATGGAAAAGAAAATGACAGTATGGGAAAAGGGAAGAGTGGTAAGTAAAACAGCAAGGGGAGCTGGCAATAAGGTCCGCAGGCAACTAGTCCTTAAGAATTAGGTTCCAAAATGCTTCGTGGATCTGTATCTGAAGATTTGGGAGTGAAATTCTCTAAATCTATGGATGATCCCAGTAGTATGAAAGGAAATGCAGGGTTATCCAGCCCATTCAGTGCTAGCTGGTGCCCAGTGGATTTGGTAGGGTGGAAGACAGGGAGACCTACAGTAGATGGAGCCAGAGCCAGTGATAGGTGGAGCCACCCAGTTCATTTTCTCCTTATCTTCTTTCCTGCTGAGTTCTACAAGGGCAACACTTAGACCAGAGTTTCCCACACTTGGATCTCCAGCTGATTTTTGGACTACAACTCCCATCATCCCAAACTACCAGGACCAGTGGTCAGGGATGGTGGGAACTGTAGTTCGAAAACAGCTGGAGACCCAAGTGTGGGAAAACCTGACTTAGACTAATGAGGAGGAACCTGATAGGCAGTGCCACCCCTAAGGTGGTGGTAAGTAAGAAGGAGGAGGGAGGTGGGGAGTGACTTAGAGCAGACTTAGAGCCCCCTGTGCCCTAATGGACCAGTCTCCACTGGGTCCATTGCAAGCAAGCAACATTTTCATGGGTATTTATTTATCCAAGCAAAAACGGACAAAAGCCAAGGCATCTGTTGCAACTGAACCCAGTGTTCATCATGGGAATGATATTGCTGGAATTATAACGAAGCAGCTAATCGATTCAGCTATAAATTAAGAACCCCGTAATTCAAATCTTACCTCCAGGATGGACTCACAGAGTGGCTTTAGCCATGGCACTGTTAAGTATAATTGTTTAATTGCACACTGAAATGGAGAATGCCTGTATGTACGTATATTACTTGGGGTTTAACTGGAAATTTCCACTGAAGCTAAAGAAGAGCAAAAAGAGTTCTCTTTAACTGAGTTGATACTTAACTGTTGTTGCCCTCTGCTAGCACACATGTGAGTGTTTCACCTTAGATAATGTGAGGGTATTCAATTGCAGATCGCCATCTTGAAGGGAGTTGCCTCTTGAGTGTTTCTCAAGCAGCTAAGACAAAGGATGCGATAATGAGGTCTCTCCTAAAGGGAAAACTTCTCCAGGCTGTAATGGAGGCTGTGGCGAAAGGCAGACCTCTGATTTTAGATCTGTTTGGAGTATTTTATAAGAAGCTGAGCCTGGGCTGGACATGCACATGATTGTATGGAATTATTTGGATGTATCATTGATGTTTTGTATCTGTTTTTTTGAAAAAGTTCTGGGTAGTAAAGCTTTGAACAATACTAATGGTTCTGGACAACGTTTTATTCCAAGAGGAGTCAGTCTTTATGCATCCAATTGCTTCAAGCTGTGCAATATTAATATCTGTAATAGGCACTCTCTCAGTCCCCACCCTGTCTGCAATATGGGGATGATAATAATATCACAATCTACCTTTACAGTGTTTGCTGCCTGCTGGGGTACTGTGCGCTAAACATTTTTGACACTCAGAAAAGCACTACATAAATGTGAAGTACTGTATTGTTAGCTATTAATTTCTGTAGCCCGGCCTGTGAAGTGCTTTCCATCTCTCCACTTCCAAAATTCACGTTCTGATTGTAGGAGCCAGTTAACATGCTTATGCTGTTTCTTGCCCCATTTTGGTGAGGAAGCAGATCAAGCCCAGTGAGACTAAATGAATGAGAAATGCTTCGAGGGAGATGAAACTGCAAGGCTTATAGATTTGCCAAGAAAAGTTTGAAAATGAAATTAATACCGGCATAGATAGACATAATGACTTGGTTCAGAAATAATTAGAATGAGCTTTGTGCTCCTCTGTGTCCTCCCCTCCCCCTCCAAAGGGATAGTTGTGGTTCGAGGACCCGATCCCCGCGTAGTGGAATGAAAACACGAGGACACATGATATAAGTTTAATGGGCAAGAAAAGGCCACAACTTTATTGATTACAGCAAGTGAAAAGGTATTGGCTTAGGCATTGGATTACGTCAGCTGACTCCACCCCCTCAGAGAGGGGTGAGTCTAAAACAGGGGGGTTTATTCACCAGTAGGTGGAGCCTATTGATGCTAATCCAACTATAAGCTCTCCCCTGATGTCACTGAGGGTCGTGCCATGGCCTCCCGCAACACAGGCATCAGACAGAATACACGACCGCCGGATTCCTTTAACGGAATACCCAAAATTGAAGGTGCAGGCAATGGCCACACCTAGCCCTTCGACACACCACAAACACATTATTCCAATGCCTAACCTACCCACCAACACCACGAAAGTTGTGACGATTGCTACGAGGTAGGCGAAAAAACCAAAAAGCCTAATGCTAAATGGAAAAATTCCTACCAGGCCCCCCGGACAACCAGGGCGACCAACCTAAGGTCCATAGCAAGGCCAAAAGAAAACTGAGACCCTGAGCTCTAAGGGAGTGGAGGGTGGGTGACTCGCGACGGTACGACGAAAAGTGAGGCCGGAAGGCTGGTGCCACAGCAATTTAGGCTGCTAAACACGCCCCCTCACAGGCACCTGGTTGGGTGCCTGCCTGTGGGCGTGGGCGCCAGCCAGGTTAGTGGTAGGCAGGGGGCTAACGCCCCCTGCTTGAGGTGGAGTCCAGCTCCCGACCACAACCACTCCCCTCTCTTGCAGGAGGAGAGTCTTTGTGATGCAGCAAAAAGAACAGGGAATATTATGGCACCTTAAAAGACTAACCAATTTATTCTGGCATAAGCTATCATATGCATGAAGCTACATCAGATGCATGAAGGGTTACACTGAATTATAGATATCTAGTCATAGTGAGGTCAGAGGGAAATGCAATCCAGAAAAGTACAGACAGTAATTAATAGAGAGTTATATCCAATGAAGGCATCCCATTAGCACAAAGACTTCTGCCTGTGCAATGGGACTTCCTTTCCCGCTCCCCTCTCCTTCTGCTCCCCAATCTTTTATGAGGTTTTCCCAGTGATACTTCACAGAACAGTTCTTGGTAACACAGACATTCTGGCACTGGTAAGCAAATGAACACATACAGTAAAAATACTTTGTCTTGGTTCAGTTCACAGTTGATAGCACTGAACTTGATGTCTCGTAGTTCAGCACTTTAACATCGCAGTCTCACTTTGCCAGAAAATTTGAAATGGCAATTTTCACAAGGCCAGCAGTGAAAGATTTCAAGCTCACAGGCAACTCTTATCCAAATTTACCTTTCCTCCACTCTTCGCAGGCATGGCTTGAGATTTAAAGCTCCATGTCAGAGCACTCCCTTTCTTTTGCCCCAAGTTTCCCCCACAAAAACTCACCCTTTAAAGCTGAATCGGAGCGAATGTCTCCATTTGCTCCAATTCAGCTTTAAAGAGCTGCCTTTCATGGGAAAAGCTCAGGGCAAAAAACCCACGCTTGGACCCAGAGCATCAAAAGTGTGGAAAGAGCAGGGCAAAAGATAAGTTAGTAGTCAGACTGGAGCAAAGGAATTACAGCATGGAACTGCTGGACTATATTGTACCAAAGGGGTTTGATGCTTTTGTTTGTGGACTGAACCTGGATGAAGGATTCTCTGCATGCTGAGTTTTGGGGAAAGGCAGAAACAGTGAGAAATGGTCTCTTTGCAGCAGAAATTGAGGGAGGGTCAAAAAAGCAGCGAGAGGTACTTGCATTGCTACTGACATTTTCCAAAGTTCACACCAAGTGAGAGGCCAACGCTCCACCCACCCAACCCTTTACCCTCTGCAGAAGTTGATGAAATATATATATAATGATTGGATCATAAGTCGAGCAAAAGTCTGTGCGGCCTTTGGTGAATTTGCTGTGGATTTTGAGTGCCGGGCTTCTGGCTAGCAAATCAGATGCCTCTGAAGCAGAGAAATAGAGCATGTTTCATAGCAGCATTCCTTTTGCAGCATCAACAGGAGCTCTGGTTACATGTATAATCCCTCTCTTTATTATCTGGAAAAGGGAGGAGATAGGGCCTTCTCTGACCTGCTCCTTCCTTTAGCGGTTTGCATGTTAATTAGCTCAGCTCTACGGCAGGAGCACGCAGACCTACAGAGCGTCAATTCAGTAACTAAACAATGTCCAATTATCCCAGCTTAGGGAGCAAGGAGCAGGCTGCTGGCGCGTGGACACTGCAAACGCAGCCAAATGGCTCCTTGAACTCACTTGGCTTGGGCCAGCAATGCCGCTTGGGGGGAATTTAAGACGTGTCAGCAATTTCAGCTGAGCCCCCTTGCCCCAGCTACCAAAAGCAGAATTGCCAGACATGTTAGGAGCATCTTCACTCCCAGCTAAAGCACAGCTACCTCTGAGAACTGAGCCAAAGTGATGGAAGGGGTAGCAACAAACTTGGATCAGACCTCCAGCCAACAGCAGTTGGGATTTTAAGCCTATGCTAAGTTTGAGAAGATAACCCCCAACTGCACTATGCACTTAAAGCAGCATGGTGCCACTTTGAACAGCCATGGCTTCCCTCAAAGAATCCTGGGAACTGTAGTTTAAGAGTGCTGAGCGTTCTTAGAAGACCCTCGTTCCCCTCACAGAACTACAATTCCCAGAGTCCCTGTGAAGACGGATTGATTGTTAAACCACCCTAGGAATGGCAGTTCTGCAAGGGGGGTAGGGGTCTCCCAACAACTCTCAGACCCTTTACAAACTATGCTTCCCAGGAATCCATGACTGTTTAAAGTGGTATGATACTGCTTTAAATGTATAGTGCAGATGAAGTCTTGATACTGGTATGGATGGGGTTCTGACATTCAGGTTGCTTCCAGGTGACCTAAGCATTCATTCTGATTTGTTTGTGGGGAGTTGATAGGATGTTGCATCAAGCAAGTGTTACGCCATACTTTATGGTGCATTCTCCTGACACTTTCCATATCATAGTCCCCACTTCCCCTGATTTTTTAAATTTTTTTTAGGGGGAAATGGGTTTGTTGCACAGGAGTAGCACATCTGAATTTGCTGGTATCCCTGAAAACTGAATCCCTCCTGAAAACAGTGACAGCCTAGAAGTTGCAAACTCTTTGCAGTCGATTTTTATCTGTGCAGACTCCCACATCTCTTAAACTGGTCCCTTTCTAAGCTTTTTCTGCCATCAGGGAATACCTCCCTTTTCAAAACACCAGTGGTAGCACAAGAGAAAGAAAAAGAATGGGGCAGCCAAGGGGAAACTTGCATTAGATTTTCTGAAAGAGAAATAACGGTATTTTTTCAAATTAACTTTCCCACATAAGCACACATTTCTCTCAATGAAGTCCTGTTGATTCAGATTGCGTTAACTAAGCAAGCACACTTAGGAAACCGTAGTCTTGTTTTAATTTCCAGCTGATGATTCATCTATAATGTAAACATGAAAAGTGCTTTTTCGAGTAACTCGAGGGCTCCAGCAACTGGGGTGGGTTGGGAGCTACTTGTCTGAGGCAGAGGGAGTCTTTCTGCCCCCTCAGGGACTGCCTGTGCCCCCCCTCTTAAAATGGCCTTCTGTTTATTTGGGGGGAGAGTGGAGAAACCTCCTGACCATGGTGTGAACCCTGCCGTTCCATGTGAGAGGAATTCTGAAATGAGGCAAATGGATATTAAAGTTTATTTTTGTGCCAATTTAGCAGGAAGGCGGGAGTGGATTAAAAGTTAAGTAATTAAATAATTCAAGTGTGAGTGCTACCTCATTCCTCTCGTCGCCCTCCTCTCTGTTGCTGGGCAACAGGGCCTCCCAGCAGCTGATCGTCCCCACAATCCCACAATTCATGACTGCCCAGCTTAGCCAAAAGGCAGCCCATGACTGAGGCAGAAAGTCCTAATGGATCCCGGCATGGCTGTAAACATCTAATTAAAAAGTAAATAATTGAGAATTTGTTTCCATTCAACAATATACTGAAATACCGTTGCTTTGAGACTAGGGAGGATCTCGCCATACCTTATAAGAAGGACCAGTCATGGCTTTAAAATAAAGTTTTTAAGAACGTAAGACGAGCCTGCTGAATCAGGCCAGTAGCCTATCGAGTTCAGCATCCTTTTCTCACAGTGGCCAACCAGATGCCTGGGGGAAACCCACAAAGCAAGAGCTGACTGCAACAGTACTCTCTCCTTCCTGGGGTTTCCAGCGACTTGTATTCAGAAACATACTGTCTCGAACAGTGCAGGTAGAACATATCCATCAGGTTTCGTAGCCATAAATTGTCTAGTCCTCTTTTAAAGCTCTTATCACTAGCATCTAGTAGCATCTAGCGCTCTCCCCTCGAATTCTCAGATTCACTCTCCTTTTACATTCAGCATTCTAGAGGAGCTTATGGGAAGCCAACTGGGACAGACTTAATAAAGACCTCCTAATGGAATCCTTTTTCACCTTCTGGCAGTCAGTGACTGCTCTGAAGCATGACAAAGACAGAGCATATTTTAACTCAAAGAACTGTGAGATGCTTCACAGCAACCTGGCCCATAACGTTAAAAAGAAAACCCTCCCAAGTGTCTTAAGTGAAATAGCAGAAGGAAATTCCTGAAATTGGGTTGAGGTGCTTATTTATTTATTATTTTAAACTCTAGTTATAAGTCACCCATCATTACGTAGTAATGACACTGAACTTTCCAACAACAGAGTTTCTATGCTTTATCCTCCCCTCTCTCTCTTTTTAACATGCTCACCACTTCAGTGCCTTTATACTGTGAAGCTGTCAATGAATTTGTTTTTTTTAAAATGAAATAAAAATAACACGCTAAGCCAACCACAGAGTTCCAAAAACCAGTACACACAATTGCAGTAAACGAACAACAACAGGTGGGCAGACAAAGCCTTTGACCATTTACAACCAACCAACCAACCAACCAACCAAAAGCCTGAGACGTTTTAACCAGGCGTCAGACACTTAAGAAAGTTGTAGCCATCCGAGCCTCCAAGAAAAGTGCCTTCCACAGCCAGGGTGCCACTGGAGGGAAGGCCCTGCCTTGTGTCACTGCATAGGGAGCCACACCTGCAAGTGATCAAGACCCTGCTTGCTCAGGGTGGCCTATATAGAAACAAGTATTTTTTTTTTTAAGCCTAAAATAACACCTTAAATTGGGCCTGGTGACATTTAGGCAGCCAGGACAGATCCTGCTGAACACAAGTGTGTGCCAAAATATTCACCAGCACTGTCAAGGCAGCATTCTGTTTGCCTCGCCTCTTGCGAATAGGAAAGGCTTTCAGTGAACAGTATCTGGTTTTTGTCCACTTTACAATACTAAGGGCTCCGTAGTGACATAGTGATAAAGGGCTGTGGTTCAGTGACTCATCCAGATGGGTTGGAGCTGCTGAGTCACCCAGAGCAGTTCCTGGATTTTTCTTCGAAATCCCCCGCCTAACCACTAGGACCAAGTTAAGTCATTAGTGGCAAAAGCGGATGAAATCCCAAACAGTCAAGCAAGCAGGGCTGATGGAGAGGGGAGAGAAATCTGAAGACTGGTTGAATAAGAAATGAAAGTAGGAAGAAACAGAGCGTGAACAATCTGGCCAGACAAAATGCTAGAGAAAGGGTTGCGAACCAACCAGATGGTGTTGTGCGGTGGCGGAGAGCAAGAACCAGATTTTGTCTTGTTTTAAAGCGAGGCATGGAAGGCCTCGTGTTAGATTTGCAAAGTTTGTAGATCAAATCCCTGAAAATAGGCTCTGATCTGTTTAAGAATATGGAGAAGATCAGATCTTAGTTGCTTGCAACTATTTTGCAGTGCTGTGTCTGGAACTTGCACTGATAAAATATTATTATTATTATTATTATTATTATTATTAATTTAATTTCTATATTGCCCTATACCTGAAGGTCTATACTGCCTCTAAGCATATAAAAATCACCATTCAATCATAGCCATCCCACTTACACATAAACATGGGTGAGAGAGGGAGGGCCAGCCCACTGTTATGCATGGTCTGATAGTGTTCTATTACTGTCCATAGAGTTTGTCATATTTTAAAAGGCCTCACTGAACAACCACACCACACTTGTCCCTATGCTCATTATTATTATTATTATTATTATTATTATTATTATTATTATTATTATTTGCTTGTTATGCAAAGGTCTCCAAGCGACTTACAATGTATTATTAAACATAGATACATTGTACCATTAAAGAAAAATACAAAACATCTACCACACACACACGCGCACACACACACACACACACACACAATCACCTCACCACACCTTTCCTCCCACTTCAGAAAATGTCAAATTTCATGGACAAACTCTTTATGTGGCATTGCCTTTGTTGATCATGCAGATACTATGTTTGGTTCTGCAGGCAACATCCCAGTTAATGGCCGCAGAATGTGCTTTACATCTGTGCCGTGAAAGTTTCACTGCCTCCCAGTGAATTTCTACATGCAGTTCAAAGCACTGGTTTTTATTGTTCTCAGCTCTCAGCGGTCTTGGACCGGAATATCTTAAGGAACCTTACCCCCACTGGTGGAGGAACGGGAGTGCGGAGGGAGCAGACTGCCCCTGGCACCACTATTCCGGTAGGGTGGCATCGCGGCGGGCCCCCTGGACACACGCCGCACACCTCCGTGTGCTGGGCGCCACGCTCCCACAGGTGGTGCGTCACGCCCCCAAAACACGAGCCAAGCCCCTGTGGGTGGCGTGCCATGCCCTTGCGGGTGGTGTACCACACCCCGGGGGCGCACCATGCCCCCGGGGGGCGCCAGCCACACCCCTACCTGTTCTCTGCCCCCCAGTAGTGGAGCATGCAGCTTCGCCACTGCTTCCCCCAACACTTCGATCATGGGCACAGTCTCTGCTCCAAGCATATCAGTCTTCAGAAACCAGAAGAGTGGTTCCAAGGAACAGGGCCTTCTCAGTAATGGCACCCTCCCCGTGGAATTCTGTTAGCTGTTTGAGCACTGGAAAACCATGATTTGCACTCGGCGAGACTGCTTCCCGGGAGAACACCTAGGCAGATTAGTGACCGTTGCGTGTATAATTTTGGGTTATGGACTTTTAAGAATGGACAGGAGTAATATTTTGAGTTGCACATGCTCAGTGAGGTTTTTGTCTTCAGAGGGCTTCTGGAGTTTTATTTGCTGTTGTTGTTGTTGACATCAGGCCTAGCTGAGGTGTAGGCTTAATCCATAAGGGGTGCTGTTGGTCAGTGAGGAGCTGTGCGCCTGTATAATGCTGCCCCTGTCACTATCCGCCAGTCAGTACGTGAGCATGAGACCTCCCTTTCCCTCATTTGCTGTTCAGAAGCTGCAGATGAGTACTGTTCCCACTGCCTGTCTCTAGAAAAATGGCTGTTTTCCAACGAATAGATAAAAATAATAAATTGCTGTTTACATGCAACAGAGAAGTAAAGGCCTAGCTTTTATTGCAGCAAAATCCATCATTTGAAATAGCTGTCGAATTTTAAATATGATTCTGGATCCAAGACTCCTTAAAAGTTTGACATTGTTTTGAATGCTGGAAGTGTGCAGTGCTGTGGAATTTCTTTCATTAAATGCATCAAGTGTAAATCTTTCAACATATGAGGAAGCTTAAGTGAGATCTTTGCATTTTTCTGCAACATCTTCTCTCTCTCTCTCTCTCTCTCTCTCTCTCTCTCTCTCTCTCTCTCTCAACTGCAATAGTTTTTAATGTGTCTATGATGCTGACAATCAAATGAAAAAGGTGGGGTTTTTTCCAGTTGCAGGACACACACCAGAGATCTGTTTAGAGTAGGCAAAATAGACTCCCCCCTCCCCCCCCGCCAACCACGACATGCGCTCCAGGGCATAGAAAACCATGTGTTTCTGGATTAGCAGAGGATCTGCGTGGTTTCAAGGTCGTAACCTTTTCTTTTCTTTTAGCAGCTATCCCGCCCTTACCCAAAGTGTCTGTGCATTTTTAGGTCTTAATAAGAGACAGGAAAAAGATCTCCAAACAGTTGGCCTTTAATCAGAGAAAATGCATCAGTCAGCCTCTGTCAGCTGGGGCCTTTCCAGAGTTCAGAAAACAGCGCACACAACAGATGCTTCTTTCACTTTGTAATGGAGAGGACAAGCCCAGATCTGCCTGCACCAAAGCAGTTTTCTTGTATTCTGCTGGCAGCATAATGACCCAAAGTACAGAGGCAGCCATGTGAGAGAGACTGTTTATTTGTGGATGTTGAAGCAGTTGGCAATCTATCCGGTTTCAGAAGCGTTGAAGACAGTGTGCAACCTTTCCTGTACAACACAGCTCTCCAAACTGTATGTCGCGACACGTTAGTGTGTCAGCTGCAGTGTGTAGGTGTGTCATGCGAATGCTCCCCACACTCCTCCCGGGGCTGGAAAGGTGTTAGTTTAACCTCCAGTTTGCTAGTAAAACTGAATTACTGTGTCACAAAATAATGCAAAACTGAATTACCGTGTCGCAAAATGATGCATGTCTAAAAGGTGTGTCACCAACGTGAAAAGTTTGGAAAGCTCTGCCGTAAAAGAAAATAGCACTGCTTTGAAGAGCGCCTTGGAAATGTTTGTTTCTGAAGACTTTCATACTACTTGCTAGTACTACTACTAGTACTACAACCTGCCACGGTTTTACTTTTCACACAGCACTGTAGCATCTTACTAGGTTTGGCACCAGAGTACCTTGAGAGGTAGATCCCTATTATTCCCACTCAACTTGGTGAGGACTGGAGGAAAGACCCAGATTTGGCCAAGACTTTCTATGTGTATTGAACTTAGGTTTCACGCAGTCCTCTAGGATATCGCTGTTGTTATTATTCATTTCTCATCATGAATTATTTTTAAATTATTTGTGAGAATTTTATAACCCACCATTCTTGTAAAAGACAACCCCAAAAGGCAGTCAAGGTAAAATAGTACAACAAAATTGCTAAAGCTGCAGCCCTGAATTCACTTACAATAACATCAAAATGTACTCTATGTGCAGATGGTAGGTGAGCATGTTACTAGCATGGACATTATCCAATGGGTGCTTGCAACTGTCACATTAAAATATACACATGTGTATGGCAATGCTGGGAGGTAATTTTGGCTTTTCTCAGGTATTATAGTAAGTGCCACAGTGAAGGCAAAGGCAGTTGGACCAAAATGTATCAGAGAGCCAAGTTACAGGGCCTTCTTGGCAGTGGCGCCCGCCCTGTGGAATGCCCTCCCATCAGATGTCAAAGAAATAAACAACTATCTGACGTTTAGAAGACATCTGAAGGCAACCCTGTTTGGTAAAGGTAAAGGTACCCCTGCCCGTATGGGCCAGTCTTGACAGACTCTAGGGTTGTGTGCCCATCTCACTTAAGAGGCCGGGGGCAGCGCTGTCCGGAGACACTTCCGGGTCACGTGGCCAGCGTGACAAAACTGCATCTGGTGAGCCAGCGCAGCACATGGAAACGCTGTTTACCTTCCCACCAGTAAGCGGTCCCTATTTATCTACTTGCACCCGGGGGTGCTTTCAAACTGCTAGGTTGGCAGGCGCTGGGACCGAGCAACGGGAGCGCACCCCGCTGCGGGGATTCGAACCGCCGACCTTTCGATCGGCAAGCCCTAGGCGCTGAGGCTTTTACCCACAGCGCCACCCGCGTCCCTATACCCTGTTTAGGGAAGTCTTTAATGACTGATGTTTTAATGTATTTTTAATCCTTGTTGGAAGCCACCCAGAGTGGCTGGGGTATAAATAATAAATTATTATAATAATAGATGGGGGGCTGGGGTGGGGGGACAAGCTGTGTATGGCAAGCAGTGACAACTCTAATATCACCTGAATGCTCCAGTTAAATATAACAATGGACACATGGACACCACAAACACACACTCACCTGAGCCTGCTCTGACTTCTACTAGATTCATGCCTGGGCCACAGATAGCTGCAGATATACAAACCAGTGCACAGAGTAAGAATATTTTAGACCTGGTGCCGGCCATATGGGCAGCCAACATCTGCAAGAGCTTTTTCTGTGTGGATGTTATTTATAAACTGGTCCTTAGTCCTTAGTCTCTAAGGTGCCATAGTGTTGATGTTTCCAACACATCTGGACTCTTCTGGAGTTTTGCAGTTTTCTTCAGCGTCTGAAGCACTGGCGTTCCTTCCCAGAAATAAAGACAACAAAGAAAGAGTCCTGGGATTCTCCTGCTGCCTCATCTGGCTGTGTTTCCTGATGTCTTTGGCAATCTGTTGGAATGAACCAACTGCCAATTTCATCTGAAAGTCGATTTTGAAAAACTTTAAATTCTCGTCTTGTCCTTTCTTTTCTTTTCTAAATGTACTCAGCCAAAGTACTCAAGTGCTTTCATATAAGACTTCACCATACCAGGGACTTCCCCCTTATACTCCTCGTAAATGTCAATACAGGTGAAAAGGGAGGAGGAGGACAGGCGTGTAGCAGAACGACCTGTGAATCAGGAAGTCCCCTGGTCATATCACAGAATCATAGAATTGTTGGAAGGGACTCTGAGGGTCATCTAGTTTAACCCCCTCTGTGCACTAGGCAAAAGTCTTTCTCTTTAACCAGGCCTTTGGCTGATTGACATCCAATGCCTTTTTAAAATCTGTTAGGGGTGTGTGTTATTGGGTTGTTTTTGTTTTTATTTTGATCATATATTTTGTGTTTTTATATTGTGATTTTATCATGTGAAGGGCCCTGAGACCTGTGGTATAGGATGATATGCAAGTTTAATAAATAACAATAATAACAAACCCCTGCAATGCAGGAATCTCCGCTAAAGCATCCATGACAGGTGGCCATCCAACCTCTTCTTAAAAACCTCCAAGGAAGGAGAGCCCATTACTTCTGAGGGAGTCCATTCCACTGTCAAATAGCTCTGACCACCAGAAAGTTTGTCCTGGTGCTTAGATAAAATCTCACTCTTTTATAAATGAACTAATTGGTATTCATCAAGCAGGCCACACGCTGGATCTGATCTTTGGGGCTGGCATAGATGTGATCATGCTCCCCCCTGTGGAAGTGCCATGGTCTGATCACTACGCTCTGAAAGCCAAGATTGACTTCCCGCTCCTCCCCTGCTCGGGTGGCGAACCTATTTCCCTATCCGCGAAAACTGATGGATCCTGATAGATTCCGACAAGCCTTGCGGGACCCTGCTCCTCCTGGCGACTCGTTAGATGACCTTGTTGAGGACTGGAATTACCGGCTCTTGGCAGCCATTGATGAGATCGCGCCTAAGCGCCCTCTGCGACCCCGTCGTAACCGGGCCCCTTGGTTTACTGAGGAGCTCCGGAAAATGAAGCAGGATCTCAAATGGCTAGAGCGAGTATGGCGACAGACTCGTGACGGAGCCTCAAGAACATCTTATAGGACGCTTATGAAAGCCTATGAGATGGCTATGAAAGCTGCTAAGAAATCTTACTTTGCAGCTTCCATTGCTTCCGCTAGCTCTCGCCCGGCACAACTTTTTAGAATAATTAGATCAATAACGTCCTTAGGAGGACAACCAAATTTAAGCACAAATTCGACCCACAGCTGTGAGGCATTCACGAGCTTTTTTGCAGAGAAAGTCCTGTTGCTCCACCGTGACCTCCCTGCCAATTTAGATACAGTGACTGAACTGGAGGCCCCTCGACTGACTTCAGGTCCAGTGTTGGACCATTTCGATCGAATACTCCCTGCTGATGTGGATTGATTCCTCCAAGTTAGTAGGCCCACCACCTGCCTCCTTGATCCGTGCCCGTCTTGGCTGATTAGGGAGTGTCCAGATGTTGCGCGGACCCCCCTGGTTGAAATTATCAATTTGTCCCTTGACACGGGGACATTCCCAGGGGAACTGAAGGAAGCAGTGGTATGTCCACTCTTAAAGAAAACTTCATTAGATCCCTTAGACCTATCCAATTACCGCCCAGTTTCAAATCTTCCATATCTGGGTAAGGTAATTGAGAGAGCGGTTGCTGAACAGCTTGGTAGGTTTCTGGAGGAAACATCGGCTTTAGATCCATTTCAGTCCGGTTTCCGTCCTGGTTTTGGGACCGAGACGGCTCTGGTTGCCCTAACAGACGATCTCCGTAGACAGCTGGATCGAGGCGGGTCAGGACTGGTGATCCTTTTAGATTTGTCAGCAGCCTTTGACATGGTTGATCATGATCTTCTGGACCACCGCCTCGCAGACGTGGGGATACAGGGCATAGCCCGTAACTGGCTGTGCTCTTTTATCTCTGGTCGGGGACAGAGGGTGGCACTAGGGAGGGAAATGTCGTTGCGCCACTCCTTGGTGTGTGGAGTGCCGCAGGGTGCAATCCTTTCCCCAATGCTTTTTAACATCTTTATGCGCCCCCTTGCCCAGATTATCTGGAGCTTTGGGCTGGGCTGTCACCAATATGCTGATGACACTCAGCTCTATCTGCTGATGGATGGCCACACTGACTCGGCCCCGAACACACTGACCAGATGCTTGGAAGCTGTGGCTGGATGGTTTCGTGGGAGCTGATTGAAACTAAATCCTTCGAAGACAGAGGTCCTATGGCTGGGTCGGGATGGCATGGGGATGAGGGACCAACTCCCTTCTCTTGCGGGGGCCCAATTAGTGCCATTGCCTTCCGTTAAGAGTTTGGGTGTAATCCTTGACGCCTCCCTTTCCATGGAGGCACAAGTTACAGCAACAGCCAAGGCGACATTTTTCCACCTTCGCCGCATCAATCAGTTGGTCCCTTACCTTTCCCGCCCCGCCCTGGCCACAGTGATCCATGCAACGGTCATCTCCAGGCTTGACTACTGTAATTCGCTCTACGCGGGGCTGCCCTTGAAGCTGTCCCAGAAACTCCAGCGGGTGCAGAATGCTGCAGCGAGACTCCTCACGGGGTCTCTGCCATGGGAGCATATCCCCCCCGTGCTTTTCAAGCTGCACTGGCTCCCGTGGAGTACAGGATCAGATTTAAGGTGCTGCTTTTGACCTTTAAAGCCCTTCATGGCCTAGGACCCTCGTACCTACGGGACCGCCTCTCCCGGTATGCCCCACGGAGAGCCTCAAGGTCCATAAATAGCAACACCCTTGTGGTCCCGGGCCCTAAGGAAGTTAGATTGGCTTCAACCAGAGCCAGGGCCTTTTAAACTCTGGCTCCGGTCTGGTGGAACGCTCTGCCTCACGAGACCAGGGCCCTGCAGGATCTGATTTCTTTCCGCAGGGCCTGTAAGACAGAGTTGTTCCGCCTGGCCTTTGGCTTGGAGCCAATTTGATTCCCTCCCTCTCTTTCTTTTTTCTTTTCCTTCTCCTTCTGCGATGAGGCTACATTTTAATATTTTTATGTTTCAATATTTTAATGTTGTATTTTTTAAATTTTGTTTTTAAGTTGTAATCATTTAACTTGTTTTTATTATTGCTTGTAAGCCGCTCTGAGCCCGGCCTTGGCTGGGGAGGGCGGGGTATAAATAAAAATTATTATTATTATTATTATTATTTGCTGTAGGCAAGCTGCTGTCTCACGGCATCAACTCCCATCTCATTTCTTAAGAGAGGGGTAATAATACTGACCTGCCTTATAAGGTTGTTGTGAGAACAGGAACACATGAGAGAGAATCTCAAAGGAGCACTCAATCTGTGGTTTGCTGAGTGCTAAACATTTTGATTCAGTTGCTGCTCTACACATACAGTCTTCCCTGGAACCTGGGATCTACACATAGATCTTCGCTGCTGTAGACACCCATTCTAATGCATGGATGTTAGGATTGGGGCCGGGGGAAGCTGTGCAGCCCACATGAGCCCTTCGTCACTTGAGTACCATATGAAGGGGACTAATATCAGTAGGACTACTGGCACCATCAGCCCTGAAAGAAAATGTTATGTATTGAAGTTCTCACCCTGGCCACCAGGGGTATTGTGTATATAGTTTTCACTCAGGTCCACGTAAGTTAATTTAGGCGGAAAACCCTGGGCTGTTGTTGTTACAATGTTGACAGCCGGCTGCCTATAAAAGCAGGGAGCAAGACCTACTAAGCACACCGGTCCTAGGAGGTTCTTGAGATCTTGCAAGGTATTCTGAGCTTGCACGAAGATTCAGCTGGCTGAGCTGTTTGTAGTTCAGTTCAGTTCAGTTCAGTTCCAGCTTACTTATAAAGAACTACTTGGAGAAATCTCTGTGTCGTCTGCTATGTCCACCCACTACTTAATAGAAAAGTAGTTGGATGTTTTCTAACATTAGATTTTATGGGGAGAGGGAAGGAATCACAGGGATGCAGTTTAGGTGACAGCAATGACCCTTTATGTGTAAAACCAGGTGGGTTCCAAAACACCCCCCCCTTTTTTTTGCACTGCGATTAATTGCAAGGCTTGTTGGGGGCTGCTGTTCTTTTGGAGGGGAGGAATGTCCAGAATATTGAAAAAATTCTTCACCAACTGTGCCTGTAAAACTGTGGCACTCTTCGTCTTCTATGGTGGGGAAAGAGAAAATTCCTGACCTAACTTCCCCTAAGAGGTGAAGTACACACAGCGTACTTTCTTCTTGAGCATTGCCTTCAGGCATATGTTCTGAATGCACAAAGTTGATGTATAAAATGTAAAACTTTACTGGCTTTAAATGTCACCCACTAAGCATATAATAGATGTTCTCTGGATTTTTATTAGCTGTTGTATTCTCTCAGCCAGCGTGGCTTCTTTGAGGTGATTTATGGTGCAGTCTTGGGTCACAGGCAGTAATGCCAGATCCATAAATTCCTGGGATTTCCTCAACTATTGTGTTGTCTTTTACAATCTCAGGGTTCGTTTCTTGGTCCACTTCTGCGCTTATTTGTTGTATTTATTCAGCAGTTGGGAAGCGCCACCAATAGCAGCACCTGTCAGGGTCAATTCAAGAAGAGCAGATGGATAGCTAGCTCCTTCCTTTTGAATCCTCTAGTTCCTAATCTGGTATTCCTTGCCTTGATTTCCAGCACTGTTTTACTTTTTGAAAAAAAGAGAAAGGGGCCCTCCCGTCTTCAAAAAACATTTAGACACCTTGTGTACCAACTTCTGAAAGAAAACACTGCTTCGTTCCAAGATACTGTGATGGCTTCTAGGATAGATTTAGTTATGTCCCCAAATTTTCGCAGTTTTCTGATTTGGTTTACCAATTACTGGGACACACAAGTGGGGAGACTGCTGTTGCCATCAGGTCCCTGACAGGATTCAAGGCAGCTTACTGATGAAAATAAGAACTGCTTAAAAAGTAGGGGGGGAAATAATTAAAAAAATTAAACGTTGATAAAATTTAAACTATAGACACATATAAAATATATTAAAACTTCCTATAGGCTTCCTATTGGGATGTGGTTGGCAATTCTGATAATAGGATATAGGACTAGATGAGCCTTTCATCTTATCCAGAGGGTCTCTTCTTAGGTTCAGTCCAGCTTGTAATGCTCACATGTATTACAAATTGAATACCGATATCTGTGGGATAACCAGCCTCATCTAACCAATGTGCTGAAGTCTAATTTATGCATGAAGGAGTTAATACCATAGAATAAGCTGTCCTGCTGGGCTTAGCTATGTCCACATCCCCTGACCTGGGGAGGAACTAGGTAATCAAGCCTTTGGTCTCCTTCATGTCTACCTGAGACTGTGAACTATGTGACCAAGACCACCTGACACAAATAGCCCTTTGTTCAGTGAATATCTTCTCTGGTTGGGCCAGCTAGTTGCCTTGATTGCTTCTTGCTGCAGTTAGAAGAGTTAAATTTCCAGCTGGATCTTCTTCTTAGCTGATGTCATGTGGTGGATACAGAGTCTAGGAACAATGAATGAAGATCTGGAGTAGATTAACAGCCAGATAAAACCTTGACAAGAAACAGTCAAGGCAATTGATCAGCCCAAAGACAGCGGATACTAAATACATAAAAGACTGGTGGACTGGGTACTCTGGTTGCATAGCCAACAGCAATTAACAATACTTTCATCAAAAGTAAGGGTGCATACATCTGCAACACAGGTTTGGGTGCCTGTTCTGGAGGGAATTAGTTTCCTCTTCAGTATTCAATATGACTTTTTAAAAGGACTAGACAAATGCTTGGAAGCTAGGCCTATCAGTGGCAATTTTCTGTGACAGCTAAAATGTCCAGTTAATATCTAGGAAGGCTTTGGGTCCTGATGCAATTCCTGATGAAGTTTCTTAAAGCTGTTCTGGACTAGTGAGCCATCTCTTGGCAGCTCTGTTTACAATAATTGATAAAACTGGCTTAATGCTGGGCTCTTGGACCAATGCAATGCTGGTACCATTATTTAAGAAGGCATCCACTCACTACCGAGCAATTATCGCCCTATCAGCCTCCTCTCTATTATAGGAAAACTCTATGCCAGACATTTGGTCAATAAACTTATAATATGGATGTCTGAGCACAGTATTTTGCGGCCCGAGCAGATAGGTTTCTGCAATGGGACAGCTAAAATGCAAGTCTGTATTCAGCAGAAGTATACCCCTGATTTCTCAGAGCTGGGGGCCAGCTCAAAGGGATGGCTGTCCCCACCCTGGTTTGCTGGTGTGCTTCTAGTTTGGCCACCTGGAGACTAGACTAGGTTGCTGTAAGTTCTTATCCCACACTGAAATCTAAAGTTTTCTCTTGTTCCCGTGTGTCCATATTTGTGTAGCAGATAAATTTCTCCTTAACTAATTCTATCCAGCAGATACAGGGCAAATACCTACAAAAAATGCAAATAGTACACCCACAAAACATTTCCTACAAACACATGGCCTGTGTGCATACCATACATTTTAAGCCCATGACCAAAGCTGTCAACATTTCCCTTTTTTAAAGGGAAATTCCCTTATTCCGAATAGGATTCCTCGCAAGAAAAGGGAAAAGTTGACAGCTATGCATGACTGTCCCCAAAGAATCCTGGGAACAGTAGTTTGTCAAGGGATCTGGGGATTGCAGCTCTGTGATGGGTAAACTATAGTTCTCAGGAATCTATAGAAATCTTAGGAATCTCAGGAATTGGGGTAAGTCATGTGCTTTCAGTTTATGTTGTATACACAGCCTAAGTCTCCTTCTCCTCCTTTTTCTATTGCACACCTATTTTTGCATTTACTTTTGTTGCTCCTTTAAGTTTTAGGTCTTCACAGCTCCAGCCCTCTGCATAAACAGCTTGGTATCCTGTTTTGCTTTTCTCCCCATAACTGCAACTAGACAGAACACTGGGTTAAAGGATTCAAGGATTTTTCCATTAATAATCCTCACACCCGTTTCCTGGCCAGTATGCTGTTTAAGAAGGGATAGAGGTAATTCATTCAAGGGTAGGGAACTGTACTAATAAGTAAGGAGAAAATCTGAGAGTGCCAGCAAAAGGAAAAACTGAGTTTTTGTGGTAATTGCTGATCTATTTTTGTAGAACATTTTTTCAAAGCATATATGTACTTTCTCTAACAAGGAACAAGAATGGCATGGCTTGCTCGCCTTGAGTGAAGTTTTGTCCTGTAGGATCTGAAGATGCTGTCAGGGCCCTGACCAGCAGAATTCCTTTCTGTACAAAACCTGTTAAGTGGTGTTATTGAACATGAAACGCTCTGAAATTGTATCCAGACAATGTTTTTTCAAAAAGAAAGAATTTGAACTCTTTTCCACATGATGCACTGCTGAGTAGCACTCCATCTTTCAGCACACCAGTGCTTCCAATGAAATGGAGGGAGGGAAGAATCTTGATTGGGGAGGAGTGGAACCTTGATCGGGGGCAAACTTGTTTGCATCTATTCTTGGTTTCTGTTCAGAACCAATGATATGTATTATACAATGTTCAGAAAAGAAAAGAAAAATGCCAAAGGTTCTCGCTCCACATTCCTTCTGGGAAGAGGGTTGTCTTGTTCATGTTTGCCCCACATAACCCCTTTGTTTGTTCTCCTTACACTTCACCAGGTGACTTGCTGGATTCAGGGATTAGAAGGGCACTGCAAACTCATAACAATATGAAATCATACAAGTGCAGAACAAAACACAAAAATATCAATGGGAGGCTGTCAGTTGTTCAAAATTAAATTGCCCTACCTCTTTCCCAGTATAGCAGAGGAGGAGGGAGGTATGCATGTGTGGGAGGGAACACAGTGCAGGAATTCTATGTGTGTACCCACAACAAAATAGCATATCCAGGGATGGAAATGGATGGAGACCTTTAAGCAAGCCCACGGGATCTGAAATATCTTCCAAAGGACCAACTAGTGATGTCAGCATCTCCTTTCCTCTGGTTTTGTAGACACAAGTGGTTCTCAGGCACGTATAACTGTATTTTGGGGCCTATGTTTTGGTGATACTTAGGAAATCATAGGGCTGTTTACAGCCTTCTTCTTCTTCTTTGGCGATCACTCTTAGCCGAGTAAAATTGTCTTCCATAAACACGGTTTTAACAATGAGTCTGTAAGTGACTGTGAAGGCCAATTCTGGACCCACACGTCCTTCCACAGTGGGGACATTGGTTCCCGGATGGGAGCTGATCACAGTGTGGATTTGCCAAGCATGCCTTCCTCTTAGTACGTTTCTCCCTTGCGTTCTGAGTTTGAGTGTCTTCAAAGTCCATGACACCTTTGGTAAAGGCTGTTCTCCAACTGGAGCACTCGCAGGTCAGTGTTTCCCAGTTGTCAGTGTTTATACTACTTTTTTAAGATTTGCCTTGAGGCAGTCTTTAAACCTCTTTTGTTGACCACCAGCATTATGCTTTCCATTTTTAAGTTCGGAATAGAGTAGTTGCTTTGGACGATGATAATCAGGCATCTGCACAAAATGACCAGTCCAATGAAGTTGATGCTGAAGAATCATTGGTTCAACACTGGTGATCTTTGCTTCATTCTGTACACTGATATTAGTTTGCCTGTCTTCCGAAGTGATGTGTAAGATTTTTTCGGAGACACCGTTGATGAAATCCTTCAAGAAGTTGGAGATGGCATTTGTAAGTGGTCCAGGTTTCACAAGCATGCAGTAAGGTTGGTAGCACAATAGCTTTGTAAATACCGTATTTTTCGTTCTATAGGACGCACATTTCCCCCTCCAAAAACTAAGGGGAAATGTGTGTGCGTCCTATAGAGCGAATGCAGCCTGCGCCGCTAAGCCCAAAGCCAGAACAGGAAGACGGAGCACTGCGGAGCGCTCCGTCTCGCTGTTCTGGCTTGGGAACAGCCTTGCTAGCTTCTGCAGGACAGCGGGGTGAAGGCACCCCGCTGCCCTGCAGAGGTTTGCGCGCGGCCCTCCCCAAGCTAGAGCAGCGAGACGGAGCCCTCCGTCTCGCTGTTCTGGCTTGGGAACAGCCTTGCTAGCTTCTGCAGGACAGCGGGGTGAAGGCACCCCGCTGCCCTGCAGAGGTTTGCGCGCAGCCCTCCCCAAGCTAGAGCAGCGAGACGGAGCCCTCCGACGCGCTGTTCTGGCTTGGAAACCGCCTTGCCAGCTTCTGCAGGACCGCGGGGTGACGGCACCCCGCTGCCCTGCAGAGGTTTGCGCGCAGCCCTCCCCTCGCTAGAGCAGCGAGACGGAGCCCTCCGTCTCGCTGTTCTGGCTTGGGAACAGCCTGCTAGCTTCTGCAGGACAGCGGGGTGAAGGCACCCCGCTGCCCTGCAGAGGTTTGCGCGCAGCCCTCCCAAGCTAGAGCAGCGAGACGGAGCCCTCCGTCTCGCTGTTCTGGCTTGGGAACAGCCTTGCTAGCTTCTGCAGGACAGACGGCTGCGCGCAAACCTCTGCAGGGCAGCGGGGTGCCTTCACCCCGCTGTCCTGCAGAAGCTAGCAAGGCTTTTCCGAAGCCAGAACAGCGAGACGGAGGGCTCCGTCTCGCTGCTCTAGCTGGGGACGGCTGCGCGCAAACCTCTGCAGGGCAGCGGGGCGCTGCGCTCCAAAGGCTTCAGGGATCTTTGAGGCTGGCGGTGGGGGAAAGCAGCGCTTCCCCCCACCGCCAGCCTCACAAGCTCTGGTGAATGTACCTTGAACGCACCTTGTTTTGGAGGGGGAGAACAAGAAAAAAAATCTTTTTCCCTGTTCTCCTCCTCCTATGATCCGGTGCGTCCTATGGTCCGGTGCGTCCAATGGAGCGAAAAATACGGTAAGCATTTTGGTTTCCCTGCGAATGTCCTGGTCCTCAAACACTCTGCACTTCAATCGGGAGAAAGCCACACTCGCAGAACTCAGGCAATACTGGATTTCGGCATCAATGTTGACCCTTGTGGAAAGATAACTGCCTAGGTAGGAGAAGTGATTGACATTTTCCAACATTACACCATTGAGTTGGATTTGTGGCACTGCAGAGGGGTTATTTTGTACTTGTTGGTGCAGCACTTTGGCTTTTTGGATGTTGAGCAACAGGCCAACCTTTTCGTAAGCTTCTGGAAAGATATTTAGGATGTTTTGAAGGTCATCCTCTGAGAGTGGACACACTACGTTGTCATCAGCATACTGAAGCTCTATGATGGAAGTTACGGTAGCCTTACTCTTTGCTTTTAGCCTGCTCAGATTGAAGAGCTTCCATCTGTTTGATATATGATTTCTACCTCAGTGTTTGCATCTATTCTTATAGTTGTATTAGCATCAGCAGGCTCCACCTTCTGGTGAATAAACCCCCCTTTGGGCTCACCCCTCTTTGAGTGGGTGGAGTCAATCTGTCGTGGTCCAATGCCTAAGCCAATACCTTCTCACTTGCTGTAATCAATAAAGTTGTGGCCTTTCCTTGCCCATTAACCTTATACTCTGTGTCTGTGTGTCTTTATTCCACAAGCGGGGATCGGGTCCTCGAACCACAACCATTGTTATCTGTGATCGTTGCTGTCATATTATCATGGAGGAGCCGAATGATGTTTAAAAATTTATTTGGGCAGCCAATTTTCAGAAGGACAGTCCACAGGGCATTACGATTTACAGTGTCAAAAGCCTTAGTCAGGTTGATAAACGCCATATACAGAGGTTGGTTTTGCTCTCTGCATTTTTCCTGAAGCTGTTGAGCGGTGAAAATAATGTCCACTATCCGCCTAGAAGGCCGAAAACCATTTTGGGATTCAGGAAGGGTCACCTCGGATATTGTTAAGAGACAGTTTGCTAAGATTCTTGCAAGAATTTTGCCGGCCGCAGCTAATAGAGAGATGCCTTGATAGTTTCCGCAATCAGTTCTGTCACCTTTTAAAAAGAGATTGATAAATTTGGCATCCCAGTCTGCTGGGATCACTTCTCTTTCCCAGATTTTTTTGATGAGCTTGTGAAGTTGTTGTGTAAGTTCAATTCCACCCACTTTGAAGATTTCGGCAGGTATCCCATCAGGTCCACTGGCTTTGTTGTTTTTCATTTGGTTAATAGCTGTACACAACTCTCCCAGATTTGGAGATACTGCATGCAGCTGGGAAAGCAGAGGCTAACTTGTTTTTGCAGAATTTGTGAGAGGACCTCAGCAGTTACGGGGGAGTTGTGGCTAAGGAGATGTTGGTAGTGTTCTTTCCAGTGCAGTGCAATAGCTTCTTTATCTTTTAGAAGTGTGGTACCATCTGCTGAGCGTAGGGGACATATGCCATGATTTATTGGCCCATAGATGGTCTTTGTGGCTTTAAAGAAACTCTGTGCATCATGAGTGTCGGCTAAGTGCTGGATCTCTTGAGCTTTTTTAATCCACCAGGTGTTTTTTAGTTCTCTGGTTCTTCTTTGAACCTTGCCTTAGCGTTGGCATAGGTTTTTTCTTAGTGGCACAGTTTCTATCTCTTTGCCAGATCTAAAAGGCCTTCCTTTTCTTGTCACTCATGCGTTCAATCTCACTGTCATTCTCATCAAACCAGTCCTGGTGTTTCTTGGTTTGGTATCCAATAGTTTGTCCGCAGGCTGCAATAATGGATGTTTTTAGCTTGGTCCAGTGTTCCTCAATGTTATCAGGGAATTCTGAAAGCAGATGGTCCTTAAGAGTCGTTTGGAAGCAATCCCACTTAATGGGATCTTGAAGGGCTTGAGTGTTCATTTTGCGCCTTGGTTTCCTTCCTTGAAGCCTGTGTTGAGGTATGTAGACATTAAAGAAAAATTTTACTCTCAGCTGGGTACTGTCCTATCAGAGACGCCTAAGGAAGATAAAATTATCTTCCTGGGTGATTTTAATGCAAAAGTTGGGCGAGATTTTGGTCTGTGGCCTGGGACTATTGGGAAAGAAGGAATTGGCAATAGCAACCAGAACGGAATCTTACTTTTGACGACATGTGCAGCGCACAACCTTGTTATTACCAACACACTCTTTCAACAGAAAAATAAATTTAAAACTTCATGGAGGCATCCTCTGTCAAACCACTGGCACCTCTTAGACTATGTTATTGTCTGTGCTAAAGATCGACATGATGTGCTCCTTACCAGAGCTATGACGAGCGCCGACGACTGTTTACAGTAGTTGGCATCATGTTAGAGAGCAGACAAATTTAGCTTCTTTTTAAAATTCTCCTCAAAATGGTTACAAATTATTTTTGTTTTTCCAGCATTTATAATTTCTGTATCTATATATCAGTAAGATTTTATAGTCATCCTGAATTTTAAAAAATAATAATTGGAGGTGCCAATTTCAAAATAATGAAAAGCAAGACAGGGCTGGGTAGCTGGCTGCCTATGAATGTGATTTTTCCAGTGAAGAATTTTGATCTGGTCGGTGGTAACCCTGGCAAATGAAATTTTGCCATAGCTTCATGCATAATGGAAATAAAAGTTTTCAAAAGTTATATGAGAGAGAGAGATCCTCTTTTAGCTTTGTAATACTGTCGTTGGTACCTACTAGAAGCAATAAGACATTGATTCTGCCTAGATGTTATGGGAAACCTTGGTTTTCTGGGATGAATGAGCAATGGCAGGATTATCCCCTGCCTCCCAATTCTACAAGAAGACTGAAAGCTTTTTCTTTCAGTTTAAACTAACCATAGTTTAAAACTATGGTTCAAAAAGCAGTTCAAAAGCATACCAGTGCAAGTAGATAAATATGTACTGCCGTGGCGAGAAGGTAAACGGCATTTCTGTGCACTCTGGCTTCCGTCACAGTGTTTTGTTGTGTGAGAAGCAATTTAGTCATGCTGGACACATGACCCAGAAAGCTGTCTGTGGACAAAAGCCGGCTCCCTCAGCCTGAAGCGAGATGCATGCCGTACCCCATAGTTGCCTTTGACTGGACTTAACCATCCAGGGGTCTTTTACCTTTACCTAGTTCTCTTGAGAACAAGTCAACATGAAACCACGGTTTTAGATCTTAGCTTGTTCTGAAACCGTTGTTTTAACAATCCACAGTTCTTCAAGCTCAGATATTGTGGGCAACTGTGGATAGTTTGAAACCAAAAGCTTGTCTGCTTCATGAAAGGAGAGAGGAACCAGCAAACCTGAAGCCTCACCATGGCTGTTCTCATATTGGGAAGCCATCATTTCCTGTTGTGTATGAACCAAGCAATTGTATGTGTTTCATATACTTTTATCATATCGCTTTCACGATGAGGGATAGTTCAGTTGGTTGAACATGAGACTCTTAATCTCAGGGTTGTGAGTTTGAGCCCACATTAGGCAAAAGATTCCTGCACTGAACGGGGTTGGACTAGATGGTACTTGTGGTCCCTTCCAACTTTACAATTCTATGATTAGGTGTGGTTGGAAAGCTGGATGGAGAATATGGTTGTTACATAAAATAATGATCCAGCTCTGTGAGCCAATGTAAATCCATCGTTGTCAAATGCCGGGTCTGTTAGAGCAATTTACTAGCAGATTGGTAGAGTTAGAAACTCATAAACCCCTTGCACAACATCTAGTGGGCTTTCTGTCTCACAGTTTTGCTTGATAAGCATAGTAATGCATCTCCTGCCGAGAAGGGCAAATCAGCGCTTGTAATGTCATAGTTTAAAAGGTTCCTGAGTTGGCAGCCTGGCAAAAATTAAGAGTTGCTTTGCTGGAGCATATAGAGTTCATTGAGTTCAGCATTCTGTTTCTAATAGCAACCAACAAGAAGCTTAAAAACCCCTGGAAGCTTAAAAGCAATGAAGGTGATTCCATTCCCTGTTGTTTATCTCTAGTTGCTTTTTTGTAGTGTTGACGCATAAGTCCTGCCTATTGTACATAGATTTATTGACATAGTAGATCTCTCTCTTGCTGAAGTTTGTCTTCAGCCTTGGCATCAAAAGCTGGCATGATTGGGCACATGTTGATGTTCCTGGGACTTGGAAGGAGACATCAGGTGAGGCCCTGGGGTGGCTGAGCAGTCAAGTCCAGCCCCACTCACCCAAACACTGTGGACCACCGCCTGGCATTGCAAAGGCCATTGGGACCATACCATGTGCTGCTGCTTGCTACCACCAGCCATTCACCCATTAGAGCTGAGTGGTGGCTTTGTTTCCTCCCATCCAAAAGCACCACTACCCTCACTTCCAGGCATAGCAGCTGAGTGACTGGCAGTGGCAGCAAGCCGCAGTGCTACCTGGGGATCTTGAGGGTTGCAGTCATTCACCTTATCCTGTTGGACAGGCAACCATAGAGCTTTTGGATGGGAACTGAGCTGCTGGTGGGCTCTGCTGTAGGCAGTTCCTTCTTAGGTTGCCCAAAATGCCGTGCCCAGCCCCAAGCGCAGCAGTTTGGGCAATCTAAGATGATGACAGCTCACAACAGATCAAAGCAAAGGCCTGGCTCCCATTCAAACAATGTCATTACAGCTGCCAACCAGATAAATACATCTCAAAGAAGTGTGTGACAAGCTGTAGCAGAGGACCAGAGGTCTAGAGAGGCATCTGCAGTACCATGCCAAGGACCTATTGAAGTTTGGCACCAGACATGTCTTTGTTTTACAGTGTCTGGTTTGAGGGATGGAAAAAAAAACAATAGAACCTGCAGCATCATGGGGAACTGTTCTTCAGGTTTCCAGCCACTCTGTTTGAGTTCCTCCTCCACCTTTTCTCTTCCAACAGTCATTCAGCATTCCAGAGCTACTAAGCATGCTCAGTCACCACTGGCAGTTTTTGAGGTTCCCTCTCCACTTAGGTTTCCCCCTCTAAAGATGTGCCATGCATCTGCAAACCTTGGGGCTCTCCCAAGTCTGCTGATCCCAGCCTCTTGTGGATAGCGGGCAGTGATGGATGAATCTGTCTATTTCTGTTTTGCTCAGTTTCTCATTTTTCCAGTCTTTAGTTCAGTTCTCCATATTTCCACATCAGTTTGCATTTTGTAAAGCAAAAAATTTTCACCAGGAGCCTGGACAGCTGAGTTGGTTAGAGCATGGTGCTGATAATGCCAAGGTTGCAGGTTCAGTCCCTGTATGGGATGTCTGTATATTCCTGCATTGCAGTGGGTTGGACTGCATGATCCTCAGGGTCTCTTCCAACTCTTTTATGATTCATCAGCATTCTTGTACAGATTCTCCTAATATGCGTATGTTCATATGCAACTTGGCCTAATATGCAATTTTCACAAAGTGAAATATTGCAGTTCCATATATTACTTTCACAGATATATGCAATCTCTGCACAGTTTAACCCCAATGCGTGCATTTTTGTACATATCACTTGGCTGGAGAACTGCTCTGCAAAATTCAGAGAAATGCAAATTTCAAAGGATGCCTTGTTTTGGTCCTCATATTCTTTTGAAAAGTGCAAATGAGGTAGATTTGCCTGCAAATGCAAACTGATTCACTTCTCTCCCCCAACCCTACTGGGTGGTGCCATGTTGGATAGATAAGATACAGCACTCACAGCTTGAACATCAGTAATAGGTGAAATAATAGGTGACTCTTCCACGTTGGCATCAATCTTTTTTAGGACCTGCTTTTAATAACCGCAGGAGCTTTAGAATTCAGTATTTCCCAAACTTGGATCGCCAACTGTTTTGGACTATAACTCCCATCATCCCATGCTAGCAAGACCAGCGGTCAGGGATTGTAGTCCGAAAACAGCTGGAGACCCAAGTTTGGGAAACATTGGCTTAGATGATAGACAGGGTTGTTTGGGGGATAAAAAGGGGGGGGAGGAGAACTATGTACGCCACCTTGAGTTGCTTGGAGGAGAGGTGGGATTTAGATGTATGTATGTAGAATTAATAAATAAAAATAGCTTCAGGTCCTCTGGCTTAGATGCCTGGTGTCCCAAGCCTCACCAAAGTAAGGGGGAAATTAGATGTTGGTGGAGGTGTGTGGCAAGCTCTGAAAATGCTTCTGCTCTTAAGTTTTCAACCAATGCAATAGAACAACTGGATAATAACTTTGTGCGTCATTTAAAGTCTAGCCAGGTTGGAGTACTGCAGTCAATTTTACCTTTCTACCATATATCAGGAGTAATACAGTACTTCAAGCACCTGTTAGGGAAGCTAAAGAAATGCAGGGCATTTTGACATGGGGCCGAAGATGATGAAGAAACTTGCAATGGGTTTTATCAAGTGCTTGTGCCTTTTCAGCCTTAGAAGCCTTCAGAACCACTTCTAATTCAGTTAGTGTGAAGATTGATGTATCGTTTGCATCCACACTTGGCATCCCAATTGCCTCTCTCAATTTACCTTGCACTTCATGATTGATTTCCTTGTCCGCTTTTGTTCATGAAATCAGCAGTAGCCCTATCACCAGTAATTGCATACTCTCGCTTTCCCCAGGCTGGGATAGACCATTAGTCATTTGGAATTTCTGTTGGGCCTGCTTGCTTGAACAGGTCATGTCAATTGTTTTAACAGCTTAAAGCCATCTCTTTATTCTGATGGGACTTAGATGCTGGATATGTGCTTCTGTAATGACTTTGGATTCTTCTGGTGTTTTACCAACTAAATTCGCAGTTGCATTTTGGGGTTGCGGCAGACCTTAGTTTTTTCAAAGGGTTCAAAGCACTTTGAAAATGGTGTGTATATACACTCATCCCACTTTTCCCACTTCCCAGCAAAAAATGGAGAATCCTGAATTGTTCCAAAAGTGTAAAGCCATGGAATCACATTTTGCATGCTTTGAGATTTCTGAAATATTGCTATTGCAGATGCAAAAATGTGTAGGTGAACATTATTCTACACCCTTTTCAACATGGCAACATGGACACTAATAGCATGACAATGTGTGGCCTTGCTCCCTGAAGAACTGTGCATGTACTTTTAAAGCCACAGAATTAACTGGCAGCCTCTAGAATGGTCAGATAACCTATGGCCTTCCAGATATCCTTGGACTCCAACTCCCATCAGCCCTTAGTCAGTATGACCAATGATCAGGAGTGATGGGAACTGTAACACAACAGCAACTGGGGGGGCACAGATTCCCCACCAATACTCTAGAACAGTGGTTCCCAATTGGTAACCCTCCCAAGTGTCCGTTGCACCATTCACATAACAAAAACTACCACAGAGATATCAAAATATTCAAAAGTAAGGGGGCTATGGCTTGGCTTTTGAAAAACAAGGGCTAATTGGGAACCACTAGAGAATTAGTCATGCTAGTAAAAAAAACATTTACATACAAGTAACACTAACCCTTTGACTGGCAACTCTGTTATTCCTGCATTCTGTAATAATGAGAAATTAGTGACTATAACCAGTTTTGATGTAGACTCTGCATCACAGGAAATCACTCGTAAGCACGGGTATCACAGAGATATAGCTGTTCTGTTCTGGATATATTATCATTTTCCCTTAACAGGGGGGAGCCATCAATTTCCTGTGAAAATGTAAGGCAAGTCAAACCTACCTACTATTTCCACTATTTTCTTTTATTATTTATTTATCTCCTCTGCAGGCAAATGGCTCTCATGGAAAAGGTTACATATGCTAACAGGAAGTTCCATTGCTTTAAGAGGAAGTGGGACCTGACATCAACAGGAAGCCCTGGGCAGCCCAACTACTGCTGCTTTAAAGAGAGAGAGCTCTCTGAAACAATGTCTGCCAGTAATTTAGAGCTAGCTAGCAGGAAATGAATATACGCTGCTGTGTGTGGTAGAGAGGAAATGATAAGCGCTACCTGGTCTGACATGGAGCAGAGATAGCGGGGAGAGAAAAGGCCTTGTTTTCCCTTATGATAGATTTTGTGCCTGCGGTCTGCGAAATGGAAAACAAAACAAGGAACAAATCGCAGAACATAGCAGTGTCCAGGGGAAAGCAGGGATTTCAGTGGGAGAAAAGCTGGGCTTCATACTTCCAAGTATTAGGCATTCAAATACTCTAGTGAAAGCTTTAGTATAGATATGTTTCAGAATGGTAGATTTAAAGGTCTAGCTATGCATGTAATTGAATGGGAAAATCCTGCTTTTCTTAAATTTCCGGAACTATAATTTCCCCTGTTCACTTTTGCTGCTTTGTGTGTGCATTTCCAATTTTTGCTACTTCTTTCTGTGAGAGCCTTGGAAGTTTAAAATGAACTCGTCAAGTATCATTCTGAAATTTTATCAGAGCAAGCCTTCCTAAGTTCTATAATGATGTAGATCAATGGGATAATGTGTGTGGGAGATCAGGTGGGAGGGAGGTACAGCAATGATGGGTCTCTATGGCGACTTAACCGAAAGGAAGCAATGTACATGCAATGAGAAAAAGAGGAAGCGGGTTGTTAAGAGTTCTTGACACAAACAGGTGATGTAAGCAGTGGCTGAACTTAGGCAAAGGAATCAATTAGGACAGAAGCAGACATTTTGGGGAGAGCGTCCATAGAGCTCTCCCCAGCACAGTTCCTTAAGGCCTGCTTCATAGCCTGCCAATTCTGATTCTAATATATCTGAAATGTGCCCCCAGATGCACCCCAGTGTGAGTGTGATGTGATGACCCAAAATGTAGCATCCAGGCTAATGTGTAGCACAGTCATCAGCATGTAAAGTAAGCCCCACTGAGCTTGATGGAGCTGAAACCCCTTGGAATCGTGCCTGGGGTTGCACTTTCGTGGTAGAATTTTCTGCTGATTTATATATTTATTATTCGTTTATGAAAAGCGCATCAACCACACTCTTTGTTGTGAATAATTTCAGAGCAAGTGTCAAGTTAAAATGTAGAGTGTCTACATAAAACACTAGAAACACCGGGGGGAATAAAAATACAGCCGGAATAACAACAACAACAAGTGATTTGACACTAAATGCCCATGAAACCCAGTAGGATGTCACCAGGAGCAAAATCCAGCACATCCTGGTTCAGGATGGGGCAGGGCTAAAAGCAGGTTTACCTTCTTTGCATACAGATTAACAGGAGATATGTGCACAATTCATTAATGGGTTGCAAAGTGACCTGAGGGATCCTTCTCCAACTCTGTCTTCCTGGTTCCCTTCAAAAGCAACTGCAGTGGCCTACAAGTGCCTAGCTAGTGCTGCCACCACCACCACAATCATTCAAAACGACGTTATAGCAAGTGCCTCTGGGAACAAGAGGACTTGATGACATGCCATTGTTCCCAGAGGGAGTTGACGGGGAGGACATGGCTGCCCCTGTGACCTTTCTGCTGGAGATTCTGAGAAGGAGGTTAAACCCCTGAATCTCCCGGTCAAGAAAGAGATGGGTAAATCTGTCAAACATGGTCTCTCATTTTTTCAGTCTTCGGTTCTCCACATTCGCACATCACCTTGCTTAAAAAAAAAAAAAAAGTCTTCATGAAAATTCACCAGCATTTTGATATAAATTCTCCTCATATATACATGTTTGTATGCAATTTTGCCAAGCCCCCATTTGTGCAAAGCCATTTCCCCTTTTCACAAATGTATGCCCTTTCATACATACTTTACCCCTGTATATGCATTTTTGTACCCGTTGCTTGCTTGGCGAACAGCGTGGCAAAATTGGGAGATGTGCGAATTTCGAAGAATGGCTACCTCTGGGTCCTCAGATTGTTTCGGAAATTGCAGATTAGGTAGATTTGCCTTTGGATTTGAACGGTGTTGAATTTCTCCCCTATTGCTAGGGCAAACCCTGAGAGCTAATAAAGTACTTGAACATGTCTGCTGGTCATTATTAGACTTGTGCTTTAAAAAAAACCTTGCTGGTGGAGCAGCAGGAATTCTAACACTTGCCATCTAAGTATTGGGATAAACGGCTCAATTTCCTTTACAGAAAGCCTCACGGTGTTGTAGCAACTTGTCCAACAAAATGAAGTGGGAAAGTACAGGCGACTGATGCAATAGTACCTGCTACATAGATAGTCCAGGATCACAGCAGTGTCGTCCTGTCTGTTCCTCTTGCAAGCAGAGCGTGGGGCAGCCAGAGTGGAAGTGAACATGGAAGTTTTAAAAGGGAGATTCATTTTTAAATCCGTTTGATGTTGGTTAGCTATCTCCCTGTTCAAACACAGGTGCCTGGGACTTCCAGCAGCCCAGCCACCCTAGCCAAAGTAAACATTGGCAGAGGAGGGCTGGTCCATGTTATCCACCCCCCCTTCTTTTAGAAACTAAATGCAGTGCTGGTGAAAGGTGTTGGTTTGACAGCTGTAGAGAACGAAGGCCTTTGTCTACATACGGCACTGTGGAGCAGACATCCGCTCGCACTGTTTTGTTGATATGTCTCATCCTCTGATCTCAGTGGGTCTGTCTAAAAGGAAAACGGGACATATCCAGTCCTTGGTAGTCTCTCATCTGCCCCATAAGGGCCTTTGCTATGTATCTTCCTCCCAAGTGTGTGTGAATCTACAATAGGTAAACATTCACCATAAACAGGCATACCTTTTATGGGGCAACTCTGAAGGCCTTTCCAAATAATTTGTTCTAGTGCAAAAAGGCATAGTGGTTTATAGGTCACCAGTTCCCTGCTTCATGCCTGATTTGCCTCATTATTGAATTTGCATGTTTTAAATGCATTACACACTGTGGGGTGTGCTGCCTTAGTGTAAGACCAAAGGTAAATTTTCATGACAATTCTCGGTTAAACTGTCCAAGGACCTCCAAATTAGGAAGTAAATATGTGAAGTTTCCAGCTCTAGTTGATGCAATATTTATTGCTTGCAACAAATTCCTGTTTTCTTCTAAAAGAAAGAAAGAAAGAAGCTATAACAAGGAAGTTGCTACATGTGCAGTAAAATGGATGTATATCACCATGGTGCAGTAAACTGCATAAGAAAATGTGGAGATAACATTTTGTTTGGACGCCTGCTTCCTAGTTTCTACTAGGTTCTTGTCCCAAGGTTATCATCAATAGGCAATAAAGGTTTGATTTATGTCCTACTGTAAGTGTGGGCGTGTGTGTTTAGATTTAGGATTTTGGTTGAGCGAGCTACAAGGACGTAGGCCTGATTTCTCCAGCAGGTCTTGTTACTGAAAGATGGCACACCAATGGTAGTAGTAAGTGGAGGTATGCTTCATTACCAATGAAAGTGTTTTTTTGCACAAAAGCCACATTGACTCAGAGCACATTATAATATAATTTGAAATGTTAAAGCGGGTGCAATATTGCAGATGATGATGAAGAAGAAGAGTTTGGATTTGATATCCCGCTTTATCACTACCCAAAAGAGTCTCAAAGCGGCTAACAGTCTCCTTTCCCTTCCTCCCCCACAACAAACGCTCTGTGAGGTGAGTGGAGCTGAGAGACTTCAAAGAAGTGTGAAACTAAAAGCTGATTTATACATACAGTGGTACAGTGGTGCCTCGCAAGACGAAATTAATCCGTTCCGCAAGAGTCTTCGTCTAGCGGTTTTTTCGTCTTGCGAAGCAAGCCCATTGACGGATTAGCGCTATTAGCGCTATCAGCTGTTTAGCGGCTATTAAAGGCTTAAAGGCTTAGGGATTAGCTGCTAAAAGGCTATTAAAGGCTATTAAAGGCTTAGCAGATTAGATAAAGGGGGAAAAGCGAAAAAAATCTCAAGACTCGTAAGGTATTTTCTGTCTTGCGAGCAAGCCCATAGGGGAATTCGTCCTGCGAAGCAACTTCAAAACGGAAAACCCTTTCGTCTAGCGGTTTTTCCGTCTTGCGAGGCATTCGTCTTGCGGGGCACCACTGTACATCTAGTTGCAGACACAATCCGTTCAGGACACCCTGAAAAGTCTGCAACAAGAGCGGCGCTTCTTTCCATGCTTTGCTGGAATTGCTTAACATTAAATGTAAGAAACCTGGATCCTAATGAGATCATTCAGCTGCTTAATATTTTGCTCATAGTTTATATGCTTAATATTTCGCTCAGCTGCCCAGCCAGGGCCTAATCAAATGCAAACTCAAATAGGAATGTCAGAGAAGTCGGATGAAAACTGAAAAAGAAGTAAGGGGAAATTGCTGCAGTTTGTGCACTTCTCTCTCTCTCTCTGTGTGTGTGTGCGTGTCTAGGGTCAGGATAGAAATTGGTCCAGCAAATACGATCAGTATTCATTCATAGCACCATCATTGTTGTTGTTGTTTCTAAGTCCACAAATGATATGTAATAAATTACTTTTTTAAACATTGTTTTGACATTTCCTTTACACTGAGCTGTGAAATCCAGCCAGATGGGCAGAGTATAAATAATAAAATTATTGTTATTATTATTATGCCTACATTGCAGGGCTTGGACTAAATGAACTTTGGTATCACCTCCAATATTCTATTGTTCTATGACTTACATTAAATACGGTAGCAGGCAGCAAGAGGAATAATGTAGTATTTGGCAAGAACCAAACTGCAGCTGAACGGAAGCAGCACCAATGGTGATGAATGGAGTCCAGAACAGAAATTGCTGCCTCCTTACATCCCTGTACTCCGAGCTTCTAGAAACTGGCAATTCAAAACAGATTTGAGCAGCTTACAGAAAGTGCTTTTATTTTTTGGATATAGGAGGGAAACAAGTGAAAAATGCTATCTAACATTGTTAAGCAGGGGACTGTGGAATGTTAAATGCACCCATGCCACAAAGGAGATGGGAAGAAGATTCACAAGAGTGGGAAATGTTCGGGTTTAACAGGACATGTTTATGATACATGTGTTATCACACAATACCCTAGATTGGGGGAGAGTTTCTATGACACTTGGTCAACTTTTTGATTTTATTTTTTTAATAAAAGAAAGAAATGTTTTCATTGCAACTCATTTTCCCCCCTCCCAGCTGATGCCGGGGGTCCACACTCTCCCTTTCTTCTACATCTGGTTTCTATTGTAGTTGTAAAATGAGGACATTTTGGCTGCCTGGCACAACTAGCAGAAACTGTGTGACACCAGCTGCCTCTTCCAACTTCCAAGCCTTGAATATGGTTTCAATTATAGACATGAGAAGATTGGGACATGGAGCTCCATCCCTTTTCCTCCCTGCTGCCTACATATGCTTTCCTCCTTCTCCCCCCCCCCCCCAGAAACAACTGAAAAGTTCTTATTCAAAGTTCATGAATTTTCCATTTACATTTCCACACGTATCATGTGCGGATCTTGCTGCAAATGGATCTGAGTTTCGTTTTCTTTCCGCACAGGACCTCTGCAGACTAATCAGAAATAAATTATCTCAGGACCTACCATGTAGTGATTACCATCTTAACCCCACCTCCTGCTAGCACTACCTAATGTGTCAGAGAGCAATGCTACTTCTGGATTTGGGCTCTCCTGAAAGAGAACATTTTTTGTATTCTTCGTTCGTACAATCAATGCACTGAGGAGCTGGGCTCTGCAGGAAATTGATGCATAGCCCTTTCATCTCCAGGGACTTGAGGTCAGGACTGTAACTTTTGGTCAGAAGCAAAAATGAGTCCCTGGTGGAATTTTTTTTTTTTACATCACAAAACCACTGCATAGTCTGACAAAATAGGCTGTTTTCTGTAGATTTCAAGGACTGGGAGGGCAGGAAATGGGGTGTGTGGAGTTAGGGGAGGGAGTTGGCTGCAGTGGTGTGGGAAGTGTAGAGTTGGGATGCCAAATTTGGCATTGCAGGTCAAGGCTGTGGCAAACTAGAAAGAAGATGGGTAAAGGATGATGAAAGCAAAATAAATTGGCACCAGAATAACAAAGATCTCTCTTGTCGGGTTGGAGGGGAGCAGCAACCATGATGTGGAAAGCGTCAAATTGGGGAAAGGAGAACACAGTTTTTGTGTGTGATGCCATTCTAACCCACCCCAAACTTGTGGTTCCAGAATGCTTCACATCAGGCATTTAAAGTGCTATGATACCACTTTAAATGGTCATGGCTTCCCCCAAAGCATTCTGGGAGGTGTAGCTACAATTCTCAGGATTCCCTGGGGAAAAGGATTGATTGTTAAAGCTCTAGAAATTGTAGCTCTTTGAGAACAGGGATCTCCTAAACAACTCTCAGCACCCTCAACAAATGACAGCTCTGATCATTCTTTGGGGGCAAGCCATAACTTGTGGTATTGTCAGGATGCTGTTAGCAGCTCCCGGCTCGTTGCCCAGGAAAGTATAAAGACAAGGAAAAGTTTCTTACAGTCCTTTTTTATTTCAATCTTTACAGAGAGAGGCTATAGAACCTAGCCTCTTGGATAATGGTGTTGTCCTAAGTGAATCTCCAACCCCCCGTCTCTTCCGCTTCCTCATTCATCAATCTCATCATCTCTCTTATGGGTGCTGCTAAGTGCCCTCTGTCTTCAAGCTCTTTGCTCTCCTACTTTTAAGGCTCGCCGGGTTCTGAGAGATGGTGGGTCTGGAATATTTTCTAATGACAACGTGTCAGCCAGGTGTTGCTCTGGCTCTCCCATGATTTCCCAACTTTCCCCCTCATCTGCCTCTGAGCTGTGACCTTCGGCAAACCACTGTTGTAAATCTATACTGTCTTCCTCTTCCTCCTCCCTGGTAGGGTCAGGATGGGGAGGCGGTCGCCACCATTCCTCTTCTGCCCAGTCCCTGGCAGGTATCATTGCATTTTAAGTGGTATCATAGCATTTTAAATATATGGTGTGAATACGGCCATGGTACCCTTGCCTGCGTAACGAGGCCTAGTGTAGCCTCAGGGTTATCTATAGGTTGTGCCAGGCGCCTCCTGCATCCCTTGATGCCAAGATTAGTCCCTGCAATTTTGCTGCAAAAGCCAAGATGATATCTTTCCCCCATTCCATTTACAGAAGGCAACAGGACTGGCAGCTGAATCTTACTTCAAGCTTGGTGACAGGATACTTTCCTTCACTGTACCTGAAAGAGCAGGATAGTTCAGGGCTCCAGACCAGGCTTTGTGGCATATTTAAGTGTGTCCTCCTAACAGAGATCAAGTTAGGAAATCTGGCTGGTTTTTACTGAACAGGAAAAGGGGGAAATGCAAGCATCTGAAAGAAAACTCAAGGAAGCAATTTGTATATTCCACCTGGCTCTTACCTTGGTTCTGTTTGTAGGGTGGATGAAAATAGCCTCCTTAAACTGGTTTGTGTGAGGTTCATTCACAGTGCTTGAGGGTATTGTTGACCTAAGTTGCTTCTTAAGAGAATATGTGTTCTGCATAAGATAAAATAAAGAGGTTTCAGTATTCAGTGTAATCCCATTTCCTGCTGCGAATTTATGCTCTCACCGAGTAGTAAGGAAAGAAATGATTCGCAACGATTTCAGATGTGTGACTGTTATTTTTCTTTCTTGATAGCCGCATTATTCGGATGACAGGTTTATGGACAGTAGAAAACTGTCGCATGTAGATCCTGTCAGTTTATAAAATGTACTTTTCAGGATTTCTGAGCTCTTAAACTGTAACTGTTTTATCTTCAATGGAGCTGACCTACTCCATTTGTTTCATTGAAGCCTGAAATAATAATAATAATAATAATAATAATAATAATAATAATAATACGAAGCTAAGGTCTACAGTTGCAAGAATATTGTTTACCGGCAGGGTATAATCTAAGGATGATTTCACCTAGAGGTTCCCCCCCCCGCTTCCATTTGGGATATGTTCATTCAGCATATCCCAAGACCTTTGACTCAAATGAACAACCTGAACTCATTTCTTTCCTGCCCGTGGCACAAATGTGGGAAAACACAGATTTTATGCAGACAGCATAAGCCACATAGGAGAAGAAACGATGTGAGCACCCTTTTTGTACCATCCATACTTCACGTCATGCTGGATCCAATATTTGTAGTTGTGTGCCAAAGCAAGGGTGCCAGCACTGTTTGTGGATTGGGCCCTCTCACCCCCTCACATACAATTTGCATAGGCTTTGTAACATAAGCAAATTTGTGTTCTCTTTTGCAGATGGAGTAGAGGATCCAAATATAAACCAGCAGCCATGCATGCAATAGAATGCCTAAATGTGAACGGGTGAAGCTTTCCCCATATTTGTATTTCCTTTTTAGAAAGGCTTAGCCTGTTGAATTTCTGCCTACCCCACAGCTGCTACAGGCTCAAGAGCTATGGTTTCCCCAAATGCCAACTGTAAACCAAAGCCTAGGCTGCCATTCTGTGTGGCTTCACCTGGTAGCAAGCCCTAATAAACACAAACAAAATTACTTCTCAGTGGACATGTGTACTACTGTACTGCAGGTTAATTATACAGGGAATTCGTAACGAGTGCCTGGAGACATAAGCCTCTTTGCAAAGTTTTTTCACGTTGAGAGCCAGTGTGGTGTAGTGGTTAAGAGCGGTAGTCTCCTAATCTGGGGAACCGGGTTCGCGTCTCCGCTCCTCCACATGCAGCTGCTGGGTGACCTTGGGCCAGTCACACTTCTTTGAAGTCTCTCAGCCCCACTCACCTCACAGAGTGTTTGTTGTGGGGGAGGAAGGGAAAGGAGATTGTTAGCCGCTTTGAGACTCCTGAAGGGGAGTGAAAGGCGGGATATCAAATCCAAATTCTTCTTCTTCTTCTTCTTATTTTGGTATTAATTCATATTTATGTATGTTGGGCAGGTGCAAGTGTGGAGATCTCCTTAGATTTTACGGTTGTTGTGCATGTGTGTATGGAATAGTGTATAAGATAGACAGTAAGGACTGACACGATCCGAGACCAGGAAGAAGAGACGTTGGATGAAGATTGGAAAAAATTATAAATAAAAACTTTCTATTTGGGGAATTAGCTTAAAATTAATGAATATTAGGGAAAATGTTGGAATGAAACTATATGACTCTAGCAGAAATGATATCAGGAGTTATGTATATTTGAAAACTAAGATTTAAGCCTTAAGGTATTTTAGGGTAAGATAAGGTTAAACAAACTAAGGTAATTTGAATAACAGAATATGGGGAAAGATGGAAAGGATTTGTTGAGCTAATTATTAGGTTAAATTGTTAAGATAAAATTTGTAACAAAAATTGAGAAAGATGGAAAGAATTTGCTGAAATAACTAGTTGAACTGGAATGCAAGAAGGGAGGTGTGAGGAGGTCAATGAAACAAGCAAATGGAAGTTATAGATATGTAATTTGGGATTTGTGGGTTTTTTTCTGTCTTCCTTTTTTCTTTTTTTCTTTTTTCTGTACTGTTGTACTGTTGTACTGGTTTTTGCGTTTTCTTTTTTCTCTTTTTTATGTATTATTGTGTTGTTTTTTATATATTTTTTATTTTCTATGATTTTGAAACTATTAATAAATATTATTTTAAAATAAATATAAGAGACAGGGGAACGAGTAGGCTTCCGTAAATGAAGTATATTGTTGGAAGCTTCAGCTGGTTAATCTGTTTCACATTGAATGTTTTCTTCATTTTTACCTCAGTATTTGGTTAAATAGGAAATAATATTTTTGTTGCAGGATAGTTTTGCTTGTTTACCCCATGATATGATTGTTTAGTTGTCTATTGGACCTGCTTATATGATTTTGTTGTTTTGTATATTGTTTTTTTCCTGGGTTTATTTTTATTACTTTAATAAGAAAACATTTAATGAAGAGTGGGCTATAAATACTGCAAATAAATACCCCCCCTTTATTGGAAGCCACTCAGAGATTGCAATATTCTTAGGTGGCATATGAATGCAACAAATAATAATAAAATATTCTTTATTCATCAGCTTTTGGCCATTGTAAATGATCATAAAAGGTAAAGGGTCCCCTGACCTTAGGTCCAGTCGCGGACGACTCTGGGGTTGCAGCGCTCATCTCGCTTTATTGGCCAAGGGAGCCGGTGTAAGGCTTCCGGGTCATGTGGCCAGCATGACTAAGCCGCTTCTGGTGAACCAGAGCAGCGCATGGAAACACCGTTTACCTTCCCGCCAGAGCCGTACCTATTTATCTATTTGCACTTTGATGTGCTTTCGATCTGCTAGGTGGGCAGGAGCTGGGACCAAGCAACGGGAGCTCATCCCATTGCGGGGATTTGAACTGCCGACCTTCCGATCGGCAAGCCCAAGAGGCTCAGTGGTTTAGACCACAGCGCCACCCTTGTAAATGATCATATTATGGCATAAAAGGCAATTCAAGCTGAGGACCCCAGGGAAAGACCTCCCTTTTGTGCTTAATCCTTCCTTTCTTTCTTTCTTTCTTTCTTTCTTTCTTTCTTTCTTTCTTTCTTTCTTTCTTTCTTTCTAGTTCCCCCGGTACTGAAGAGCTGCGCAGAGTTCATAGAGACACACGGAATTGTGGACGGAATCTACCGGCTTTCTGGAGTGACGTCCAACATCCAGAAACTGAGGTGAGGTGAATAAGAGAACCAAATGCAAGAAAGGCCCAGTGTTAACCATCCATTGCGTTAGAACAGCATATGAACATGCCTGGATTGAGGGTGGCTGGCTTTCGGTGGATAGATAGCAACCCGGCTATGGCAAGCCAACTCCAGAGTAGCCTTAAAGCTCACGATAAACGAGTTTATAACCAGAGCTAAGTCATTTGAACTTTACAGGGCATTTGCAATGCAGATTACCAATGTGTCCAACTACCCTCCTGTGCAGATGGACTCTGGATCATAGAGCACAGGCTTTGAGAAAACTCATTCCTTTCTTCAAAGCTCATTTCGTTATTTTTGAAGATCTACTTGAGGTTTATCCTCATGGCTTCTGTGTTTTATAGGTGTTAGATTATGGGAGTAAATCCTGCCCTGCTCCTTTCCCCCTTATAGTATAACTAAGGCCTATATATGTACGTTACAGGTTAAACCCTCACTCAAGTTTCCTGCTGCAGGAAAGGGGTGAATGGATGATGATAGACAGTGCTGACTTGCTTATGAATATACTCAGCTAGGTCTCTCTCCATTCCTAAAATAAAAATGGGGGGAGAAAAAACACAAATTGAACGGGTTGTTCCTGCAAAGGCGCTTGTGTACAGCGTGTGTAATTGGGCCTTCTGTGAACCAGCCCTAAGACCATTGCAAAATTCTGGCCACCAGCTCGGCGGTGGCTTATCGTAGATAATCTTCATGCAAATGGCAGTTAAAACATGGAAATGATGTCTAACTAGCATATGCAGAATCCATACAGCCCTCAAGGTTATGATAGGTTTCCATGGTGATTCTTGGTGCTGAGCAGGTTCCCCGTCACTGAGGTAATACATTATCAGATCTTTGCAGCCCAATCAGTACACCTTTTTTAGCCTTTGTCTGGGCAGAAATCAAGATGCAAATTGATTCCATCTCTTGCTCGTTAAACCCACTGTACCTCCTCCATCTCTGTTGTTTCAGGCAAGAGTTTGGATCAGATCAATGCCCAGACCTGACAAGGGAAGTTTACCTCCAGGACATTCACTGTGTGGGCTCACTCTGCAAGTTATACTTCAGGGAGCTACCAAATCCCCTCCTCACGTATGAGCTCTACAAGAAATTCACGGTGAGATGTTTTCTGCTATGTCTCCATTCCTGACAGGCCTCTTCCACTCTTTGACCCACACCAAACTTTTATCACTGTTGGAGACTTCCAGGTTGGCGCCTCCGGCAATGGCGGAGCTCCTCCGTTCGGGAGGAACTTGCTCCGTGAAAAACGGTCTGACCGCCACGGCGAAGGTGGAGACCCATTGAAATCACAAGCGGGAGAACTTGTGAACCTGGGATTCGGCTGGCACCTTTTGCGCCTCCCCTACTCGTGGGGAAACCCTGTTTTGGGGTTCCAGAGCGATGTGGGGTGAGTGGCGCGGTGCTTTGAATTGACTGCTTTTTTCACGGAGTGAAGCCGCATTGCTGTTGCCGGAGAGCGCTGACTTTTTCCTGTGGACAATTGGATTTTAAACAACTACTCGTGAGTAAATCGGAAAATTGGATTTTTAAATACTTTAATTTGGCACTGAAGCGGGAGGTCATAAACAGGAAGTCCGCCTTCCGTTTTTGTAAATAGACTGAAGCAAAGACGTTATAAGTTAAAGTCTTTGAAAGCTTTTGGCAAAGGATTAAATTTCCATCGGTTTAAAATACAAAACCCCCCTTGGAAGCAGGAGAAGAGGGGGAAATTTTGGATCTAGTGAGCCTGCAGGAGAGAGTGAAAAATCAAATTACCACTGCTCTGAACCTGGGAACGGACTGCCAGATGACGTTTGGAGAGAGTGCATTTGACAGAACGGATTTGACAGCTAGCTAAATAAGAGTAAGATACTGTTTCCATTGTCCTCCTCTGCGTTTAAAAAAGAGGAAAAGTAACTGAAAATTTATCTTTAAAGCTTGAGTTGTGCCTGAAAGAACTGATACAAGTGGAGACTGTTTCCCTCTAGAGGGAGCTTTTGAAACTGTTACAGGAGTGTAACTGGGGGATTTCCAGCTGCAGATAAGGATTCTGAGAACTAGAGAGTGACCTTGGACCATTTAAAAATGTTGACAGGAGAGGCCATTGTGACTGTTTTATGTAAGATAAGCTGTTCGCTGGGACAGCTTCACAAGAAGATGGATGACATGACTTTTAAAGTTGATAATTTGGAACAGAAAGTGACTAACTTGAGTCAAAAAGCGAACACCAACACAGAAATAATTCAGGACTTGGTACAGGAATCCATTTTGGCAGGACAAATGGTGGAGGAGAAGGAGGAGAAGGAGAATGCTGCTGTTGTTGAACATAAAGTAATACAAGTGAGATCCGTGGCTTTACAGAAGCAAATTGAGGACTATAAGTTGAGGCCTTTTATGATTGAATCTAGGAAAAGTCAGACTCTGAGGAATGGATCCCGGCTTGGACTAAAGAAGGAAAGTTGGAAAGATCCCTCTATGCAGGGATTAACTGACTTTTGGGACATGGACTTGGGCCTGGAGGAGATTGAAGTTTTGGGGGCCTTTGGACTTGGAGGAATCTTGAAATATGCCCTGAAATACTTTATGGACTGTAGCTTTAACTATGGAAATTTGGCTGATCTGTTCAGAAGGAAGAAAAGGATTGACAGGTTGGAGTTTCCCCGAGATTTGCTCTTTAGCATTAAAGAAAATGAAGAAGACTTGCAGAAGGGACTTGGAAAAGAGTTAAGAGCCTCGGACATAAAATCACCAGGTTGATGGACTTTATGGAGTTGACGGAAAGGACTGGCAGAATCCGAAACCAGGGAGAGGAGATGGTGGAAGAAGATTGGAAAATTTAAAGTTTATATATAGACTTATGGTAAAACTAATGAGTGATAGTAAAATGGTGGAATGATTTTTATGGGCTTAGCAGAAATGTTATAAGGAGTTAAGCATATATAAGTATTTTAGTTTTAATGGAAAATAAGGTTAAAAATACGTTATTTACAATATGATAGAAAATGGAGAAAGATGGAAAGGATTTGCTGAAACAATTAATAGAAGTGGAATACAAAAAGGGAGGTGAGAGGAGGTCGAGGAAACAAGGGAATGAAAGATAGAGTACGGAAAAGAGATGATGTATGTTTTTAAATTGTTTTTGTTTTGTTTCATTTAGGGTTAAGGTTAGGGAGTGGGGTTTGTTTAGTTTAGTTTAATGTGTTTAGTTTTGAGTTTAGGTTGTGTTTTGCATTGTTTATATATTGTATTGTATTGTTTTTTTCTTTTTTCTTTCCTCCTTTGTCTTTTTTCTGGTTTTTTTTCTGTTTTCTCTTTTTGTAATCTATAAAAGTAATAAATATTATTTAAAAAAACAAACAAACAAATTTTTATCACTTTTGGGCTTTCCTTATAGGCTGTACTGCCATTGTGGAAGTCCAGGGCCACGTTCACGCAATGCAGTTAAAGCACTATGATATCACTTTAAACATTCATGGCCTCCCCAAAGAATTCTGGGAGCTGTAGTTTGCATGAGAAAAGTCCTGCCCCCCCCCAAGTTGAATAAAGACACTTGACACCAGTATTTTAGGTTAATGGGCTAAAAAAGGCTACAACTTTATTGGTTACAGATTGTGAGCGGTATTGGCTTAGGCATTGGAGCTAACCTATTATATCTGACTCCTGCCTGTGTGCAGGGAGTCCTGGAAGTGTGAAAAGGGGAGAGCTCCCACCGGCATCCTGCTTAAATTGAGCAGGCCACACCCTTGGAGTGACCTGATTGGTTGCCTGGGCAGTGACGCAACTGGGAACCCCCCAATCATGTGGAACTGTCCACATCCCCTGCTCCGCGCACATGGAAGGGTCATGAGTACCTGCAACCCCACCTCCTCCTTAAGGTGGAAGTGGCCTTGTTAAAGGTGCTGTCAGTTGTCAGGAGATCCCCAACCACACTCACAGAATTACAATTCCCAGAGTTCCTTGGGAAGAGGAATTGATTGTTAAATCACTTTACACATGTGTCATATACATAAAGCACGTTTAAAGTACATGGCTTCCTCCAAAGAATCCAGGGAACTGTAGTTTATTCCTCATAGAGCTGCAGTTCCTGGCTCCCTTAACACACTATAGTTCTCAGGATTCTTTGGACAGGATTCTTCTATAGGAAGAGTAGCTCAGTTGGCAGAGTATAAGACTCTTAATCTCAAAGTCGTGGGTTCAAGCCCCACGTTGGGCAAAAGATTCCCACATTGCAGGAGGTTGGACTAGATCAGGGTTTCCCATACTTGGGTCTCCAGCTGTTTTTGGACTAACGATAGGTCTTGGATGTGAAGAAGTTGGAGGCTACTGGAATATAGTAGCACACTGAAATCCTAATAAAGGACTGCCTGCAATTTGTTTTTAGGAATATTTTAAAAACAATTTCAGTTAATTATAAAGGCCATACAGTAATGGTCACAAGATCAATGCAATATCAAAGATTTAAAAATGAAATAAAAATTGGGCTCCACACATTTTTTGCCACCAGAGCCATTTTCAGTTCTGGGAATTCATAATACACTATTTCTGTTCATAAAAATTTTCCAAGCAGGGCTTGGGTAACTTCTCTTTTTTAAAAAACTTTCTTTCACAATTCTTATACCAGTGGATTCTTATTATAATTTTATCAGCAGGGGCTTTTACTGTCACTTAATCCAGTGCAAAATGGGTGAAAGCAGCATATTTTCTGGTGGCACAGCTACTTTCTCCTCCCTGCTTAGGCTGAAGTTAATGAGTCAAGGTGCACAGCAGTGGAAAATCAGGTTCAAAATTGTCATGCCATGAATGCAGAGAGTGGGTGTAGGTGGAAACTGTCCAAGCAGAAATCTTCAAACAACTTTAATGCAAAATGTAATGACTTGATTCAGGAGGGGGGAAATGAGTACAGATTAGCTCCAAAGTTGTGAGCAGGTTGGAGGAGCCATAGCAATAGGCCAGAAGTTCTGTTGTCAAAATCTGCACTGTGCAGCTGTTCCTTGGTCCTGTAATAGGGTCAACAAATGTAATAATTATCATAAGTATTACAGAGGCAAGATGTCAATTAGCTGAACAGTTAACACCAATACGGTTGTTTGACCAGATGTTTTCTCAGCCAGGAACTCACTCAGTAGAGTCCAAATGCAGTTTGGATAATCACCTTCCAAGAGGTCTCAGAGATAAGGGCATAATTTGAACCCTTCTGCCTCCTTCTATTCTCTACTATCCTGTCACTGAGAGCAGCATTCCTTCTTGTCATGACTGACCATGCAGCCCATCGCCATAACATCAGTCCCTCGGTGTGACCTTTCCCTTTCAAGGGCCCCTCTCCCAGTGGAGGCTGGTTCATCACAGGGCAGATAGGGCACTGCCCCACCAACATTAGTTTCCCTTCAGCCAGCTCCTACTTGCTTGCTTTCTTCCTTACATCCAGTCCAGAGAGTGGCACCGCCTGCCTGCCTGCCTGCTTCCTTCCCTCCCCTGAGTCTCAGTAGTGCCTTTGTAGAAGGTGGGGACAAAACTAGAAATACTTGGCTCTGCCACCTTCTGTTAGTCACTTTCTACCTTGCCAATCCTAATGGGCATCAACCACCACTTCCATTCACTCGTCACTTCTGAATTGACCAAGGAACTGTAAGCTCATACCGCTTTGGACTTCACCTTGTCTTACTGCTACCAACTCTTAAGGCAGCTGTTGCACACCAACCCAATCTCTGAGAGGTGCAAGATTCCAGGTGTCCCAGGTGCTTACTTAGGGTTAAGTTTCTTCAGAATGGTTTATTTACGCATATATGCAGCCTGTGCCTACGGTGGAGGGACTCACAGCATTAATACCCCAAGAAGGTCTTGCTTCTTCCATAGCCACAGCTTTGCATTCCAGCAGAAATCAGGCATGGCTCTGTCTCACAGGCTTCAGCACACACACCAACTCCAAACTTAGTCTTTCTAACCACCAGTTAGAACAGAGCCACTTCCTTAATGGCTTATACTTAGAGGGCTGTTACCAAGAAATGTGTCTGGCTGTTACGGCAACTTGAATCCTTCCTTAGATTTAAACACTTGCTGGATCCAGAAATTAGAAGGGTCCCAGGCATACAGTCTACCCTCAGGCATAATCAGAGCAGCCTTTGCCAACCTGGTGCTCTCCAGATGTGTTGGGCTAAAAACTCCCGTCAGCCCCAGGAAAAACAGGCCGGAGTGTGATGGGCATTGTGGAGGGCATTGGGTTGGCTAAGGCTGCTTTAAGTAGCTTGGTTTTCTACCATAATTATTTATTTATTGCAAAAGTGACTAATGTATACTGGATGCCATACGCAGATTAAAAACTAAGGCTCACAGTGTTGCAGTCAGGTTCACCTGCGTCTGCAGAATTACCTCTCTACCAGAGATGGCTGATGCCCATTGAGTTTGTTAGGATGAAAGGCAGGAAGCCAACAGTAAAGGTAAAGGGACCCCTGACCATTAGGTCCAGTCGTGACCGATTCTGGGGTTGCGGAGCTCATCTCGCTTTATTGGCCGAGGGAGCCAGCGTACAGCTTCTGGGTCATGTGGTCAGCATGACTAAGCCGCTTCTGGCGAACCAGAGCAGCGCACGGAAACACCGTTTAGCTTCCCGCCGGAGCGGTACCTATTTATCTACTTGCACTTTGATGTGCTTTCGAAGTGCTAGGTTGGCAGGAGCAGGGACCGAGCAACAGGAGCTCACCCCGTTGTGGGGATTCGAACCACCGACCTTCTGATTGGCAAGTCCTAAGCTCTGTGGTTTAACCCACAGCGCCAGCCAACAGTAGGCGGAGCCAAAGCCAATGGCAGGCAGAGGCTACTAATTCTTTTTTTTTTTTTGTCCCCATCTTCCTCTCAGTCTCCCAGCACTGCTGTGCTTGGCCAAGTCACTGGTTTATCCCATGTCATCACATCTGTAAAATGGGATTAAGGGCTTGCCTTGTGAGAAAACTATGAGTTTTGTTAAACTCTGGGAATACTGAGTAATATGGGACGCTGGGAGAAGTGTGTGGGAAGCAGAATGCACCACCTCTGTCAAACTATACAATCACGTTCCTAAGGTGCTATTACAGCAAGTATCTCCAATCTTGTGCCATACAAATTACACTACCTGTATACAGCTGCCTAATTATGGTAGTGAATATTTAATGCAGCATAGATTTCTGCTCCCTTTCATCCCGACACACTTTATAAGAGAGCTCATTGAAAATACAGAAAATCATTGCAGGGTTTTCTTTCCTGCAATGCTCACAAAGTGATGCATTGCTCTCTGTTTGTGCTGTTTCCCCTTCTCCCCGCCTCTCATTTTAGCAAACATAACTGGTTTTGAAAATGACAGGAAACAAAGAGAGAAAGAACTGATAAAAGAGAGAGGATTTACAGAAGTGAATTTTTGCAAATAAGGGACTGTCTCTGGGCAACCCGTTTCCCCCCACTAAAGTGAAAGGTTCAGTGTGAGCTTCAGTTAAGGAACCAGCATCTTCTTATTAGCACCAGGTGGGTGAATCATTGGTCTGGCTTGGCACAAACAGCATTTCCCATGACTGCGTTGCAAGGGACGTGCTAATGTGCTATGAGCAATTAATTAGGAAACCCAAAGTATCCACCCACAGCGGAGCAGTGATGAGTCAAATATGATGGACCTCTAATCACAACTGGTGCAGAGAAGCAGCAGAATTGCATGCCCTCAGGTGCGTCTGCCACCCATGTATCTGCATGAGTCACTGCTTTGAGTGTGCCTTCTTCCTAGCAGGAGACATGCTCAGAGAACAGCAATTCAGGACCCAACTAGGCAGGATGTGAGATGGCACCTTTGTCTTTAACGTGCATATTCCTTTAAATGCAAACAGTATTCACAGGGGAGGGGGTGGTAAGTATGGGGAACATGCCTCGAGAAGGGGGGAAATCCTTCCTCTGAAGCTGCTATTTGCATAGCCCCTCTTTATCCTGGCTTTTGACACCTGAGATGTGGGTTTTCAGGGACCACACTATTCGTGTGAGTAATCTGTTTTAACTGTTATTAATTTTAAATTGCTATAACCTGTTGTAATTATTGGTGAAGGGCAGAAATAACAACAACAACAACAACAACAACAACAACAACAGAGAAAATCCCCTATTGGTACCCTAGGTGGGGGTTCTTGCCACTTCTCTGGAGAACAGCCATAGCTCAGTAGTAGAGCAAGTGGTTTCAGCAGCAGTCCATGGCATCTCTAGTTCATAAGGTTGATTGGAAAGATTTCTGCCTAAGACTATAGAGAGCTCTGCCAGTTGCAGCATACAACAGTGAGCTAAGTGAACACATAATCCATTGAGTTTCCTATATTTGGTGCTCAGCGGGTCTCCAAACGGAAGGTGCAGTGGGCGGGGGAAGTTGAAGAAGCCAGAAAGATGTTGACCACGTTTAGGCAATCATGTCTCAGCTTAAGAGGCCTTTTGGGTATGTACCCAATTCCTGCCCTCCTCCCTTGCTACGAGTGAGCAAATAAGTTAGGAAGTTTTCCCATGAACTATCATTTGATTTCAGCAGAATGATGGTTAGAAGCCAGCATAATAAACCATGGTTTGAAGATGGCTTAATATCCTGCTGTGTTCTGAAGGCATTAATCATAATTTCCTGGTTTAGACATAATTGACTTGTGATTTTTGCTTTCGGGAAGTAATGCACTAATTAACCCTTGAAGTCTTTTTCAGTCCTACAGGTCTTTGACTTTATGATTATTATTTTTATTATTCAGGAGGCAGTATCGTGCTTCCCAGAGGAAGAGCAGCTGGCCCAAATTCAAAATGCCATCCAGGAACTTCCGCCATCTCATTACAGGTAAAAGAGAAACCTGACCTCTAAGCCTTGGCTTCTAAGGTTTAGGGACAATCTTAGTAATGATTAATGGCAGTTACCTGAATTACCTAGGGATTCAGCTGGTGAGTCAACTACTTTATTTGCACTAGGCGGACTTGATTCACATGTTCAAGGAAAGATGACCCACAGAATGCACATGGCAAATTGTGAATGAGTTCTGTGCAGTGGTCTTACCCATAATAAAGACTGATCTTATGTTTCAGAGCTACTCGGGTGTTAGCAGGTCCTTGTATCTGCTGGGAGGCTATTGCTGATTTCGTCACACCCACTTTAAAATGCAACAAAGACGTCAGGGACCCTTTTATTTTTTTGTATTGTAAAACTGCTTTGTAACCAGGAGCTGTGTTGGTGGGGGAGCCACAGCAATAGCCTCTGAATAGCAATGCCACTGCCACTTACCAAAAAAGGGAGTGGTGAGCTTGGAGCTGCATGTATGGTGCACCAGTGGAGCCAGTCCAGCACTCTCACCAGCCCCAACCTTGCCACCCCTTCACTGTCTCAGTGCTACTGCTAGGAGGCTGTTGCTGCAGCTCTGATCCACTTGTAGACCTGCTTCCGAGTTTCACTACTGTAGACGCTGTGGCGGATAGCAGCACTAGCAGCTGGCCCCATGCGACTCCCAAGCAATTCAGGGTAGATGATCTTTGCTTCTTCCCTACCTCCTTTCAAAAATGCAATTCGATGGAAAGAGTCGAGAATTGTGAGAAGGAGCAACATGGTCTTGGGGCAACTCGGTGAAGAGGGAGATAAGGATTGGTAGGAGGAGAAGCAAGGGATGATAGAGGGAAAATAGGGATGCAAGTGGGGTGAGGTTATTGGGCTAGCATGAGTGTCATGGGTTGTAGCTCTTAACTCATTTAAGACATTTAATGTGGTGCTTTGGGATGTTGGGCACCTGTCTTCTCTGAACAGACCCAGTTGGCCAAGACATAACCGCATGTGCAAGTCTCAATGTGGGTGTTTTGTTTTTATCTTTGTCACACCATTGCAGGACCTTGGAATACCTGAGCAAGCACCTAACTCACTTAGCATCCTTCAGCAGCACGACCAACATGCATACCAGGAACCTCGCTTTAGTGTGGGCACCTAATCTCCTCAGGTACAGTAGACGCTCTGATTCTTTCACATCGCAATGCAGGGAGCACTAAGAATGTCTGTTAGAGTTTGTGATAAGTTTAAGAACTGGCTAGAGTGATCCAGCCAGTGGTAGCTTGCAAGGGTGTATGGAAGCAGTGGTGTTTTCTCAGTGACAACAGCGCTGCATTGGTTGGGGCAGGAAGGGGGCAAGGTCAGAGGTGCTTGGGTTGATGAACTCATCTGACCTCACCAGCACCTCACCCCAACAAGACAGCACCAGCAGGATGACACCATTGCCTCCAACCCTGTGCATGGGCTACTGCTTAATTCAGCTACTGCTTAATTCAGCGGTAAGGTAAAAAGGTAAAGGACCCATGGACGCTTAAGTCCAGGCAAAGGAGACTATGGGGTGTAGTGCTCATCTCACTTTCAGGCCAAGGGAGCCGGCATTTGTCCACAGTAGGCTTTCTGGGTCATGTGGCCAGCATGACTAAACACTGTGACGGAAGCCAGAGTGCACAGAAATGCTGTTTACCTTCCTGCTGCAGCAGTACCTATTTATCTACTTGGACTGGCATGCTTTCAAACTGCTAGGTTAGCAGTTCAACTGTAATTCAACTGTAGCTTAAACCGACCATGGATTGTCCTGGTTAGGGTGGAAGAAAGAGTGTGATTGGTTGAAAACAGAACCAAATGGTTAGCACTAAACTATGGTTTGATATTATATCGGAACGCAGCCAGTTCCCACAATTAAGTTTTGCAATGTTTTATGAAAAATAGAAATATCTGATGGGTTTTTCTACTTATAACAACCCAACACAATAAGTGAGAGTCACATGTCATATTTGTTTCAACTGGTCTTATGGACATGAAGTTCCTGGTCAATGATATCCATAGTGTATGTGTAACAGTCATTTGTGAGCTACTGCTAAAGACAGCTCAGTTGAGGAATTCTGGTTCATTTATGCGATAGCCTGGCAACTAGAATAGCATAAGAAAAAATAAGGAGCATTGTCACCTAGCTGAATAACCGTAGATAAACTTCCTCAGCTTTTGTAAACTGCTTAGAGGTGCTTCTTAAAAAAATCAAGCGGTATATAAATTTTGTTAATAAAAATAAATAGCAAAGAAAACAGCTGGTCCTGGGTGGATAAACTCTCTCAATCTTTGCAACTGCAAACCAGGCAGAAAAGGTCCCATTATAACTGCAAGAGATGTTAAATCTACTGAACACCCACAGCTCAAAATCTTTCATTTTATCTATTGTCCTCTTTCTTTTTTGATGGGAGTCTAATTCCCTTTATAAATATAGGTCCCAAGGAGAACATGAAAGAAGCGGGAGGCACAGCTGTAGTTTCCTTACATGGCTATCCCACTGGCAAAAGCCCCCTCTGTGCTTTATCTCACACTCCAGCCATTAACTTTACAAAGGATTCGCTGCCCAGAGATAATGTCTTCAGTAACACTTTGGCTTGTCATGATAAGGAACAGTTTGTCTGCTACTCTGTTTGGGGGCGGGAGGGGGGATGTGGGTGGAAGGAGAGATTGGTTTGTCCATACCAGCGAGGCGATGGAGAACAAGAAACAGGCATTTGGGAAAAGCACAAGGCCCACAAAATTCGCCAAGAGGAGTTGCGATGCTCGCAGTTGATGCTTTCCCTTCCATCCCCACTTGATGTTTTTTTGATGTGATGGTTCTACTCAGAGATAAACTAAATCCGGAGGATTAGTTTAAGCTGCCCCAGCCCCAGCTGTAACTAGCACCGCTGCAGCTGAATCACACCATGCTCTGTCTGCAAAGTGAAATGGCGTGCCAGGAAATCCCTTGGCAAGGTAGGCTAGTTATGGTGGGAGCTGGTATCTGCAGCTCCTGTGGACCCAGCCCCTCTGAAAGTCCCTTGTGCCAATTAGAGACGAGGAGGAATTCAGTTCAGTTTGTGTTTTAATGCAGATATATACCGTATTTTTCGCCCTATAGGACGCACTGTCCCATAAGGCGCACCTAGTTTTTTGGGGGGAAATAAAGGGGGGGAAATCATTTTTCCCCCAGGCGTGGGGCTGGGGTGGGGGAAGCCCAAGCTTCCCCCGACCCCAGCCCCCAAACAGGCAGCTCTCTGCAAGCTGTGGGAGCCCAGTGCTGGCTCCCGCTGCTTGCTAAGAGGTGTGCGAAGCCTGGACGTGCTGAGCTCAGCGCGGGCAGGCTTCAGCATGCAGGCAACTCTCCACAAGCAGCGGGAGCCTAGCGCCAGGCTCCCGCTGCTTGCGCAGAGGTCTGCGAAGCCTGGACGCACTGAGCTCAGCGCGCGCAGGCGTCAGCATGCAGGCAACTCTCCGCAAGCAGCGGGAGCCCAGTGCCGGGCTCCCGCTGCTTGCGGAGAGGTCCGCAAAGCCTTGACGCGCTGGGCTCCCGCTGCTTGCGGAGAGGTCCGCAAAGCCTGGATGCACTGGGCTCCCGCTGCTTGCGGAGAGGTGCGCGAAGCCTGGAGAGCGAGAGGGGTTGGTGCGCACTGACCCCTCTCGCTCTCCAGGCTTCAGCGAAAGCCTGCATTCGCCCCATAGGACGCACACACATTTCCCCTTCATTTTTGGAGGGGAAAAAGTGCGTCCTATAGGGCGAAAAATATGGTACCTAAGTGTGGTGTCGTGGTTAGAGTGCTGGACTAGGAGCTGGGAGAGCTAGGAAGCTCACAGGATGGGTTTGGGCCAGTCGTTCTCTCTTAGCCTAACCTACCTCACAGGGTTGTCATAAGGATAAAATGGAGAGGGGGGGAAACCATGCATGCCACCTTGAGCTCCATGGAGGAAAGGTTGGACACAAGTAAACTAAAGAAAGCAAATCAATCAATCAATCAATCAATCAATCAATCAATCCATGAACTGAAATGCAGTCATGCTCTGAAATTTGCACTTCTCTGAATTTTGCACTTCTCTAAAATTTGTGTTACAGTTCATCAATGACAGAAATGCATACGTAACTGCATTTATTGTGAGAAAGTATGCATTGAAATGCAGACATTTGTGAAACTGTCATACAGAAATACAGAATATCAGGCAAAATTACACACAAAAATATGTATAGTAAGAGGGATGTGCAGTAAAATGCTGGTGAATATTCATGAACTTTAAAAAAATGAAACAAATGCACAAACGGTTGCAGAAATGTAGTGAACTGAATTTAATATTAGAAAAAGAAATGGACACATTTGCCCTTCCCTAGTCCCAATGTCCTATGTCACATCAGTGCCTCGGAAAACACCAGGTCTTTTGAGAGTATAAAATGCTTCTTAGACAGCTTGCAGCAGTATCATTTCCAGACAGAGGCTTCCATTCCCTGCCCTTCTCGTTTTCCCCTGGGGTTGCTGTCCCACCAAAATCCATAGACACTGCTTTGCAACGAGATTCTCCAGAAAAGTGGGATAAAACAAGCAAACAAACAAAAAAATCTATAAAATAATAAAAGAAATGTGCTGCAGTCTAAAGAGCTCTTCTTTGGTTCATTGCTGATAAGTCTGGGCCATAAATTTCTGTCTTCAGTCGACAAGTTAAAAGAGTGCTGTTCAGATAAGCATTTGATCAGAATGCTCTTTGAAGTAATCTGAAATGATTTAGGCCTGTGCATTTGTTTCTGCTGATATGCTGGTGGTTCTTTTTCATTAGTTTTTTTTGGGGGGGGGGAATCTTACACTATTTTATTTGTTTAGTATGTTTTAAAAGAACAGCTCTTCTTTGTTTATTTACTATATACTTGTATCCCACCTTTCCTCTGTGGTGCTCAGTCTGATAATTATTGTCACCCTGATAACTATTAGCTGCACACTCACTCACATACACACAGAGTTTGCATCTTTAAAAAAACAACCCTGGGTGCTAAATGAAAGGATGCATTTAATATCACATCTAGTTAGTAGGAGATTGTGTGTGTGTGTGTGTGTGTGTGTGTGTGTACTAGGTACAGGGAAGGCTTAATGGGGTTGACACTTCACTAGATGACCCTTGGTGTCCCTTCCAACTCTACAACTCTAGGATCCTGAGAGTCTATGATTCTGTTCCTGACAAGCAATGGCTTGGGGATTGCTCTTCCAACCTCCTCCTTTCCTGTGTCACAGGTCCAAGGAGATTGAGGCTGTAGGCTGCAATGGAGACGCAGCTTTCCTGGAGGTGCGAGTCCAGCAGCTGGTGTTTGAGTTCATACTGAACCATGTGGGCGAAATCTTCAGTGACAACGTCCCTGCCAAACCGAAGGAAAATGAGGGTGAGTCCTTCTGAGCTAATCCTTCCATGTCAGAAATGACCAATTCCACATCTACAAGAAGCCACCCAGAGAACATTATGTTAATGGAGCAGCATGCAAACAGTCTTGATTAAAAAAATAATACAGGCATTTATTTATTTATTTATTTATTTATTTATTTATTTATTTATTTATTTAGATTTCTTACCCACTCTTTCTCATTGGGTCCCAGGGGGGTTACAACCATAAAATACACAAATATTTTTTTAAAACCAGATGAAACAGTTTTTTTTACAGCCATGAAATAAGAAAAGTGTAAAGAGCGATTAAAAAGCAAGTCTACATATAAAAAGAGTGGTATTTAGTTGCAATGCAGATGCAGACTGGGAGAAAGAGCTCCACTTAGAAGACTTGTTGAAAGAGGAAAGTCTTCAACAGGCACCAAAAAGGCAATGGAGATGACACCCGTCTAATATGTAACATATTACATAGTGTGGTGGCACCCAAAGGAGAGCCACAGTTGCCTTGAGTAGCAAATTAAAATGTCTTTTGTGTGATGGGCCTAATAGCATCTAAACAGACCCTGAGTATACTGTAGTTGTTGTTTCCAATTTATAGCCCATCGTTAAATTTATAGACCCTGGCAACCTTGGCTTGGTACAGTCTGCTGTTTTCCTCCTAATTCCAACCGGTCTTTGTTCCCTTATGTTTTGCTTGTTTCCACTCTTTATTTTTACTGTAGGGGTGGGAAGCCTCCCCAACATATGCCTATGGCCACACTGACGACTGGCATGTGCCCCTGCCGCCACCCCCAGAAGCATCTGAAAAATGTCCTTCCCCCCGTTTTTCTGCAACGGAAGTTTAGGGAGGGGGGTTGCTTTTCCTATTTATCAGTGACTACTGTTGGTGTTAGAAGAGACGTGGGTGGTGCTGTGGGTTAAACCACAGAGCTAGGACTTGCTGATCAGAAGGTCGGTGGTTCGAATCCCCACAACGGGGTGAGCTCCCGTTGCTCGGTCCCAGCTCTTGCCCACCTAGCAGTTCGAAAGCACGTCAAAGTGCAAGTAGATAAATAGGTGGGAAGGTAAACGGCGTTTCTGTACACTGCTCTGGTTTGCCAGAAGCAGCTTAGTCATGCTGGCCACATGACCCGGAAGCTGTACGCTGGCTCCCTTGGCCAATAAAGCGAGATGAGCGGTGCAACCCCAGAGTCGGCCACGACTGGACCTTATGGTTAGGGGTACCTTTACCTTTACCTTTACCTTTACCTTTACTGTTGTTGTTAGTGAGAAGTGCTAAAGTACCAGCTCTGAAAAATGGCCTCCACAGGACTTTGGCCTTATTCACACTTCCTCTTGTCGCACTGCTTTCACCCGGGTGAAACTGCTCTTTAGCCCTTAATCGAAGCAAACAGCAATTCAGGTTTTCTCTGGATTGACCTTTGCTCTGATTTAGCACTAAAGAGCAGGTTTTCCCTGAGAAATTACTGGGGCAAGGGGGAAACCACATGGACCCATGCTTGGAAAGTGCTTTCTAGGCACAAGACAAGCGGAAGTGTGGATGAGATACCCCCCCCCCGCCCCCCAGTTCCAGACCTGGCACTTTGACATTTCCTGCTAACAACAGTTGTCTTTTCTTAAATAGGAAAAGAGGCAGCAATTTTCAGAACAAATCCCCCTGAAGTGATTGGGAGGGGAGGAGAAAGTTCATTCATCTCAAAGGTCGGAGCTGGAGCTGAGCCATCCTAAAGTTCAGTTCAGCAGGGATCTTCAGGCCTTGTATTTAGAAGATACGTGCCAAAGCACTATGGAGTCTGGCTCGTGACCAGGGACCTGCTGGGGTGGAAGGCAGGGGCAATGGATTAGATTGCTATGTAAGAGGAGAATTCAACCAACAAGCACGCTCCCAAAAGATGTTTTCACTGGAAGGGTTTAATCAAAAAGAAAACGCTCGAGGGGCCCACTGAGGACCTTCCGTTCTCCTGCTCTGCTACCCTCAAACCAGGCTGGGCTCCGCAATTTCCTATCCCTGTCACTTTCCAGAGAACAAGCCCATTATGAAGAGCTTGACGCTGCCCTCCACCTCTCTGCCGATGAAGCTGGTGAGTCTGGAAGAAGCACAGGCCCGGAGCCTGTCCGCCTGCCATCCTGCCCGCAAGGAGCGGAGGGAGAACAGTTTGCCAGAAATCGTTCCAGTCACAGGCTCCTTCTTCCACACCGTCCTTGACCTACCTGACAGCAAGTAAGTGGCTCCATCTCTCCCTTATCTGAAAGCTGGACTCAGAAGATGGACTAGGCTTCCCCTTGTCACGTGAACATGGGGAGCGGAGACCGAGCCTCTTCTAGCCAAGCAGTGCTCCCTGTGATCCTCCGTGGCCCTTCCAGTTGTTTTCCCTTCTTTGTTGCTTATCGGTGGAGACTTGGGGCATTATGGATGCAAAGCATGTGTGTCACTACTGAGCTATGGCTCCCCACCAGTGTAAATGTCTCTTACTAGTCAGGAAAAAAAGAGACGAATATAGGCTTGTTTCGGAGAAATGGCTTTTCCCACTTTCCTTCATTTACAAGTTTTGATCAACGTGAGCTGAATGGCAATCGGTTCTTGAGACGTCTGTCGTAAGAGAGCCACCTGCTGGTGACCTGCCCCAATGACACATGCCGCGTCCATCTCTCTCTCTCTCTCTCTCTCTCTCTCTCTCTCTCTTCTTACTGTACTTCACAATTGTTCTTGTATGTGAAGGACAGCTGAGAGGCCTACTTCTCATTCCGGGTGCACAATTAGGAGACTCTTGCAAGATGGCAGAAGTGCTAACGTGAGCCTTATGTCATCCAGCCTCCGTGGAGTTGTCAGCGCTGCTTTCAAGTTACTTAAATTACTGTGCCTAGGGTATTCAATCAAATCTGTGGTGTGCAATAACTTACAGCCACTGCATAACAACATCTTTGTAAGACCATCGCATGAAACTTATTAATCCAAAGAAGCATTAGCTTGAATGAGAGGATGTGATGAATTTAGTCCTGAGAGGCCTGAGGTCATTTCACTTTATTTTGTGTGTTACATTTCTATCCCGCCTTTCCTGCAAGTTGCTCAAGGTGGCAAACATGGTTCTCCCTCTCTCCAGTTTATCCTCACAATAACCCCGTGAGGTAGTATAGGCTGAGAGAAAGTGACTGGCCCTGAATTGAAGAGACCAGTTGCCCCCATGGGAAGGAAAAAGAGAGTGAGGCAGGCAGAGAAAACATCAGGGCCTGCTCCAGTCAGACTCTCCTTCCTCCCACACGGCCAGCTAAGCATTGTACAGTGGTACCTCAGGTTACAGCCGCTTCAGGTTACATATGCTTCAGGTTACAGACTCTGCTAACCCAGAAATAGTACCTCAGGTTAAGAACTTTGCTTCAGGATGAGAACAGAAATCCTGTGGTGGCAGCGGGAGGCCCCATTAGCTAAAGTGGTACATCAGGTTAAGAACAGTTTCAGCTTAAGAACGGACCTCTGGAACAAATTAAGTTCTTAACCAGAGGTACCACTGTATATCGAATTGTAGAGTTGGAAGGGACCCCAAGGGTCATCTAGTCCAATGCCCTGCAATGCAGGAATCTCAAGTATCCATGGCAGAGGCCACCCAATCTCTGCTTAAAAACCTCCAGTGAAGGAAAGTCCACCACCTTCCGAGGGAGTCTTGGCAACTTGTGAATAGGGATTTCAGGAGGTACTGGTTTCTGTTCCGCCCCGTATTCCTTGCATGCAGCTGTGTTTCTGTGCCACAGCAATTTGGCTTCAGACAAAAACTACACTATTCCATTCACTGTCCACTGTGCCAAAATTCTACATAATTTGTTGCATTATCATTACCTCATTCAGCGCCATTCATTTCAGTGCAAAGGAAACACAGGGCAAATGGGGGACAGGAGAAAATCACCAACAACGTATCGTTTGCAAACTACAATTGATTTTTGTTCCAGACATGGAATGAATAAGTGAACGCCAGCAATTCCCGCTCCTGTTTTTGTCAGAATTCTCCAATATCTCTGCTGGTGACCCAGCAAACTGAATGCAGCCCATCAGCAATGTGTTCTGTGTGCACAGCCCCTGCAGGCAGCAAAAACAGGAGGGTTATTGAGAGTTCCTATGTGCCACTATTCAAAACTGATAGGCTGCCTTCATGTTACATAGCCCTGCCTTATGACAAACAGCCCTGCTATGTCAACTCCAAATGTTAGAAAAACCTGAATCCTGGAACTAGAATAAAATATGCTGCCCTGAGCAATTCTGGAGGAAGGTGCAGGGTGTAAATCTAATAAAGAATAATAATAGATATAATATGCAAATGTGTGCAATATGTGTGTGAGAGACACATTCTTGATGCCCTGATGTAATATTAAAGCTTGAATTTTTAAAGGCTGCTGATGCCTATTTCTGATTGAAAACAATGGGGCCAGTTGGGCTCTACTCTTCCCTATATAAGACATTGAATATATATATATATAGAGAGAGAGAGAGCAAAGGTTTGCATGTTTGAATGCAAAAAATAAAAAATGGAATGGAGACAGCTGCAAGACAAACACATTGAGCCTACTTGCTTTTCATAGAAATCATAGTAAATTTTTCTTCCAGGAGAAAGTTATCCACAAAATCCAAGAAGTGGAAGTCAATATTCAACCTGGGCCGTTCTGGATCAGAAGCCAAGACCAAACTGAGTCGAAATGGGAGTGTGTTTGTCCGAGGACAGAAGCTCTCTGGTAAGGCTTGTTTGTGGCCCTCGCTGGGGGGACTTGTCTTTCCTCCATTAGCTCAGCCTTGCCTCTCCTTCTTTGTGTAGTACAGAAATGTTCCACCACATTGCAAGGGGGCATTCATGCTAATAAAGCTAGAAGGATTTCAGAGATGGCTTGAAAGACTTTTGAAGGGAGCAGAGGGGAGATCGCATATTTAACCTCATGCGTCATACGGAGTATCACTTCAGTGGGACAATGAGAGGCAGTCATAGCAAAAGACTCTGAATATGCCCCATTATAGTACTGGGGTGAACATGCATCTCTTCAACCAGCTACATGCAAACAGCTAGAGGGGTCAAATATTTATGCCAGAGCTCTGTTACTAGGAATATGTATCTGCCAGTCATTTTAGCAAGGATTGGTCCCAAAATATTCTGGGAAAGGTTGGTGGAGTCTGCAGTTTGTATTGATTTGTGCTCCTGATTAGAGATCTACTTACAGGGAAATTAACATCTCATTAAAGCTATACAAGGTCCCCTACATTGTCCCTTGAGATGAAATAGCAAAGAGACACAACTGATATTATCTGCATGTTTGCAGTTACAGATATGTGCCTTCAATAAACAAAATGTGTCCAAAGAGAAGCTGCCAAACTCTTTGAATGGCAAACTATCCACAATTATGCAAGTTTGAGAATTAGTGTTTGGAAAAACCCTATAAAAAATTCACGTGTATTTGGGCAGATAAACATGCCAAACATGTAATGCCCCTTTTCAGGAAGGTAGGAAAATAACTGTGGAAATAATAGGAAAGAGTTCATACTTCCCTAGTCTGACATTCTTAGCTTCAAATCACAGATGAAGCTGCTCTGAGTTTTCCCTGGAGAATAAACCCTTTTCTACATTGCAGCTGCACTTGGAAAAGTTAGTTTCCATGTAATTGCACTGTATTCTGGAGTTACACTTCAATCTCCCAAAAACCCAGAGCACTAAATTAAGTGTGTTATAACCTTTCTTTCTGCAGAAAAAGTCACCATTCGGCCAGCTAAAAGCATGGACTCCTTGTGTTCACTTCCAGTAGAAGGTGAGATTTTGTTGGCATGCACGTGAGAGGTTGTTACAGCTGCCTTTGTGGGTTTTTTTTAATGTATATGTTTGTTCACAATAATAGGTTTGTTTATTTAATATCCCAAGAGTTTTGCATGCTCTTGTGTGTATGCGAATGTGTTTCTGTTCACAGAATCAGAGGCTTGGAAGGCCACCAAAAGACAGCCAGTCCAATCCCAGCCAAAGACAGTGTGGGGCCAACCCCTTGCCTCCCCTCCTGCTTGTCACCCAACCAGCTTGCAGCAATTAAAAAGCAACACATTTGTATAATAAAAATACAAGAAAGCAGGACAAAACACAATTCTAAAAAATCTTCTGCAATCTAACATGCCGGGGCAAATAGGAAGGCACTAAATGGTTTGCCATACCAGTGCTAGATGAGCCTAGAGGGAGGGCATTCCAAAAATGGGGCACAAACGCAGAAAAGGCCCTCTCTTCTGTACAAGTGTAGTGTAAAGGGACCCCTGACCGTTAAGTCCAGTCACGGACGACTCTGGGGTTGCGGTGCTCATCTTGCTTTACTGGCCGAGGGAGCCGGTGTACAGCTTCTGAGTTATGTGGCCAGCATGACTAAGCTGCTTCTGGCAAACCAGAGCAGTGTACGGAAACACCATTTACCTTCCTGCCAGAGCGGTACCTATTTATCTACTTGCACTTTGACGTGCTTTTGAACTTCTATGTTAGCAGTATATGGGACCGAGCAACAGGAGCTCACCCCGTTGTGGGGATTTGCTGACCTTTCGATCGGCAAGCCCTAGGCTCTGTGGTTTTAGACCACAGCGCCACCCGCGTCCCATAGAAGTGTAGTGTACCTGTACTAAAAAGGGAACTATGAGCAAGGCCTCTTCTAAAGGTCTTAAGGCACGGGCAGGCTGCTATGGGAAGAGGCACTCCCTGGGGTATTTAAGTCCTATGCCATTTAGGGCTTTTAAAGGTAGCTACCAGCACCTTAACTTGGGCTTGGAAATAAAGAGTCAGTGCAGATCTTTCAAAATAGGTATCCCCTCAATCAATACCAAGGTCTCTGGGCTGTACTACCCAGAAGTAAAATTCCTCCCTCTTCCAAATAATGGAAGGTCCTTTCCTACCATGGGCAACTGGCCATTGGCCATCGTAGGAAAGGGAATGTTGGTCTTGATACCCCTTTGATCTGTTCTGGCTGGGGCCTTATCTTCTCAGTCACTATAAACTTGGGAAACTCTTCATAAGAGAGGCTTCTTCAGTGACTAAACCTTTGAAGAAGCACCCAGAAGAACTCTGGCTTATGGCTCTTTCCCTGTCTTCCCCAGATGTGCTTGGAATAAGAGGGTACCTTTGGCAATACTCTGTGGCTTTGCTCTCTCTCCCTTCTGCAGGAGATGGTGAGAAGGGCCACTTCAAGCGCACCGTTGTGGCTGGAGGGTTCTTCGTTCCAGTGATGAAACCACGGACAGGGGGCCCAAGCAGCTCATCGGACCTCAGCAAACAGGAGAGCGAATGGGATCCAAAGGGTGCTGTGAAAGGAGCAGAAGGAGGTTTAGAGGATGGTGGGCAGAACGATGCCACCCGGTCTACTCATGTCAGACCACTTCCTGAGCAACTGAAAGTGTTCCGTGCCATAGAAGACCCGGAGAATGAGCAAACATCCCCAAAGATGTGTCGTATGTTCTACACTTCCAATGATGGGACGGCTAAGTCAGGGTTCCATGGGACCCTCTTCCCCCTGGAAGCCTCCCCGCGCCACCAACGCAAAGCCCTGAACATTTCAGAGCCGTTTGCTGTGTCGGTGCCCCTTCGGGTGTCTGCCGTCATCAGTATCAACAGCACCCCTTGCCGCATGCCAGCTAAAGAGAAGCCCGCCTTCTCGAGCCTACAGGAGTCTTCTTTCTTGGGGTTGGACAGCGCCACTTCCACAATCCCAGAAGCAGACATCCACACCAAGCCAGAGCATACCACCGTCAAGGAAGAAAAGAAGCCCGAGTCCAAAACAGTAGAAGGTAAGCTTATATGAAGGCTGCAGCAATTTGAGCAGAGAACTTGATCCTGGAAAGGAACAGCTGGATGCGACTGAAGGAGCGTCTCCACCCCCATCGTTCAGCCCAGACACTGAGGTCCAGCTCCAAGGGCCTCCTGGCAGTTCTCTCCCTGCAAGAAGTGAGGTTGCAGGGAACCAGGCAGAGGGCCTTCTCGGTAGTGGCGTCTGCCCTGTGGAACGCCCTCCCAGCAGATGTCAAAGAAATAAACAACTATCCGACTTTTAGAAGACCTCTGAAGGCAACCCTGTTTAGGGAAGTTTTAAATGTTTGATGTTTTATCATGCTTTTAATATTCTGTTGGGAGCTGCCCAGAGTGGCTGGGGAAACCCAGCCAGATGTGCAGGGTATTAATAATAACAATAACAATATATTATTATTATTATTATTATTATTATTATTATTATTATTTCCCACATAGTCATTAAGGGACTTTGAAAGAATCACTCCCAAAAGCATACTAAGAGAAATGGTTAAACATACTGATATATCACAATGTCTGAAATAAGGATGGAGCTATGTAGAGGCATTGACTGGCTTCATGGTTTTTTCCACGTCATGATTTTTGCTGGTGCCTGCTGTTGTGATTTCCCTCCTGTAGGAGGCAGGGGAGAGCTTAGCCAGCAGAGTTAACAGGAGCTGCAGAAATTGAGAGAAGCATTGGTTGGCTTCACAATTTTTCCCACATTGTGATTTTTGCATAGCATGTGCACACACGCACACACAATGATTAAGTGATATATTCCCAGGTCAAAAATTATGAAATTGATATCGCAATATGGACTTCAAACTGGGTTTGGACAATATATCAATACATTTCCCAGCCCTAGTGCTTACAGACTGTGTTGTGCAGCACCCACACAACATTGGCATCAAAATGTCAGCCCATATTCCCACCCCCACCACATTTAATCCAGATTCTCCCTTTCCAGGGGAAATCCAGTAAGGAAAACTGAGCCATTGGCAGTGACCCCCCAAAGCAGCTTGCAAATTAATCCCCTGTCTGGAAGAGTCCGTGCTATGAATGTACAGATGTCTCTTGTGAAACACATCACTGAACAGAACATTCAGTTCAAAAGAGGTGTAATAGACCCAACCCACTTATTTAGGAACACTCACCCATTGAAATTAATGAGATTTATTTCTGAATAGGCATAAGTGTGCTTAAGCCCATTGAAATCATGGATAGCTCTCATGTAGCCATGTGGTTGCCTTGGCTATTGCAAAATTTTATTTGCATAAATCTCTTTTTCTTTTTTTAGTCTATTTTGAACTTATTGCAGTAAAAATAAAGAAAAGAGGGGAAAAGTCAATGTGGAGCTATTGAGAGAAGCCCATGCTGAAAGCTCAGGCCACCTTGTGACCATTTTCACCTTTTACTTACACCATTTCTGGGTCCACCACCCCCATCCCAATGAAGTTTTTAAAGCTCATCTTTTTGCTTCTGATACAGATTCTATTACTGAAGAACCAACAATAGCCAACCAGTTGGAGTCCACAAATGGCTCTCAGTCAACAATGAAAACTTGGGAGGCAAAGAGCAATGACAGCAGCTGCAGCCAAGATCCAGAAGATAAGCAGTCACTGGAACCAAAGCAGCAAGTCAAGATCCCAACAAGCCAGCCACAGGCAGGCCAAGCAAACCAGGATCAACCAGAGATGAAGGACAAGCCAGAGCAAGGCTGTTGGACGCAGGAAGAGACAAGGGATAAAGTGGAGAACACCTCACTTATAAAGGAGCAGGTAAGAAGAAGGTGTTGAACTTAGGGGTGGGACAGTTTTCAGTTTCAGTTTCCCATTTTTCTACTCTTAAATTCAGCTCCTGACATTTCACATCCATTTGTGGCAGGAGATTTAAGTCCTCCCCAAAATTCACCAGCATTTTAATGCACATTTCTCTCATTTTGCCAGTTATATGCACATATTTGCAGGCAATTTCCCCTGATATGTGCATCTTTGTGCCCTCTTAGTATACAGTGGTACCTCTGGTTATGAACGCTTCTGGTTACACATGCTTTGGGTTACGAGCTCCACTAAGCCTGAAGTAGCTGCTCCTGGTTGCGAACTTTGCCCTGGGATGTAAGCAGAAATCACGCGCCAGAAGCGCGCATGCGGTGGGAGGCTCCATTAGCGAAAGCGCGCATCAGGATAAGAACGGTTTCAGCTTAAGAACGGACCTCCGGAACGAATTAACCAGAGGTACCACTGTACACATTTTAAAGAGACATTTTGTTGGAGGACAAAATGTGCAAAATTTGTACAGTGCAAGATTCAGAGAACTGCGAATTTCAAAGGATAGCTGTGTTTTGGCTCACACATTTTTGTGGGAAATATAAATTAGATAGACTTGCCTTAAAATGCAAGCTAAACCAAAATCCTCTCCCTCTCCCCTTGCTGAAGCCCACCCCAGCCCCTCCAGCTGGTGGCGCAGCAATAAAACTACCTGTACATTCACAAAGCTAAGCAGGATCTGATATGGTTGAAAATTGGATGGGGAACTGCGTGTTTGAGATTCCTGCCTTGCAGGGACTTATACTAGATGACCCTTGGGGTCCCATCCAACCCTATGATTGCATGGTCATCTGAATTGGTTGGGAAATGTCTCACCACTTTGCTAAGAAACTTGTTTTCTCTGCAACTCCCATTGGCAATACCTTCTTTTTTGCATTGTACCACCTTCCACCAAGCGCCTGTCAACTTTATAGTTCATTGCTTTGCATGTACCCCTTACTAAGCAGTCCCAGACCTGTCTCCTTCCAGTTAAAAGCCTCTATAAGCCTCCTCGGCTTAAAGTCTTCCTCCAGTGCTCCCTGTTACAATAGCTTTGCTTATCTGATGCTGCCTCCACTCTTTGGATTGCTGTATTGTCCCCAGATGTGGCTTAAAGTCCCATTGAGAAAAGCCTCTGGCTGAACCAAGCAGGTCTGGGTCTGGCCAGTGCTTAGAAACTGTTAGCTCACTTGGTAGAGCATGAGACTCTTAATCTCAGGGTTGTGGGTTTGAGCCCCACATTGGGTAAAAAACAAATTCCTGCATTGCAGGGGTTTAGACTACATGACCCTCATGGTCCCTTCTAACTCAACAATTCTATGATTTTGCGAATGCCACTTTTGAGTTCCACGGTGGAAGAAAGGGAGGCTATAAATGGAATTAATCCATTTGTCAATAATTGTGTCTTTAGGTTTTGTGCTTCCAGCTGATCATTTTATTATTATTTGGGAACCAATGCATGTTAATTATCCAGATTAGTCAACAATGCATGCTAACTGTCAGGTGGTTCACACTGCCCTAGCCTGATGTTTGTCTGGAAACTGCTGTCTAAATTCTGGAGCTGGACAGGTTTTGGGAGCCTGCCCACATTTGGAAGTTAAGGAAAGAACTCTCTATCACAAAAGAGCAATTGAATATGATTGGACAAACCATGTAAGCTCAAACAGAAAATCTAACAGTGAAAGTCTAACAATGAAATGTCTAATTACGTGCCAATACTGTCTGACTCTGAACTGCCCTGAGACCTCCAGATATAGGGCAGTGTATAAATTCAATGAATATTAATAAGGAATAATAATATTAGGGTCAGCTCTGTCAGGATTTGTGTTGGTGTCATGGCCTGACATAAAAGACTGCATGCTTTCTGTCCATCCTAGGGATCATTAGGAAAGTAATAGAAAACAAAACTGCTGGTATCATAATGCCATTATACAAATCTACGATACAACTGTACTTTGGGTACTGTGTGCACTTCTGGTCGCCTCACATCAAAAATGATATTGTGGATTTGAGAGTTTCAAAATGGGCAGCCAAATGATCCAGCCACTCCCCTTATGAGGACAGGTTGCATGGTTTGGGACTTTTTAGTTTAGAAAAGAGGCAGGTGAAAAGTTTTTAACATCATAAACAGGTGACTGTGGTGCAACTATTCTCCCAAGCTGCAGAAAAAGGTAGACCAGAATCAGTATATATGCATTTTGGAGGCTGTGGTGCCCTTTGAAGTAATTTTGGGGGAAATGATTTCAGGGGTGTGTGGGTTGCAAAACTTATTCCTACCTCTCCAGAGCTCCCTAACATGTCTTGCGTTTTTAACATTTGGTTCCAAATAGAGCAGCATAGACAAGTAATTAAGATTTCTACCGTCAGTGGGCATGAACTTCAATTTGTCTGTATTTACTTAATGTGATGTTTGATGCACCATGTTGTTGTTGTTTTTTAATGACAGAAAAGGGTAATGCAAAGCCTGAAGGAAATTTGTTTTTCTTTCAGCATGGTACATGCTTTAACTGCTGTGTTGCTGTAAATTGCATTTGAAAATCCATATGTTAAAGAACGTCTAGTTTTAACAAGATGGTGTGTGTTCAGGGCCGGCCCTACCACTGGGCGACAAATGCTTGGGGTTGTGGAATGGTGTTGAAAATCAGTGCTGTGTATGCCACACGGCCTACCCTGCACTCCTTAAGCTAGCTTGCTTCCATTAGGTGCTATAGAAGATGCTGCCCTATCCAGCATGTTGAAGTAAGATCCAACTGCCAGTCCAGTCCAGTCAGCTTCTGTACACAGAACAGGCACAAGATGGGCACCATCTTGTTTTTCACCCCAGGCAGCAAAATGTCTTGTGCTGGTCTTGCATGCATGATTTAGTCAGGTAGGTAGGTTTTGTATAATGATTAAAAACAACAGAACTGTACCACAGTGACAACCATAATAAGCTTAAGAGACAACCAGCATTAAATGAAAATACCCTAAGGAGCACATAACTACATCAAATACATATGTTAAAACCACCAACCACGTCACAGGGACACAAAACCAGATCTTAAAAGACCTGGGAAAACAAAAAAGTCGTATGTTGGTGCCAAAAAAGCCAACAATGTGAAAGCCAGGTGAGTTTCCCAGGAAGGGCAGTTCTATAGCCAATGCTATCACTAACAGACTTCATCTGAGCTCCATCTTGAGGGGCACATGAAGAAGGATTTCTCTAGTTTGCATGTGTGTGTGTGTGTGTGTGTGTAAGTATTCGTGTGCTTCTGTATATGCATGTGCTCATATGTGTAGATTAACTTATTTATTACCCAGAATGCAGCATGTAGGAAAGAATGTAATTGTTTGTGAAGAAAGGGAGAGCAAACTGCCAAGAGAGAGTTTTTCTGATAACGCTGGTTTTATTTTTATTTTTGTTCAGGTTCATGGCAGTCATTCGAGTGCCTCAATGGTACCTCTGTGGCCAGAAATTCAGCAAGAGCTGAAAATTGTTGAATCTGAAGAGGAGCTGCCACTTGCCCTGGAGACAGGCCAGCAACAGCGAGACCTTAAACCCAGTGCTTCACTGATTTCATCCTTGGAAGCAAACAATTTGCCATGCAGTTCTGGGCTGCCTGTGACACCACCCGAAGAAGGAAGCACGGTGAGAAATCCACCAGTCGCACCTCACATTTATTCGTTTAGTGCTCCCTCCAAAGGATCAAAGGATCAATCACCTGTTTGTGAGTCACCTGTTTGTGATTCTGAATTATCCCCAAAGCAAGATGGTGCTTCTCCCGCTTCATTAAAACTGGAAAATATCCCTTGTGGGAAACCTTGTCCAAAGGACTGTTTAGAAACAGAGAACATCAGGTGTGTCCATCCATCTCAGCCCGATGATTGGAAACTTCCATCAGATCCACAAGAAAACATGGCTCTTTTGAGAGATGAGTCTTTGTTTGCTGAAGAAAAGCGTCTAGACCAACCAGCGTGGGAAAATAGTGAATGGCTTCTTCACAGGGAGAAGGACGGTGCTGCTGTGACCCAGGCAGCAAAAATTGATCAAGTGCTTTTAGAGAGCCGAGGCCTACAGAGTTCAGTTACCTTAAGTGGAGTTGGAGCCCACCAGCTCAAGGAATGTAAACTGAAGAATCGAGCTCGAGACTCTCTTGACCACCAAGAGGAAGATACATGGGTGGACCATGTTCAGAGCTTAGAGTTGGTGGAGCCGTGGGAAGAGCACCAGTGGGTCACCAGCCCACTCCACTCCCCTACCTTCAAGGACATCCAAGGAAAGGCGCTTCATGAGTTTCAGCCACTGAATCAAGGAGGGACCAGGAGCCATTTCAAGAAGCCATGTTTCAATCGTAGCTTTTCCTTAGACAGTAAAGACTTTGTGAAGAGGCACCGGGCTATCCAGCTGCCTTTTGAGAGCACAGATGTGGAGCATCTTTGTGGTGACATCCGATTAGGGATCAAGCAACCCTCACAAACAGAGTGGAGAGAAAGTGACGGAGGAGAAGCCTGGCTGAATCGTCCAGAGGAGCTTTCTAAGCCAGATGAGACAAGCAGGAGACTTCTGAGCCACGAAGCAGGCTTTGCAGCCAGAGAACTGTCATCCAGCCATGACAGGGTCTACCCTGTTGCTCACAAAAAGTCAGGTGAGAAGGAAGCATACGAGGACAAAGAAGACCAGGGATTTTCAAAGCCCGAGTCTCCTTTGCCACAATATAATACTGAGAACAGTTCCTTGAGTTTAAACAGCCCAGAAAAAGATGTACCAAGTATTCAACAGGCTGATAGTCCTGGAACCTCTGCCACAAAAGATCTATGTTCTGTCAAGGAGTCACAGACCGGTAAAGGTGAAGACATCCCACGAAAAGGGAGGCCAAGGCCTTCTTCTCTTAATTTGGATTCCGTCCTACCCGCAACCAACCTTTTTAATTTTGAAAGTCTTTCTGTGCCCACCCCACCCAGGCACTTCCTGTGTGGGCAAAAAGAAGTTAAGACGAGTGACTCTGTGCCATCACTCCCTGTGGCCTGTCCGAGCAAAAACAAAGCTGACCTTTGGGGTTCTCATTTTGACCCCCAAGATGTAGACCTAGACTACATAATGATGGCTCATGCTACCACTGGTCGCCGCAACTCTGCTCCAGTGAGCGTCTCGGCAGTGAGAACCTCTTTCATGGTTAAGATGTGCCAGGCTAGAGCTGTGCCAGTTATACCACCTAAGATTCAATACACACAGGTCCCGCAGCCCCTGCAGACACAGAACCCCAACTGCAGGACGCCAGAGAATAAAGAAACAGAAGCCAATGTCGGTCAACGCAAGTCAACTGAAAATGCTCAGGGTCAGCTGCAACCTCCAAAGAGTCCACCAGTGGAAAGGAAGGGGAAGGAAAATAATAATGCCGCCTTTATAGATTCAACGGCAAGTAGAAAGGCAGAACCACCCTTTGCCAATCATAATTCCACACAGGATGCACCAGTTTTTCGTCGGAAACGCAGCTCTGAAGGGGAATCCACAGGGGACAATCCCCAGTCCTCAAAAATGGAGAGGTCTTCAGGGGTTTCTAAGCCTTCTTACAGATCTAGACCAGGAAGACCTCAGAGTCTTATACTATTTAGCCCTCCCTTTCCCATCATGGACCATCCTTCCTCCTCTGCTGACTCCAGAGTGTTGCTTTCTCCCATAAGAAGCCCCTTACAGACCCCTTCTCCAAACCCCATTGCCAGTGATTTGTCAGGGACAGCTTCAGAGGGGGTCACACTTCGGAACAAGATGACCATTCCAAAGAATGGCCAAAGACTAGAGACTTCCACAAGCTGCTTCTACCAACCCCAGAGGAGGTCTGTGATTCTGGATGGTAGAAGCGGGAGACAGATAGAATAAGGCCCATTCCCTTCACTCTCTTCCCTGGTGGATGAGATGGGGTGGCCACACGGAGAACTATGATTATTGTTAAACCCATACTACTCAAAAAGTACTTCCTTTGCCATTTCCAACAATCCCTTATTTTACTGATTGTCACTTTGATGATTGATAGAATGTTTAGTTGATTTAACCTTGAGTCCACCTTGGCAAAAGGTGTGCCAATGAAAGCAAAATTATGTGGAAAGAAAATAAGAGATCAATCCTTGTTATGTTAGCCAAAGCTACCCCCTCCAGACTCTTCCTCGTCTTTCAGCTTTCCAGCAACAGAGAACAATCACAAGAATCATCTCAGCAACTAATGCTCCGTTCCTCACTGTGTTCCTGAAATGGCTTCCTTGTTGATCTTGATTTGTCGTATTCCTGGGGGTTCCAGTCCACATCTGTATTAAAAGCTTATAGGGTTTCCCTTCCCTTTGTACTTGTTTATGCACAGACTTACTGTACTGAGAGTTATGTGCTCAATGGGCACTCAGCTAAGTGGTTTAAGAGGAATGGTGATGCATTTGAGCTAAAGCTTCCTTCAATAGGCTGCTATTGCCATTAAGCACCTGTTTGTGTCTACAGTCCTATTCCCCTAGCACCTGTTTCTTCGTAACTTTTGATAATTTAGAGCTAACTGCAGAGTTCTTATATTAATTGTCTACAAGGATTTGTACAAATAGCCATGTAAGCTACCTGCTGGCACACAGTGATTGGCAGAGTTAGCGACGCGGTAGCCGGGACAGTCCCACCATTGTGCTGTCTCTATTGACCCTATCCAAAAAGCACTGCATTTCCACCCTCCTGCTAGTCTTTCTGCAGAATCAGGCGCAGGTCTTGGTAGCTGCTGAAGCAAGGGATGGACAGAGCAGTCACAAAAAGCTGCAACCTAACTGCATTTCTTGTATTTTCATAGTGTGCTGCTCTTTATTTGAAGACATCACAGCGTGGTTTTTCTTCTCTCTTTCAAGAAGTGTTGCTGCTGCTTTCTCAAAATAAGCTTGTTCTTTAAGCTGCCACTCAGTCTGCATAATCAGGACTGTAGGTGGCGAGAAACAGTTGTAGGATCTGATTAACGAAGAAATCCCCATGCTAATTTGCAATTGTGAGTCACTAAGTTGGAACTGGGAGCCTTGAAAGCATCTGAAAGCCGGGCGAATTAAAAACGTTACATTTTGTTTTCTCATAGATCAGGGCGCAGGTCACAACATTGCATTTTCGAGTTACATTTTCCCAGGGTGCATTTGGGTTGGATCTGTGACTTGGCTACAGGCAGTAAAAATGTAGATAAGCTATGTTGTAGTGAGTGTTGGCATGCAAAATGGAAGTGGCAGCATGATGGAGGAGCCTTGCTTGTATTGGAGAACGGCACTTTGTGCCAAGATTCTGTAGTGACAGGGAGATGCATGAATTTCTACTGTGATTCATGTGCTTCTTCCTAGAATTTCCAACCCTGATGGTGAAGAACTGAATTTCACAATGGCTGCTTCATGAAACACAATGGGTACCTCTTCTCTGAGGCTCCAGAGATCTGGATGTCCTTGGGGGCTACCCTAACTTTGCCTTGCAATAAAAACTTTGTGGGAGCATTTGAAAGATTATGGTAAGAGTAGATTTGAGCACCATCAGTCCCAGAGCATTGTTTGCCTGTTTCTAAGGAAGGAAAGGTCCGTGCTGCCTTTCCTTTCTGCTTATTTTTATTAAAATGAAAATGATCTTCTTGGCTTGACCATAAAGAAACTCAGCTAAACAATTACTAGGTATTGTGGCTTTTTAGATTGATCCACAAGGTAACTCAAGTTTGTTTGCGCATAGAGCAAAAATGAGGGGGCATCTGCTAGGGGTTTTGTATCCTCCAGTTTGGCTGGGCCACACTATGCTGCTTATAAGATCTGGGAAAGAGGGTGAAGAAGAGATGGAATTGTTTGGTTTTTGTTGCTGTTGTTTCTTGTAGCTTAAGTAGTATCATGAGGTTGTGCTCTTTGGTAGAAATAAGGAAGGATCAGTGTAGGAGTGAAACAGGTGGTCTGAACAGAGGGAAGTAGGTTAGTTTATCATTCCACTATCTGAATAGCGGGAAGAGTTCACTGGTTCAAATTGTGGCAAAAGAATTACTTATCTAAATGAGAAGGGAGGTAGTGCAAAACTCATCTGGTTGGAAGGAATCATCCCTTCGTCTAATCCAAAGGTAGCCAGCATTGTACCCTCCTTATGTTGTTGGACTCAACTCCCATCACCCCTGGTTATTGGCCATGCTGACAGCGGCTGATGGGAGTTGTAGTCCATTAACACCTGCAGTGCACCACCTTGGTTTCCCCTTGGTTTAAACGAAATCTAGGACTTGCATAAAACCTAGAGCACTGACTGTTTTGCCAAGAGCAGAGAAGTTTCCCAAAGCAGTGTTTCTGTATGTTAAAATGCTTTTGAGTATTTCGGTTAAGAAAATGCAGAAGGGTCTGAGCAGCTTCCCACTGACCAATCCCCCCTCCCCTGCCCCACAAAAGTTGCAACCAAAAGTTATAGCTAGCTTTTCCTCTCTTCAGAGTTTTGAAATAGCTGTATTAAATAATATTGTGCTAAATTTATATATAAACAGAACGTATATAATTATATTAAAGTGTAATTAAAAACTAAGAAATTGTCTCTGAGCAGCATTCATTACACCTGCGAATCTTGGGTGGTTCCAATGTACAGAAATGACTTTTTTCATTGAAAACTCCTTATGTGCAAGTTTTCCAAAACTTTTCTAAAGAAGGCAAGCAATGGGATCACAAGACCAGCATTTCAATCCCTCTCTCTCTGCTCGTATCTTCTCCTGCATTACCCTTAATAGCAGTTTGAGCCTACCAAGCAGCTGAGCAGTAATTGAAGTTTATCATCTATTGAATCGATCATCTATTGAAGTTTATCATCAGCAGTTGTGTCCTGGAAGGAGAAGTGCAAGTTATCACATGTCTGCACACCAACATTTCCCCCTCCCAGTGGTTCTCTGCAATGAAATGAGAGCACATTTTTCTTAATGGTAGGACAGTGTTTGCAATCCACCCAAAAGCTGCAGCATAGGTTTTGCTGCCATTTCTTGCCAAGTTCAGTACTCGAAAATGAATATTTATTGATGGCTCAACACAATACTGCAATACATTTGATAGTTCAGGGTCTTTCTTGCCTTTAGAGCTCTATAGGAACACAGGAAACTGCTTCCTACCAAGTTAAACCATATGTCCATCCAGTTTAGTATTGTTTACTCTTGCCTGGCAGCAGTTTTCTAGGCTCCCAGGTTTCACATCACTGCCTTCCTAACATTTGAATGAACACACACACACATACAATGGAGTGAGGAGGGGTAAGCTCAAGAGATAAATATATACCTTTATTCCAAGAAAAAGGTGCTCAGACCTATGGCTTATCCACACTTCCTCTTTTCCCACTGCTTTCCCCTGGGGTGAAAACCTTCTCTTTAGTGCTCAATCAGAGCAAACAGCAAATTAGGTTTATCTGGATTAACATTTGCTCTGATTGAGCACTAAAGAGTGGGTTTTCTCTGGGAAAGGAATAGGGCAAGGGGAAAACCGGTCTGACCCATGCTTTCTAGGCACAGGATAAGTGTATAGTTCCTGCTATATCCTTAAAATTCAATGTAGGGAGGGGAAGAGAGAGAGAGAGAGAGAGAGAGAGAGAGAGAGAGAGAGTCCATCACAGTGCGATGAGGTCTGGAACATGCATGAATGTGTTGTGTTTTCATCGGTAGCCCTGGTGGGTATTGTTTTCATGGTTCATTGTTGTTCCTGTAGGCTATCTGTTTCAGCGCTTTTATTGCTTTGGAGTTTTGCTAAGTCTCAACCATGAGATTAAACTGGAGGTTTGTTTTTTTTAATTAAAAACAACAACATATGAAATGTGTCCTTGTGGTGTTTGAAGATTACTTATTTGTTGCAATCTCGGCGAATGCAAAGAACTGCTTCTGTTGAGGTCTCTATTATTTGACTAGCTAGCCCAAAGCACCATGGGATTTGGAACTGATCCATCAGTAGTTATATAATACAAGAAAACTGACTCCAGATGTTCAGGAACCCAGCTTTCTTTTTTGGGGGTGGGACGGCGACAAGGTTTTCATGTGCCTGGAATTTGTAAATAAAATAAATGGGTCTGAATCAATTAGCATCTCCCTAGAAATAAATGTGTGTGTGTGTGTGTGTGTGTGTGTGTGTGTGTGTGTGTTGCATCTTAGGAAATGTAACATTCCAGAAATGCAGCTCCGCTTCATTTGGTTGTTTGGAAAAAGTCATTTGTCTATGCAAAGTTAGGCAAGGAAGCACCTCCCCCCTCAGCCATTTCACTTTTCCTTTATTCACCCAACCAAATATATGTGGCACCATCAGAAAACTTTTTCAGAACGAGGGCAATGCTTCTTGTTCTCACTTGTGTTCCGCTTTGTGCCATTGTCATGTAGGCAAATGTAAGAGAATGCAGGCTGATATGATGCCATCACTCTGCATGCTCCCTGATTGGTTGGGATTTTCCTAGGGACAACAGATAGCTCTCTGAATGTGAGAGGAAGAGTAATTTGGAACAGAGTTATTAGCCCTCAACAGTGAACAGAATGCTCGGCCACAGAGATGCATTGCGGTTCATTTGTTCAGACAGACCTGTGGGCAGGAGTCCGAGAAGGGAAAGTCACTTAGTCTGTGTGGCAATTCTGCGGTCCTTTACGGACTGAGGCTCCTTGTGGTACCCTGGCTCCCTCCGTATAGTCCCCTGAAGGAAAATTAGCAGCATGTCATTCGTCACTGTTTCCACAGCAACCTGAATAAATCGAATGCTACATTCTGTGGTAGCTGATCCTCACACCTTTATACAAAGCATCCATCTTGACTGCTGTCACACCAGCTTTTGAATAGGAGTGATTTAGTGCTCTCTAATCTCCTTTTCAGAAGCTGCCTGTTACTTTTCTGAAAACAAATGCATTCATTGGTGTCTTGCTTGTGTGCTTAGATGCAGCGCAGCCACGGGGGTGGGTGGGGAGGGTGTAATTCTACAAAGGCTATTGCCCTGGATTTTGGATGGGAAACACCAGAACTCTGGGACCATACTTGGAGGGTTGGTTTAACCTCCAGCTCCTTCCTGAAATCTTGCCAGCACTGGATTTAAAGTTGCCATGTGATTGGGGGGACGGGGGACTGGACCCTGGCCTGCTCTTGTACTCTTGTCAGATGTAGGACACTGTTAAAGTTCCAAGATTTGAAATGGGCCAGGACTTCTGTATCAGGGGTGTTAAACCTGTGGCCCTCCAGATGTTGTTGGACTCCCACTCCCATCATCCCTGCCCTTTGGCCATACTGACTGGGGTTGATGGGAGTTGCAGACCAACAACGTATGGAGAGTCATGCATAGGCTATCAACATCTCCTTTCCTGGGTCCATACAAGGGGAAATGCCACAAATGCATTGGTGAAAGAGGTTAAACCAGCCGATGTTCTTCCTTCGTACACAAGTAATCCTCTCTCTTCTGCTTGGAAATCCTGACATGAGACACAAAAGCAAACAGATGCAGGGTTTTGTAGCTTGTCTACCATTTTCCTGCTCAAAATAGCATCTCATGTTTACAATAGCTCCAGGTGCAAGAGAAAGTGCCTGACAAGATGACAAGATGTAGGAGATAAATGTGCTGGCTTTGCCGTTGCTATTATATCAGCTGTCATGTGGTTCAGGGCAAAAGCTTCAGCACATTCTAAGTTGCAATTTGATTTGATTAGGAAGAAATTAAGTTGAAAGTTTCAGGTATGGAATTCGTAAAGCAAAAATGGAAACAACAGCTAGGAAATCACAGCTGGACCTATATATACTAGAACTGATGTGAAAAACAGAACTCAGCCTTGGCTTTTAGGTCCCTAATGCTTAGCCACAATAGTTACGCTAATTTTCTCCGATAGAATCTCAGTGACGCTGACAAACCAAAGGACTGCAACACATTCTCTTGGCTTTAGCAAATCTCTGATCCAGAAATATTTAATTCTGTCCATAGGAAAAGACCTTAGAACTTCAAAGAAAATACAGCAGCTTCTTAAGAATAAACCATGGGATTAAAGGCAGGGGCAGGGGGATAAACTAATGTAGCCTGAATAAGGAGCCGTTTCTGAAAGGCAAAGCTTAAGTGAGCAAACAAAAAGCAGATGCTGAATTCATTCTGAAATATCCAGAGAACCTGAAAAGAAGGCTCTTTTTTAAAAAAAGAATTAAAAGCATATACAGCATTCAAGGTTCAGTGTATCTCATTACTGTTGCCTGAGGCAACTGCATTTCTTAGGAATTTTGCAATGAGAAAAATGCTCACAATTGAGCCCTTATGTTTTTCAACGTGTCCTAGAGTGCCCGCAGCTTCAACCAGGTACCTGAGCCTCTGTTACAGGCTGCCCAGCCCCTTCCAGTCTTTCGACAAGCCTTCATGCCCCACTCAGAAACCTAGCCTAGCATCATCCAACCAGTTTCCTGGTGGTTGAGAAAGATGCTTCAGATCAGAGATTCTGCAAAGGATTTTCTCCACAGAACACATAGAGCACATTTCAGAGAGGCTTTGCTTTATTGTTACAGAAGAGAAGACTTCCGAGTGGGATTGAGCTTACCGGGAAATTTGGGGTCCAGCTTTGCCTCAGTGGATCAGCTGCTACTGCTGCAAAATTCATTTGCAAAATGTCTTGGATGTAAGTCATGATGAACTAGGAGTCTGGGACTCTCCAATACCCTCAGGTGATGGTGGAGCAAAGGTGGGGATGTTGTGAGAGCCCCAGCTCAAATGCTTGTGAGCAGCTTGATCCATGAAAGACTTAATTGGCAAGGAAGAAATGATGCTTCTGAAGAGAGTGCATAACACAGGGATAGAAAGTATACTGTGCCCATGTTCAGTCTCCAGAATCTCCAGGTAAAGGAAGATTAGGGATCTGGTGCCCTCCACTTGTTGCTGGCCTTTGAGTCCTATCATCCTTAGCCATTGGCCATGGTGACTAGGGCTGATGGGAGTTGGAGCAGAACATCTGGGATGTTGCAGGTTCTGACCCCATCAACAAGCAAGAGAGGAATCCAAGCTGATTTCACAGTGGTGAAGTGTCAAGTCAAGGGACACATGCAGACACAGACTAGTACTTGAAAGCAAGAAATGATTTTGTTTTTATTCAGGCAAGTAATAGTATAGGCTCAGCAGCAGACAAAGAGTTCAGAAAAGCCAATTCAGGAGGGCAGGAAGTTCCAAACTGGATGGAAGCACCAAAGATGTCCCAACAAGTTTCCCCGCCCCTCCCACCAAGCAATTAAAGACGTGGCATGGCGAGCTCACCCGCAAGACTCTCTCGCCTTGTGGGAGTATCATGATTGTAAGTAAGTTCTGCATTGGGGTGGGTGGTTCTGCTCCCATCTGCAAATGTAGCACCCAATTCTAGGCAACAAGATTACACCTTTCTGCTCAGGCTCCCGTTCAGTTGCTGCCTCTGCTTCCTGTTCAGCCTCCTCTAGCTGATCAAACCCTCCCTAGCCTTCACTGAGGTTCTTCTCTCCACAGGGAGGTTGGGGGAAGGACTCGGGGTCCCTGCTACCCCTTTCAAAGAGACTGTTGGGTTGGAAAGTGGAGAACCCCCTCCTCCAACCCATTCCAACAATTCAGCCCCCCACTCTGTTTCTTCTTCCACGGTTCGAGCCTGCCGACTCACGCCTGATATTGACAGTCTACTGCGAGAACAGGATGCTGAACTAGAAGGGCCTTTAGTCTCATCCAGTAAATCCCCTCATGTTCTTAATGAAAAGATCTGATGTCCTGGATGACCTGTTCAGAAATGCTTCTGTGGTGGAAAGCATGGCATTATAACCAATAGAGTTTGGTGAGCATGTTGGAGTGATTATGTCAGGAACCTGTTACTAGGGTGAACCTGTCAGCTACAGTTTCTTTCGGCTTATCATTTCCCCAGTACTAAGTTCAGTTCTCCACATTTTCACATTAGTTTGCTCCCCCCACTCCACAAAGAGCATCGTGAACATTCAGCATTTCAGTGTGAAATTTCTTCCAATATACACATTTTTGCAAAGCAAGTTTCTCTAACACAATGCATTTTATATGCTATTTTCACCAACACCCTCATCTTTATGCACCCGTTATCGCAGTATATTCATTTTTAAAAACATATTTTTTGTTTGGCGACCCATACGGCAAAATTCAGAGAAGTGTGCATGGTGTTTCAGAAAGTTTGTATTAGGCTTGGTTTTGAATGTGAGCTGAATCAAACTTTCCCCCTATTCATACCTGTGGCTCTCCAGATGTTGCTGGACTGCATCATCCTTGACTATTGGCCATGACGGCTGGGGCTGTCGGGTGTTGGAGTCCAACAACATCTGGAGAGCTACGTGTTCCCCTCACCCTTAGGCTAAAACAGGGTTCCCTAAACTTGTTTTTGGACTAAAACTCCCATCATCTCTAGCTAGCAGGAACAGTGGTCAGGGATGATGGAGACTGTAGTCCAAAAGCAACTGGAGACTCAAGTTTTGTAAACCCTGGTTTAAAGGTACATGATGCCACAATTTTGCTAAAGTGAAGCAGATCTAGAGCTGCAGATCACCAAATAAAGGCTAGCTGATGGCAAGCTGGTGTTTGTAAAGGACACTGTAGTAGTCTGCTTCAAAACTATTGCTGTCTGCATACTGGAAGTCACGTTGACTGATTCAGACCTGGCTTTTGTCTCAGAACAAGCACCACAGGTATGGCAGATTTGCCTTCCAGGAGGAACTTCATGTATCCCACATGAGCATGTTGATCTCCTTATTGCTTCTCCCTTTCCTTTTTCTGCAACTGTTCCTCTGACCTTTACCCACCCTGTGTTGGAATCTCCAACAGCCACAGTCAGCAGAGGAGTAGAAGCAGCTTACACGACAATAAAGACTGAAATGTGATAACTCCAGGGGCCAGAAAACCAGAACCAGCAGTGCAAACTCCAGGTAAGCCTGTCTGGCAGCATTCTGCCACCAGCCCGTTCTTCGGCCATAGAATGGACTGTGCTTTGGTATGCGATCAAAGGGAAGTACAGTTCTGTGATAAACAGCAGCTCTCTTTGGGAAAAGTACACATAACTTGACTGTTAAACAGCAGCACTACTAAGCCTAGTGATTCTCTGGCAGGAAGTAACCATTTGTCCCTGCCTCACATTAAGACGAATGGCAATCTAATCCTAAATGTTTGCGCTCCTTGCCTACTTGCAACGCTGAAGAAAAACACTCCAGACTGATTCCAGCTAGAAAGTCCAGACGTTACTGGGGCACACATTAGAATGTGACGCCATACAGGTTGGATTGAGCACTGACCCATTCTTGTTCTATTATGCCAACATGGCATTAGATCGTGAACTTCGTTAAGAACTAAGCTGGCAGAGAAGTGACATGACCATTGAGGACTTATAACAAAATCCAGTTATGCAGAATGACAACCACATACTTGGCTGCTTAGTCAAATACCACACCACCTTGTTTAAGCTGCTGGAAAAATGCAGTATAGCTGTTTTTACTCAGCAATGAAGAGAAACAGCTTGTGTTGTTGATCAAGTGATCAGATATTGTGAAGGTGGGATACTGAGAAGCAAACATCCGCGTGCACACAGCAATGGGAAGTTTGTTTGTATGTGTGTGTGTGTGTGTGTGTGTGTGTGTGTATGTTATTAAAAAGGGCACATTTCCCCATTATTTTCCAGCAGTAGACAGAGGGTCTAAAGCAACCTCATCTTAGATAAGTCCCCAGTAATAATAGCTGCTTAGGTTTTCATGTAGTAAATCAGGGCTGCCTTACAGACTTGCTATTTCATTTGTAAGTTACCAATTTAGCTGTTAAATCTGCAGTTCACTTTTCTGGTGTGGGCAGTGTTGAGTGCTGAAATAACATTAAAATTATATTCAAAGTCAGGTCCTGTTGCTTGAGAATCCCACTGTGGAAGGATGCTATCATTTTCATCACAAGAATGTGAAGACGCAGATGTTTTGTTGGGATTAACTAGCCAGTTTTGTCCTTGAAGGTTTCCCTCCAGCATAAACTTTTATTTGTTCTCATTTTTCAGCTTTTGAACACAAAACCAATATACTTGGATCACATGTGAAAGAAAGCTCCATTTGTCCTAAACATTTCTGTCTTTCTTATCTTTTAACTCCACTTTATTATTAAAGATTTGAAGAATAAAATATACATGAAACAGGGCAGGTGGTATGTTCTTGGAGCTTACATGTGGATGGGGGGGAGGAGAGAGGAAGCTTTCATCTTAGAACATTCTGTACAAGGAACAAAATATCACAAAAAAGGAGCAAAACTTGATGTATGTAGAACAAAGTATCAGAATGGACCAGTTCAAAAATATTCCTTGTAAAACCAGTTTTGCCCTCATGTCACGTTAGTAAGCTTAACCTTCTAGTGAACTCCATGAACAACATATTTAATTCAAGAGGAGAAAAAAAATGTTAAATTCTTCCACTGCCAGGTTCCGCTGCTTTAAAAATAAAGCTCTCCAAAGCAAAAGTGACAACAAATATTACATGGGCTGGTTGAGGTAAGAACCACGGGAAAAGGTGTGAATACCAGTGATCAGTTGAAATAGGTAGCTATGAAAACAGCATCACACATGTAGTTTACTGATCACCACAGCAAAGCAGGCTAACCCAATTCAATCTTTATAGCAAAAGGGTGATATCCGACTAGCTCGACTAGTTCATGGATAAAGTTGTTTGCTGTATACATGTAAGGAGATCAATGGTCCATTAAAATAGTTCAAAACATTACAAAAGAAAGAAGATCTGACACACAAAGCAGAGGAAATTATAATACTTGATGGAGCATTACATCTTGAAACCTACTTGTTCCAGACAACTGGCTTCAGATCAGTTGATGCATTTGGAGCCATTTCTTCCTCTTTTGCTCTTTCTGGGAGTAGCATACCCATCCAATGATGTTTTAATGTACCCAAAGTTTTGGAATACAGAGCAAATTAAAAGGCAACTACCCGTTTTTCATCTTGCAGGTATTAGACCTGCTGTGTTTGAAATGGGGGTGTGGGGTGGGGAGCATTGTGGTGAAGAGGAGAAATCGTCAGAACTTCCATAGAGAGAAATATATTACATAGACATCACATTTTAAAGAAAAGAAAGTGTCAACTCCAAGGAGAACAGGTTGGTAGGATACTGCTTCTTTAATACTCGATTCTGCTCCAGTAGAACATGGTACAAAGAAGGACCCAAGTCTGCAAGGGAAAAAGAAAACAACAACTCAGGAAGGACCACACCTTATGCCATTGCAACATCTTACTTACGCAGCTTGCCCAGATTTCCCACCCCAAAACTCTACCAGCCAGAGGGACAGCCCGAAGTCAGTCTGCACAAACAACATAATTATGTGGAATGGAAGTAACTCTGGGCTGCATCTACTATATTTGACCCTGAGGCCCAGTTTCTGTGGGATGTTTGACCACAATGGAGAAATACAGATGAAAACCAATGCACTGGAATTAAAAAGAAGGAGATCTATATGCTGAAAAGCAGCAGCAACAAGAGGTTTTCATAGGAGGCCCACCAAGACTCCCGGGCTATTTATTTTTTACAATTCTGTTTATCTTCTAATAATGTTAACGTTTTAGTACTGTTTCCATCCAAAGCAGAAAAAAACTATCTGTCCCTTGTTGTGGCATAGCTACAATCTATTTTCAGAACATTCAAGACATTTCCCATTGGATAAGACAAAAAGGAGGGAACAAAAGTTTGGAAGTGGAGTGGAAATCAGGTTGAGGTGCTTTACCACTGACCCATTCCTTTTAGAGCTTGGGGGGGGGGAGAGAAGATACTGATGCCTTCTACCACACAGACACCCTGGCCCAATTCCTGCTAGATTCCTATCCTACAATATTTGAGAGAGAGAGAGAGACCATTCCAGATGCCTGAAGCTATTAATTAATTTGTGGGTCCATATTCCTGCTCAGCCCTGATCTCTCCATCCCCAATCCCACATAGGTCATTTCACGATTTTATTTCTCTGTGATTATCATTTAGGATGGGGTGGGGAACCTGTGGTCCTTGCACCAAATGTGGCCCACCAGGGGGTTCATCAGACCACACCCATCTGACAACTTATGTGATATCTGGTGATTGACAAATGGGCACCCGTGATCTGATAGGATCTAATAAAGATCTGATCAAAAAAGGTTCTTCACGCCTGATTTAGGTGATTTGTATACCCCATGGGAGGTGCAAATATTTGCTAAGCTATAGTTTTATCTTATGAGAATTATCTTAACCACCCATAGGGCTCACAAACTCCCACTCCCCCTTCTGTTGTGGCTGCATTGATGAATCCTAAAGCTTCCACTTCTATTGTAGATCAACCAAGTCTTGCCATGTCATCTGAACACAACAAACTATGGTTTGCTTTTAAAAAAAAATCCAACTTCAAACCATTATTGTTAACAAAACATAGTTGAGCTGAACTACAGTTTAGGGTTTGAGTGAACAGCTACTCGAAATTGGTAGCAGAAACTTCCAGTCTCTTCCTTTCAGCTGTGCTGGATGCAAAGAGAAGAAGGGGCTGGCCCACAACCCAAAAATTGCAGTGGCTCCTCCATGTTTTTGTATTACGTGCGGACCAGTCTGTGCTGTCCACATGCCTGTGATTAGGCAATAACCCGTCTCCCGGGTTTATTCATAGTCATTTTACTGTCTCCCTAGAGGTCATTTCACATTTACACTGCTGCTGGTTACACCAGTTTAGGCACTATGTAAACATAGGTTGGTATTGCAAGTGTCCTGAAAGGATAGTCCAAACAAACTGGGTACTCGAAACAAGTTTTCCCGGATGCAAAAGGCTTATTTGACCTTAGCTGGCTCAAAAAGCTTAGTACTGATCAACCCATAGGCATTGTTCCAAAATAGGAAGAAATTTTTAAGAGTTCTTCCAGCAACGTCTTTCAAGTAATCAAGCCATATTATTTATCTATAATTCATTGATAACCAAGTGACATTGGTTGTATAGCACTAGGCTACAGAATAATATGAAGGAAGAGACAGGTCTCTGCCTCAAGTAGCTTACGATCAAGTTCTAAAATGGCAGGAGGGTGGAAGAGCAGCAAGAGTAACAAGGGATGAACTAGTTTCAAAGGGGAATGAGTGATAAGGAGTTAACATGCCTCCTCTTAGCTGTTGTGTCTGTGCAGGGACCTACTGTGCTTTGTGGTGTGTGTTTGTGGTGTGTGTTTGTGTCATTCAAGGTAAAAATCCTGCCAACTGATTTCTACCAATAGAGAAACTAGGAGCTATAATTCTAGAACCACTGTGTATCATCATCTTCATAAACTGCTACACTGAACATATTACAAAAGTCATCAGGTTCTGACACCATCAGAAGTCAGTATTAGTTCAAATATGTCATTCATGGCAGTTAAAGCTTTCTTAGGAAAATGAAGTGAATGTATGATTGAAAACTTGGAAGCAAAGGCAAAAGCTCAATTAGCAAAAAAACCCAACAACTTAATTTTTGTCATTTCAATAAAGAAAACTGTGGATTTTAATAAGTCCAAATGTCCAGGAACTTTATTCTTAGAAGCCAGTGGGTGGGGGAGAGGAAGATGATGGTGATGGAGATTTGTGCATCCTTCACCCCAAGGTCCCAGGGCAGGTTAAAACAATTAAGACACCACGTTTTTAAAATTGAAAACTCAGGCATAGCACCTGAATATGTACCATTCTGAACTGAGAGAGTCCCCAACAGATACAGAACCAGTTTCATGCTTTTGCTAAATAAGAGGTATCTTACCCAACATGCAAGACATTACAATTAGATACTCACAGTCCAGCACAGAATGGCGAAACCAAACCAGGCAACACCCCAAGCATGTCTGTCCATTGGGCCAGAGATGATTGGATAGCAGCCCTAAGTAATCAGAACAAACCAACAAGAGAATCAGTTTCAGGGAACCAAGGCATCATTCCAGACATCACAGGCTTTAGCTTAGAGTTGGTGAGCTTGTCTAGAAACTCTACAGCCTCAGGTTATCTCACTGTTTCCAGTATTAAGCCTTGGAACGAGGACTGCAGCAGCTAACCTGAAGTCCAAACATGCTTTCAGGGCCCACTTTGTAAAACACAAAAACAAACTTTTTAGCACTCACACGGCTTTGCTGCTATGTCTCCCAACTGCTGTACACACTGCACATGAGAGTGCATCAGCCACAAATAACAACAACAACAACAACAATTTATTACTTATACCCTGCCCATCTGGCTCGGTTTCCCCCTGGACACAGAATTGACCTGCACCTCCATGGACAGCTGTGAGTCCAAAATGACTCCCAGGCTGCGCACCTGCTCCTTCAGGAGCACAGTTGCCCCATTGAGGACCAGGGAGTCCCCCACACCCGCCTGCCCCCTGTCCCCCCAAAAAACGTAGTTCTGTCTTATCAGAATTCAACCTCAATCCATTAGATGCCATCCATCCTCCAACTGCCTCCAGGCAGTCACATAGAACCTTCACCGCCTGGTTCCGATTTAAAAGAGAGGTAGAGCTGGGTATCATCTGCATCCTATTTCCCTGCCCCTGTGCTTTCTATTACCCCACCCCAAATAGAGAGCAGGAAGAAATAATCATCTTCTTCTTCTTCTTCTTCTTTGCAGCTGCAGGGCTTCAGCCTTTTATAACACTTTTGGATTTCAGCACTTCACCAACATTCTGGGAAGTAAATAATTGAGATAAGCATTTCAATCGCCTCCCAAAAAGTAAGACAAAGAAGGTATTCTTACGTCTTTATGGTAATAGCCATCCATCCCCAGTTTGCAGGCATCCACATTGATTGACTTTCCTAGAAGATCCATTACGCAGCACTGGCGTGGCCAAGGAAAATCTGCATCTTGGTTCCTTATTCTGAATACAGAGCTATATGTTTGCCAGTCTGATGGGCCAACTACACCGCAGCACTTATTCTGGGTTTAAGAAGGAGAGAGAAAGTTGCTCATTAGGGTTAAGGCAATTAAGCACCTCGTGCGACATTCAAAAACTAGAGAGAACTTTGCTGAGAAGGAAAGGAATGTAAAATAATGTAGGATAGGCTGATATTCAGTTAGGGACCCCATGCTCTACAAATAGTGAAACTACTAGAATATTACTGGAATCTTCAGCTGTGGTCTCCTGCCCTCCCAAGTGAGGCCTGCCTGGCTCCAACACAGACATACCTCTGAGCAGCAGCTTAAGACTTTCTCCTTCCCTTTGGGTATTTCATGGAATTTCATCCAGCTGATACAAAGCTTTATGTTAGTGCTGCACTAGGCTGCTGAAAAGTCCCAGAACATTCCCCTTACCCAGGTGGAAGCTGGTGTTTTATGTTTCATATATTAGGTTGTTGAAATTTTCCTTCCCACCTCCACCATGGTTGTTGTTTTTAACAATTTTAAAACGTGATTGTAACTGAGCAATCCAGCCCCCCATGGCATGGGGTAGGGTGGTGGGTGGAGCTGATGTTTACAGAGATGTCCCTCTAATCAGCTTTCCCAGCTACCCTGGCTACCAAGCGTGTGGGCAAGACTTCTGCCGGTGGAATGCCTTGAAATGGATTTCAGAGGCAGGAACTGGGAAGGGCTGAGCCACACTGAGATCCTGACTTGGCTACAGTGCCATTGAGTAAAAGCTTTTGACCATATGGCTGCACCAGCTCTAAATTGATGTAGTGAGCCTTAACTTTCTTACCTGACAACAGTGCCACCTTCATAAAGCCCTGGCATGAAGGTGGGGGTGGATTGCAGCCTTTGTCACCTAAAGACTGTCCTATGTTATGTGACATTAATATATTATTATATTTTATTTATATAAATTATAAGAACATAGTGTATGTACCACATCAATGGGCTATGTTTATTACAGCTTGCTCTGACTAGTAAATCCTGTAAATTCACCTGTAGATATCAAATATTTTTGATATTTCTAGGCCACCTTTCCAGGGCACAGATGCCATCCTAAGATGGCTTACCTAAAACATAATAGAATCACATAGTTGCAAACAAAAGGAGCCTAACCATACATTGCATTCAAAAGCCTTCAGGTCTTGGATGAATCCTTTTCATAATTCTATTCGTCTGAGTGGGATTCGCATGGAAGGCATGCTTAAAATAAAACTGGCCTATATTATCCCCAACTATTCAATCTGGATCAGGATAATTAAAGCTGGATCAAGATAATTTCATTCATGTGTGGAAAGATGGTGCATCGTTCCAGGAGACATAGAGAGAGCAGTAAAATATCTCAAGGAGTTTTAAACAGAGGTGTCTACTCTAAGCCATTTATAGGCCAGTTCAAATCCAATACATGTATTATTATTATTATTATTATTATTATTATTATTATTATTATTATTTAATTATTGACTTTATATACCACTCTATACCTGGAGGGTATACTTGCAATAACAAACACCTGAGTTCAGCTGGGTTAATCATCCCAGGATTATAGTTTTAGCCAAGTTTAGCTACTACTGTGCTAAACAAAGTTATTATCGTTTTATACCACATGTTCATTGGCCCAGATTCATCTAAGTTGTTGGGCTAGCAGAAGCCAGCTTAATGTTTCCTGCTGGCACAATGGGACTTTGCTTCCCACAACTGCTTGGGAGGGTCAAGAGAACCCCAATAGCAGCATGCAAAGGAAGGAGAGGGGGGATTGTTCTGTCTGGTAAGCAGAAATTACTGTGATGGTGGAAGAATCACCTTAGCACGACTATGAGTTCCACCCATTATTTTTATATCTGAAGAAAATCTGAATGTGTATCAGTACAGCTGGGCTGACATACGGAAGTTGGGTAATATGAGTTTAAGAAGTGTTGAAAGGTGGTGCTTCTAATACTGGGCAGTAGCAAGATGTGGAAAGTCATTGTTAATACACTGACCACTCTCAAAAACATAACCCTTCGCCTTCCCCAAAGGAAGTGTGCACAGCAACATAAAAGTAAGAATAAACAAATACACTTAAGAATCCAACAGAAGCCTTAGAAGGGATTTAGCAGCATTTCATTATTAATATTCATACAAAACGTAGGAACCGTCCAGCAAAAACTTGTTTGCTCACAGGACAGAGGAAAGATGTACCTACAGAAGCATCAGACTAGAGAGTCTGACAACATTTAGAGCTGTATTCTTAAGGCTGGAGCAAAGATTTACAAAACTGCACCCCTCATCATTACCTGCAACATGAGCCGATCCCACGTCCTGGTGATACCTTCACTCTTCCATTTGTCGTCATTGTTGATGGGGTCTGGATTCTGGTATTTCTCCAGCATTTGCTTCAAGAAGAGATTGGGGGTGAGCTGCATGACAATGAGAGAGGGGTGTATGAATGTCAGCCAGATTTATTTTGGGAGAAAGAAAGACTCTCAATAGGACCAAAGCCTCCATCCCAAGTAATAACCAACAGAGGCTACATTCCTGGTGGAACGCCCTCCCATCAGATGTCAAAGGAATAAACAACTATCTGACATTTAGAAGACATCTGACGGCAGCCCTGTTTGGGGAAGCTTTTTAATGACTAATGTTTTAATGTATTTTTAATATCCTGTTGGAAGCTGCCCAGAGTGGGTGGGGTATAAGTAATAAATTATTATTGTTATTGTTATCATCCAGACATGGTATTTATTGTGTTTGTTTTACTAAGTATAATGGTAGCACTTCTTCTCCCAATTTCTAACATTTCTTTCACACTGCGGAATCTGTATACCACACTATGTCACATTAAATCTTATTCACACCAGTAGGTTACTACAGTGTGAAAGGAACATTAGAAATTGGGATTGCCACCTCCTTTCAGCAGCTGTTGAGGGGAGGGGGTGATCCTGTAAGGCCTTGGCTGAATCCAGTCAACAGCCCTTTCCAAAACTCCCCTGGTTTTCCAGGTTTCCAGGCTTGCAAATGTTTTTTTAAAAAGAGGAAGAAGAAGAAGAAGAAGAAGGAGAAGAAGGAGAAGCAGCAGCAAACAACAGGGGAATGAGAACAAAACTTGCACTATCTTCCACTTGATTTCTAGAATGGCTTTTACATGGTGTGAAAGCTTAAACATAATGTGGGAATTAGTAGGGAAATGGAATAAACTGCTGTGTAAATGCAGAGATACCCTTGACCAGACTTTGACAGAGGATTACATCATGAGGAAAGTTCAAGGAAATAAATAATGAACAGTTTGCCATTCATTGCTGCCTAAACATTTGTTAGGAAATGGCCAAAATACTAAAATTAAGTATCTCCAAATTACTTGATAATCTAACAATTTATATAATCTAATAAAACCTAATAATACTTCTGAGGCCACAGGTGTGGGCAGGAAGCTCTCTTTTCCATTTAAAAATACTTGCAAGTCTCCCACATATTGATTTACTTATACTATTTCTATGCTGCTTTTCGCTCAAATGAATCCCAAAGCAGCTTACAAACAATAAATAATGTGATAGAACATAATAAAACATCATAAATATAGCATAAATCATAGACAAAAAATAACAAATAATCAGTCATATATCTTCTTAGCCATCGTGTTCATTCTGCTTAGAGCCTCATTCTTGTAGAGCCATATGCCTTTGGCAGATGTGCAACCAAGGCCCAAGCTGTTTTAATTTTATTAATTTATTGCTAAACCACCCTTCAGCCAGAAAGATTCTGGGTCAGTGTACAAACAGACAGAAATAAATAAAATCCATCCATACCAAATACTTTTGTACAAAACGCCTTCGTATAAACTGTAAATGGAGAGGCAACAAATTCTGTGAGGCAGACTGAGGAAACACAACCATTTAAAACAAGCACCCCCAAACTTGGCCCTCCAGATGTTTTGGGACTACAGTTCCCATCATCCCTGACCACTGGTCCTGTTAGCTAGGGATGATGGGAGTTGTAGTCCCAAAACATCTGGAGGGCTGAGTTTGGGGATGCCTGATTTAAAATGTCTGGGCAGATCAAAACGCCTTGTCCTCATGCCAAAAAGAATGTAATGCTGGTGCCAGTTCAACCTCTTTGCGGAAGTCCTTCCAAAGTTGGGTCCCCACTACAGAAAATGGCCTCTTCTTCCAACATTCATGATGTACTTTTGCTAAGGAAAGCACCATCAGAAGGGCCTCCGCCAAAGATTTTATCCTTTTCACTTCAAAGATGAAATTGGGAAGATCTGATAGAATGAGAAACCAATAGCGCAGAGTACTTACAAAGTCTCGGTGCACAGCTGCTGTGATGCTGGAGGCAACTTCAAAGGCAAAGACTATCATCAGCAGGATGATATACTGAAAATAAGCCAAAAACACAACACCATGTCAACAAAGGATGCCACGTACACTTAGCTGTCAGGTTTAGATCCTTGAGATGAAAAGGAACACGTGATTCTTGGGGTAGGTTGCTAAGCTTCTACTTTTTCCTTCTGAAAAGGTAGATTAAGAGCAGCCTGCCAGACCAGGCCAAAGACCCATGTAGTACAGCATCCTTTTATCACAACAGCCAACCAAATGACAACAGGAACCCCCAAAGCAGGACTGGAGCAAAAGAGTACCACCACCCCCCCATATCCCAGCATAATCCCCCCTAGCATTCAGTGGCATACTGCCTCCAAGAGTGGAGGCGCTCATTATTTATTTACTTAAACAATTTATATACTGCTTAGCTACAACTGCTTCCAAGCAGTGTACAGAAAATACACTAGAAGAAAGGCAAAAATTAAAACACCTGCTGGAATAAAAAAAATAAAATATATGCCTCCAGCAGGTGCTGGGAGGGACCCTGTTTGAGCTCAGCTGGAAGGAAGTTTCATAAAATTGGGCCCCCAATTCCAAGTGCATGATTCCTGGTGCAAACGAGCCATGTCTCCAAACCATAGGAGACCACCTACAGTGATTCCCACAAAGACCTCAGTGATCTGTTGGGCATATAAGGGGTTAGGTGGTCCTTTGCTCTGAAAGATCTTTCTTTCCATCAGTCCTATAGCAGAAAGTTGTAAATCTTGATTCTATACTGCAAAGTAATTTCCACCTCATGCCCACTCTATCTTCAATAGGAAGATCTGTTTGGGGTATTAAAACAACAACAACAACAACAACACAGTTCCTCCTAAACAAGGATGAATTCGTGGATTATAATAGCTACATCACCCCTTTAAAAAGAGATGTTTCCTTACACAAGTGTCCTTCAACTTGGGGTCCCCAGATATTGTCTGAATGACAACTTCATCATAAGTCAATTTAGCCATGGGCATGGATGACAGGTGTTGCAGGTAGACAGTATCTGGGGGCCAAGGTTGAAGAAAACTGCTTTACACTACACTAAGATTTCAGTCATAGTGAACTGGAAGATTTTTCCTCTCAGACGAGAGACTCATGGATACAATTCCTACAGTGACATCCTCTTTTCTATTCTTTTTTGCAGTTGTGCTTTGTGGAATGATAATGCAAAGTATCTGCTCAGAATAATATGTCTCTCACCTTTTCTGCCATATCTTTCACAATGATTGACAGCAAACTATGCACACATATCTATAATTGAATAAGTTTCTACTTCTTCTGTGCTAGAACTGCAACAGAATGGAAGACAAAACATTAAGTTTCATTTGTGCACAATGTCCCTGACACTCATGATTATTCCATTTTCTGAGACTCTGCACACATAGTAATGACTAAGTTGCCAAGGAAATACTCTCTCCAACACCCTTTTTACCGTTTAGGAAATTCCTTTGTGTGCAAAAAGTCAGAAATATACTGACCAAACTCTTAGAGAATGCTGAATACTCTTGGTGACTATCCAACTTACCACCAATAGCATTGTCCTATTTGACTTCACGACACCAACAATACCAAGGACTGCCATACAAAAGAAAGAGAAGCCAGTGAAGATCCCAATCCAGGCAGCACCATAGATGTCGTCATTGTCGGTAGCTTCCAGCAATGGATAAAGTGTTGGCTGATCTGACACGAAGAATATACACTCTGCCATGAGTGCAAGGCCACAACACTGAGAAGACACAACCAAACAGACATATGACTGTCAACCCAAGGGTGTTTGCTTGACCCGAGGATAAAAACCTGAGCCCATATTAAACACACAATTCAAAAGTTTGGCTCACTCATCTACTACTAAGGGCACCCCATATCGTCCAACGCTCGTACAAATTTGTGATTGCAATAACCACACATTGCTATCTACACTTCTGCCACATGACCTGTCACAGCTAATTCTCCATCTTCAGATTTATTTGCAAAGAAGCTAGGCAATAGTTAACATAGCAATAGTTTTCTTGCATTGTCCATTGCTTGTGTTTGAGTTAAATGCTGCTTGATGCCTCTTGTGGCAGCACCACCCCCCACCTGACATATACCAGATTTTGCTGACCTCTATCCTACACAAACACCTTGCTATTCTTCTCCTTTTACTTCTTTGAAGAGTGAAATGGGAGAGGTGCCTTCAAGGTTTTTTCGACAACCCTTTTTGCCTTGCCAACAAAAATATATTTATGCATTAAATATATATATATATATATATAAAAACAACATTGATTTTTTATTTTAAAAAACCCACAACACACAAAATTGCATTTACAATCCTCAGAGGAGGGAATACAGTGGTAATTGAAATGTAACAAGACTATTGGGGATAAAAAATGTGGATCTATACTTTCATCTGTCTTTGCAGCCATAATTGTGATACCTTCTACTACACAAATGCATATGTATTGATGGGATAATTTCAAGAGACATACATATCACTGGAAAAGTGCTTCCCTCTAGAAGTACATTAATTAATCTATGAGGGACTGCATCCATGAATTAGCCAACCCCCATACTATACATTTCAAGTCCACTTACCCCCATGACGACATTCCCCATGATGAGCAAGCCTTGGAAACATCGTGCACCAGTATCACCTTTTGCCATTTTCAGTTTGCTGTGCAACCTAGAAGCAAATTACAGATTTATCAGCGCTGTAGGTTCTCCCAAAAGCTTTCTGCCTGCCCTCCCACCTCTGCCCTTGAAAGCAAGAACAAGCACACACAAACTACTATGATATATTGAGAAAGAAGCCTTGGAAATTACATCAGAACAAACTATCCACATAACTTTTTATTTGGTGTACCTGTAAGCAGGTTTGTACATTCTTTCAATACCTACCCATGGAAAATGGAAAGTTTCATCACAGATATATATGATATATGTATACATTTGTGGAATTTAAAAGGTAACTCAGAGATCATTTGAGAACTGATAAAAAAGTAGAAGACAGAGCAAACAGAGGCTATATCTTTTATTGAAGCAAAGGCTGTTCAAAGTTATCTAGAAGGGCAAGCAGAGGAAACGGAGCACACATGAATCTGATCGCAGTGTAAACCAGGGATGGGAAACGAGAGGGCTTCCAGATTATTAAAAACCATTGGACATGCTGGCTGGGACTGATGGGAACTGGAGCCCAAGAACACCTAGAGAGCCATAGCTTCCCCATTCCTGGTATAAACCACACCTAGGAAAAGAAAGTTTCATGAATCCCACGGGTGTCCTCAATTATCCAAATGGCCAGGCACAAAAGGAAGAGAATAGACAAAATACATCTGGCTATACCTGATGCTGCAGTCACCAAGGTGCCCTTTGAGTAGAACTGTTCAGTGGGGTCGGGGCCGATCAACTATGGAACTAATGAAGTTTAAGCTTCTGGTCCTAATGCCAGATGGCCCCCAGAAGCGACTTTAGTCCACACTGCTTAAAAATGTTGGGTCTAGTACAACCAATTTGAGTTGCACAACTCAAATTGATTCTTTTTGTGTGTGTATATTCCCGAAGTTTGAGAGTCAGCAGCACAGATATTGTAAATGTGTAGTGATCTATAAATGCAGGTTCAGACTGATTATATTTCTTGCAATGCCACATTTACACACACAAATACACAGGATACACAAATACACAAAATGTCGCAGTGTGGAATAGCCTTGTTCAGTGTTCTAGTCAGTGGGCCATGCCCTCCATTGGGACACTCCATTCCATTACCCTTTCCATCTGGTTTGCCATCTCCTCCACCCTGGTCAGCATTCTGTAGCCACCAAACAAGCCCATGTGTGGGCTTTAGGCTTGTTTCCTAAATATCTTTTTTGTACTTCTTCAAAACTTGGAGTTTCCCCAAGCCTGCCGGTACCCCACTTTTGTGGATATTGTTCACTTTTGTACATATTATTCTGTGAACTGCCCTGAGACCCCCAGGTATAGGGAGGTATATACAGTCAATAAATAAATAATAAATAATAAATGGTGGAATTTTGACTAAATAACCATTGGTACTCATACCCAAACATCAGAAACAAGAGGAACGATGCAGCCCTGCTTCAATTTACAGTCACCTTCTAAAAAATAAAAATAAAATACAATGCTTTTTACATCCTCCCACTTCTGTGAAGTCTAAAGCTGCATCGTGCGTGAAGTGTTTTCATAAACTTGTCGCACCCGTTTCCAGTCTAGGAGGCGCCTTCTACCTTGGGCTATGGGTTCTGCTGCATAGCTGAAAATGTCATTGCCCATTTCACGCAGATTGCCTGCAGCGAGTCTGACCCAACCTTCCCAGGGAGAAAGTCACACCCATGTGAGACACTAAAACTATGCTTCAGCATCCGTGACAAAAGAGGCACGGGAAGATAATGTGAAGAGCCAGTTGTAGCTGCAACATGAGAGACCAGGAGAGTCACATTCCAGTTGCATTTTTGAAAGTTCTGAGCTCTTGACTGGGCACCCCAGGAATTCTTAATGGAATTCAAATACCCTCAACACAAAACTCTGAGATGCTACAGACAGGGGCAAGACAAGCTCCTCCTTCATGTTCTGGACAGCTGGATCCCACAGTCCTTCGTGTATAGGGTTTATCTGTAGTGGAGAACCTGGCACACTCGTGTCAGTTACCTTTCAGATCAGGGTTATAAGTCATGTTATGAGCCTGCAGGATACAGCAGTCTGCCTGCCTTAGAAGTTCACCCTTCCATGCATGGAGGGTTTGTGAGGTTGGTCACAGTGATGCAGCAAGCACAACACCCCCTTGTACAATGGGAAATGCATGGGTTTAAACATCTGAATAGGGCTTACGTCCTTCATCTATGGACAGGAATGATGTGCCATCGTGCTAGTCACCTTTTTCATGGACGGAACCTCTGCACCTTTAATAACTGAACCACAGGCTGAAATCAAAAGCTGAAGCCATTCCAGTACAGACAATTATGGGGGGCAGGGGGACTGCCCCTGTCAAATTTCTGCTGATCTTGTTGGATATAATTCCTCTTTTCCATTAAATCAAACCAACAGCCCTAATGCCACTTCTGACAACTCCCACTGTGGTCTCAGTCACCCGGTCTACTAAAATAGTAGGGATACTGTGAATGAAGTATGTTGCAGGGTATATCTAAGAGGCTCAGTGGTCCAGTAGGCCAGTTGGAGACCCGAGTTTGGGAAACCCTGCAGTAGGGTTAATGTCAACGGAGACACTGAATAACAAAATGGGGAGTGCAAAAAAAAAAAAAAGTGGCATAAGAGCTTGACTATATGCATTTCTATACACAATATTTGGCTATAAAACTCCATTGCACAATTCATAGACGTACAGATTTTGAAAGATGGCTGTGTTTGGGTTCACAGATTGTTTTGGAAAGTTTGAATTTAGTAGATTTGCCTTTAAATGAGAAGTGAATTGTATTTGTCCCCATTTCTCTACCTACAGGTAGAGTGTCACCCGCACCCCCAAACAGAGAAAATTCATCACATGAAAAGAGGGTAGAAGATGACTGAGATTTGCACAAATTTTTCACATGCTATTTTACAGGTGTGAATTTAGAAATAATTGCTATGATTTGAATATTTCGATTATATTCAGAGTTTTCTGACCACATTAACTATTTTCTGGCCACAAGGCAGTCAGAAGCTTTGGTTCCATTTAGGATGAAGAGCAGCTTGATGTATTGTCCAAGCCCAGATAAAATGGTTCATCTTAACCATGATTAGTGAAAACAAGCCAACTTCAAACCATAGTTTAGAAGCCAGCTTGTTTTCACAAACCATAGTTAAGATTAACCATAGTTCAAAGTTATTTCAACACAGCAATGGTTTAAAGTTAAAAGTTAATTCAACATCGTGGTGAATCTAAAGCAGAAGTGGAAGTTTCCAGTATCCTCACTATGATACTAGAGGAAGAGAGTGTAGGGAAGAGAGACAAACCTGAGGCTCTTTCTTGAAATGCTAAACCATGTTTTACCATTATGTATGAATGCTTTCATTATATGATGGCTAACATAGGTTTCACTCCAAATCCACAAATGTATAGACAGACAAAAGGCCTACTGAATAACACAGTTGCTGCCAAGTAGTAGTAATACATGGGATAGTAATCTTTAATTTTAAAATGCTTAACTTCCTACTCTTCCCTAAGCAAGTGAAATCTGCACCGCCTCCACTGCCCTTAAAATTATTGAGATCAGATAATAGTTTCCTTCGTGCCACAGAGGCTGGAATGCCCCTGCTTAGACCAGTTCCTCAGCCAGTTGAACAGGCTTCTTTATCTTTCTCTCAGAACTTATATCATGTTAGTTTATGCATTTATTGTCCTCAAAACACACACACACACACACACACACACACACACACACAGAGGAAGCTTGCTTTCAGAACTGGAGTTCTGATTTGCTCTCAGCTATTTGCCCAGGTCTAGTGCAAAAAATGAAATGAAGCCAAGCACGTATTAAGGAAGCAGCTGGTATGAAATAAAAGGTAGAATGTAAAAGTACAACAGGATGCCATGATGAAGAAAAGGGTAGCCAAAGCCCAGGTGTCACCTGCACAGCACCCATGGGCACCAAATGTACCTGTCATATGAAAGGTCACATCCCCTTGAAAATCCACAAAGCACGAAAGACAGCTGGCTCTCTCTACTCAGTAGCTGTTTGGATTGATCAGTTTCTCTTATATGCCTCCATGGCAACCATTTTGTGACTGGCGCCAAGAGAAATTACTCAAAATCGCAAAGGAGTCCACTGGCCCAGGAAGGTTGACACCCCCTGCCACAGCCTATAGCAGCGCTGCCAAACCGAGCACCGTCCAGATGTTTTGGATTACAATTCACATCATCATGGGTCATGGTCAGAGATCACGAGAGGGGTAAGTCTGTCTGAAAGATTTAGAGGGCATCAGGTCTGGGAAGACTGACCTATTTCATTTTTGTAAATTCTAAGAGGGACAGTTGGGTTTATTGGGTGGGAGACAGAGAATTCTGTGGCATGATCTTGATGCACATTAAACCACATCTAGGGAAAAGCAGCATTAGGCGGCTTCCATACTGACAACTGATGCAGGTGGCGCTGTGGGTTAAACCACAGAGCCTAGGACTTGCTGCTCGGAAGGTCGGCGGTCCGAATCCCCGCGACGGGGTGAGCTCCCATTGCTCGGTCCCTGCTCCTGGCCACCTAGCAGTTCAAAAGCACGTCAAAGTGCAAGTAGATAAATAGGTACCACTCCGACGGGAAGGTAAACGGCGTTTCCGTGCGCTGCTCTGGTTCGCCAGAAGTGGCTTAGCCATGCTGGCCACATGACCCGGAAGCTGTACGCCGGCTCCCTCGGCCAATAAAGCGAGATGAGTGCAGCAACCCCAGAGTCAGTCACGACTGGACCTAACGGTCAGGGGTCCCCTTTACCTTTATCTTTTATACTGACAACTGCCCTGAATTGTTATGAGCCAGATGGGAAATCAAACCCTCTTATGCTTGCCTGTGGATTCGTGGAGTGCACAGTCTAAAATTCCTATGCAAACAAATGGACCAGGTGGCAGCCCGGAGGATGGAGAAGTTTTTGATCCAGCAGTTTATAATTTTTTTTAAAATAAATGGTGTCAGGTATGTGCGCCACTTGTGGAAGTTCACAGA